CTGCTGAATACTACTAAAATACTACTAAGACAAGAAGTACTAGACCTACTGTTACTAGTACTACCACTACTACTGCAGTACATCTCACCCTGACAGTCGTACTCCAGATCAGGTTCATGTTACAGTTGTGTTCGACATCGCAGCGTCCTCTCCTACACTCGTCCTCTCCTACACTCGTCCTCTCGGACACTCGTCCTCTCCTACACTCGTCCTCTCCTACACTCGTCCTCTCCTACACTCGTCCTCTCCTACACTCGTCCTCTCCTACACTCGTCCTCTCCTACACTCGTCCTCTCCTACACTCGTCCTCTCCTACACTCGTCCTCTCGGACACTCGTCCTCTCGGACAGTTGTTCTCTCGGACACTCGTCCTCTCGGACAGTTGTCTCTCCTACACTCGTTCTCTCCTACACTCGTCCTCTCCGACACTCGTCCTCTCGGACACTCGTCCTCTCGGACAGTTGTTCTCTCCTACACTCGTCTCTCCTACACTCGTTCTCTCCGACACTCGTCTCTCCGACACTCGTCCTCTCCTACACTCGTCCTCTCCTACACTCGTCCTCTCGACACTCGTCCTACACTCGTCGACACTCGTCCTCTACACTCGTCTCTCCTACACTCGTTCCTCTCGGACACTCGTCCTCTCGGACACTCGTCCTCTCCTACACTCGTCCCTCCTCCTACACTCGTTCTCTCCTACACTCGTCCTCTCCTACACTCGTCCTCTCGTGACACTCGTCCTCTCGGACAGTCCTCTCGTTCTCGTCCTACACTCGTTCTCTCCTACAGTCGTTCTCTCCTACAGTCGTTCTCTCCTACAGTCGTCCTCTCTAACACTCGTTCTCTCCTACAGTCGTCTCTCCGACACTCATTCTCGCTATTGGTCAATATTGAAATCACAATAATTTTTTAGTCACATGAGGCATTTATTCAAATTGAAAATAAATATAGGCCACTAGAAGTGTGTAAAAATATATCGTTTAATGTAAACGATATATCGTATCGTTTAATGTAATGATCCAGTATCAGTATTGTAGGCTACTATATGTTTTTGTATATTTTTTAAAAATATATATTTTACTAAATTATTTTGTTCCCGCTCCAGTTTTGTTGTTTGTTCAGAGGAATGAAACTTGTTTATGCGACACATTTGACATTTTCACTGTTTTTGAGGATTAAAATATTTGTGTTTCAGATTAACTTTGCACAAGAAGTGGTTTAACAAAAACTTTTGGTGTCACACACAAGATTTAGACTTTATTTTTATTGAACCGTATTGAAATTGAATCGAAAGCTCCTTGTATCAAAGTCTGTTTCCGATCATGGACTATGTCCCCGTTCTCAGTCTTGGTCTCAGTTCTGGTCTGGTCCCGACCTCCCCGGTCTCAGTCCCAGTGTCAGTCCTAAACCATAACTAAACCAGGACTGAATCAGGACTAAACCAGTCTCAGTCCTGGTCTGGTCCCAGTTTCAGTCCCGATCTGGTACCGGGCTAGTCCCGGTTTCAATCCTGATCTTGTCCCGGTCTCAGTCCCAGTCTCTCAGACTACACCAGGACTGAACCAGGACTGAACAGGACTGAACCAGGAGTGTCAGGGGCCCGGGGGTGCACCCGTGTAAAGTTTCGGGTGATCAGGACTGACCAGGACCGGGACTTGGACCAGGACTCAGACCGGGACCGGGACTGAGACCTGTTTAGTCCTAGTTCTGTCCTGGTTCAGTCCTGGTTCAGTCCTGTTTTAGTCCTGTTTTAGTCCTGGTTTAGTCCTGGTTTAGTCCTGGTTTAGACCTGGTTTAGACCTGGTTTAGTCCTGGTTTAGTCCTGGTTTAGACCTGGTTTAGACCTGGTTTAGTCCTGGTTTATTACTGGTTTAGACCTGGTTTAGTCCTGGTTTAGTCTTGGTTTAGACCTGGTTTAGACCTGTTTTAGTCCTGGTTTAGTCCTGGTTTAGACCTGGTTTAGTCCTGGTTTAGACCTGGTTTTAGTCCTGGTTTAGTCCTGGTTTAGTCCTGGTTTAGTCCTGGTTTATCTTCTCTCGCTGATACTGTGAAAAACTTTACCTTAGACCAGTGAACTCCAGTAACAAGATGGCGGCAGCATTAAAGCGCTCCAAGAGTCTGAAGGCGACATCTATAACTCTATGTGTGTTTTGTTCTTTTTTGTTTTGTTTTGTTGTTGTTGTTTTTTTCGTTTGTTCCTCGTTTTTCGTTTGTACGTCGTTTGGAGTTAGATTTCGAGTTAGTTAGTTTTTTAATGCCGCACTGTGGAGCATTCCAGACCGAGCGGCGTCATCTCCATGGAGACGTGTCGTTGCAGGAGCCATGGGCGTGGAGCGGCGTCTGGACGTCCCCGTGTACGACCTGTCCGCGCTCAGGGGCCTGTGGGAGGGACGAGCGACCAAACAGAGACTCAGGGAGAAGAGAGAGAGAGAGCGACGGGAACAGAGCGCCCTCGCCAGGTACGACACGGTACTGCACCCACACAGAGAACAGAGCGCCCTCGCCAGGTACGACACGGTACTGCACCCACACAGAGAACAGAGCGCCCTCGCCAGGTACGACACGGTACTGCACCCACACAGAGAACAGAGAGTTTTAGGGTTAGACCTGGTTTAGTCCTGGTTCTGTCCTAGTTTAGACCTGGTTTAGTCCTGGTTTAGACCTGGTTCAGACTGGGTTTAGACCTGGTTTAGTCCTGATTTAGACCTGGTTTAGACCTGGTTTAGTCCTGGTTTAGTCCTGATTTAGACCTGGTTTAGACCTGGTTTAATCCTATTTTAGTCCTGGTTTAGACCTGGTTTAGTCTTGGTTCGGACCTGGTTTAGACCTGGTTTAGTCCTGGTTTAGTCCTATTTTAGACCTGGTTTAGACCTGGTTTAGACCTGGTTTAGTCCTATTTTAGACCTGGTTTAGACCTGGTTTAGACCTGGTTTAGTCCTGGTTTAGTCCTGGTTTAGACCTGGTTTAGACCTGGTTTAGTCCTGGTTTAGTCCTGGTTTAGTAGACCTGGTTTAGACCTGGTTTAATCCTATTTTAGACCTGGTTTAGACCTGGTTCAGTCCTGGTTTAGACCTGGTTTAGACCTGGTTTAGTCCTGGTTCAGACCTGGTTTAGACCTGGTTTAGTCCTGGTTTAGTCCTATTTTAGACCTGGTTTAGACCTGGTTTAGTCCTGGTTTAGACCTGGTTTAGACCTGGTTTAGTCCTGGTTTAGACCTGGTTTAGACCTGGTTTAGTCCTGGTTTAGACCTGGTTTAGACCTGGTTTAGACCTGGTTTAGACCTGGTTTAGTCCTGGTTTAGACCTGGTTTAGACCTGGTTCAGTCCTGGTTTAGACCTGGTTTAGTCCTGGTTTAGTCCTGGTTTATTTTCCCACAGAGAGAGCACAGCGCCCTCGTCAGGTCAAACTCTGAACTGCTCATGTTCCTCCAGGATCCAGGTTCAGATCTGACAGGTGTGACCCAGACACACTGTGGGTCAAATGCAGAGGACGATAGTAACGAAACTTTACCGTATGTACAAAATAAATAAAAATAAAATAAAATAAACATGTAGTTCTCCTCCAGCGCCACAGCTCGTCGTCTGTAATCATCTGTGTGCGTGTTTGTGTGTACAGAAGCTCTCAGACACACAGCGACGTGAGAGAAACTCGATCTGCTCTAAAAATACTGCGTCTGCTCAGAGTACTGCGCTCTGTACTGCGCTCTGTACTGCGCTCTGTACTGCGCTCACGAAGTATTTATGGAGCATGAGTAATGTTTACGACTCCATGTGCTCCTGCGCCCACAGAGGCACTCACACACCCGGGTTAGTCCTGGATTAGTCCTGGATTAGTCCTGGTCTAGTCCTGGATTAGTCCTGGATTAGACCTGGTTTAGATCTGGGTCAATCACTTCAGTGGGTATCTTCACTATATTGACCCAGACCCAGTTCAGCCCTGATTTAGTCCTAGTTTAGTCCTGGTTTAGTCCTGGTTTAGTCCTGGTTTTGTTCTGTTTTAGTCCTAGTTTAGTCCTAGTTTAGCTCAGATTTAGTCCTAGTTTATATCTGTTTTAGTCCTGACTCAGTTGTTTTAGTCCTGTTTTAGTCTGTTTTGGTCCTGTTTAGTCCTGGTTTAGTCCCAGTTTAGTCCTGAATTAGTCCTAGTTTAGTTCTGTTTTAGTCCTGGTTTAGTCCTGTTATAGTCCTGATTTAGTTCCTGTTTAGTCTGGTTTAGTCCTAGTTTTGTTTTGTTTTAGTACTGGTCTAGACTTGGTTTAGTCCTGGTTTAGTCCTAGTTTAGTCCTGGTTTCATTCTGTTTTAGTCCTGGTTTAGTCCTAGTTTAGTTTTGTTTTAGTACTGGTTTAGACCTGGTTTAGTCTTGGTTTAGTCCTGGTCTTTGGTGGAACTGGATTTCACAAAGTCAAATGTAATTATTATTATTTTATTTCCACCCTGTTTAGCACCAGTTCATTTAATCCAATTTAATGTTTTGAACAATTAAAAAGTCAAAAGTTTGGTGATCTGAAGAAGAACTTTGGAGATCAGATGTTCCAAGGACAGAAAACTGGACAAGGTAGAGAAGAAGGAGGAGGAGATGAAGAGGAGGAGATGAAGAGGAGGAGAGTGTGAGGAGGAGGAGATGAGAGGAGGAGATGAAGAGGAGGAGATGAAGAGGAGGAGAGTGTGAGGAGGAGGAGATGAAGAGGAGGAGATGAAGAGGAGGAGAGTGTGAGGAGGAGGAGATGAAGAGGAGGAGGAGAGTGTGAGGAGGAGGAGATGAAGAGGAGGAGAGATGGAGGAGGAGGAGGAGGAGATGAAGAGGAGAGGAGAAGAGGAGGAGGAGGAGATGAAGAGGAGGAGAGTGTGAGGAGGAGGAGATGAAGAGGAGGAGAGTGTGAGGAGGAGGAGGAGGAGATGAAGAGGAGGAGAGTGTGAGGAGGAGGAGGAGATGAAGAGGAGGAGGAGATGAAGAGGAGGAGAGAGTGTGAGGAGGAGATGAAGAGGAGGAGGAGATGAAGAGGAGGAGAGTGTGAGGAGGAGGAGATGAAGAGGAGGAGGGGGAGATGAAGATGAGGAGGAGGAGATGAAGAGGAGGAGAGTGTGAGGAGGAGGAGGAGGAGTGAGGAGGAGGAGATGAAGAGGAGGAGAGTGTGAGGAGGAGGAGATGAAGAGGAGGAGGGTGAGGATGAAGAGGAGGAGAGTGTGAGGAGGAGGAGATGAAGAGGAGGAGAGTGTGAGGAGGAGGAGATGAGAGGAGGAGAGTGTGAGGAGGAGGAGAGAGAGGAGGAGGAGATGAAGAGGAGGAGAGTGTGAGGAGGAGGAGATGAAGAGGAGGAGAGTGTGAGGAGGAGGAGATGAAGAGGAGGAGAGAGGAGTGTGAGGAGGAGGAGGAGGAGATGAAGAGGAGGAGAGTGTGAGGAGGAGGAGGAGATGAAGAGGAGGAGAGTGTGGAGGAGGAGAGATGAAGAGGAGGGAGGAGATGAAGAGGAGGAGGAGGAGATGAAGAGTGAAGGAGGAGGAGATGAAGAGGAGGAGGAGGATGAGAGAGGAGGAGGATGAAGAGGAGGAGAGATGAAGAGGAGAGAGAGGAGAGGAGATGAAGAGGAGGAGAGTGTGAGGAGGAGGATGAAGAGGAGGAGGAGGAGAGGAGTGAGAGGAGATGAAGAGAGGAGAGTGTGAGGAGGAGGAGATGAGGAGGAGAGTGAGGAGGAGGAGATGAGAGAGGAGGATGAAGAGGAGGAGAGTGTGAGGAGGAGGAGATGAAAGAGGAGGAGGATGAAGAGGAGGAGGAGGAGGAGGAGATGAAGAGGAGGAGAGTGTGAGGAGGAGGAGATGAAGAGGAGGAGGAGGAGATGAAGAGGAGGAGAGTGTGAGGAGGAGGAGATGAAGAGGAGGAGAGTGAAGGAGGAGAGGAGGAGATGAAGAGGAGGAGAGTGTGAGGAGGCTGACGTTCTGCTGCTCGTGGTGTTTGTGTCCAGGATCGATCAGGAGTGGCAGTTCAGGATTTACTGTAAAAGTCTGAAGAGAGACGAGAAGAACGCACTGCACCGCTACCTGGAGAGGTCCCACCCCGGCAACCAGCCCGGCAACCAACCCGGCAACCACCCCGGCAACCACCCGGCAACTACCCCGGCAACTACCCCAGCAACCAACCCCATACAGGTACTGCCCCCGATAACAACCAGACCCAACGACCAGACCCAATGACCCAAGACCAGACCCAGAACCAGACCAAGACCAGACCAAGACCAGACCCAAGACCAGACCAGACCAGACCCAAGAACCAGACCAAGACCCAAGGACCAGACCCAACCAGACCAGACCAACGACAGACCAAGACCAGACCCAAGACCAGACCCAACGACCAGACCCAAGAACCAGACCCAAGAACCAGACCCAAGGACCAGACCCAACGACCAGACAGACCCAAACAGACCAGACCCAAGAACCAGACCCAAGGACCAGACCCAACGACCAGACCCAACGACCAGACCAAGAGACCAGACCCAAGGACCAGACCCAACGACCAGACCCAACGATCAAACTCAAAGACCAGACCCAAGGACCAGACCCAACGACCAGACCCAAGAACCAGACCCAAGGACCAGACCCAAGGACCAGACCCAACGACCAGACCCAACAACCACCCAAGACACAAGACATCTGCACACTGTAGTTTAGGTTTAGTCCTGTTTTAGTCCTGTTTTAGTCCTGTTTTAGTCCTTTTTAGTCCTGTTTTAGTCCTGGTTTAGTTCTGGTTCAGTCCTGGTTGTGTCCCTTTAGTTTTGAGCTTCAGACAGGTGTGACAGGTGTGACAGGTGTGGCAGGTGTGAGGTGTGACAGGTGTGGCAGGTGTGGCAGGTGTGACAGGTGTGACAGGTGTGACAGGTGTGACAGGTGTGGCAGGTGTGACAGGTGTGACAGGTGTGGCAGGTGTGACAGGTGTGACAGGTGTGACAGGTGAGACAGGTGTGACAGGTGTGACAGGTGTGGCAGGTGTGACAGGTGTGGCAGGTGTGGCAGGTGTGGCAGGTGTGACAGGTGTGACAGGTGACAGGTGTGACAGGTGTGGCAGGTGTGGGTGTGGGTGTGGCAGGTGTGACAGGTGTGACAGGTGTGGCAGGTGTGGGTGTGCAGGTGTGAGGTGTGACAGGTGTGAGGTGTGACAGGTGTGACAGGTGTGTGAGGTGTGTACAGGTGTGTGAGGTGTGGACAGGTGTGACAGGTGTGGTGTGGCAGGTGTGACAGGTGTGGCAGGTGTGACAGCAGGTGTGTGGACAGGTGTGGTGTGACAGGTGTGGACAGGTGTGGCAGGTGTGAGGTGTGACAGGTGTGGCAGGTGTGGCAGGTGTGACAGGTGTGACAGGTGTGGACAGGTGTGACAGGTGTGGTGTGACAGGTGTGACAGGTGTGTGGCAGGTGTGGCAGGTGTGACAGGTGTGTGGCAGGTGTGCAGGTGTGACAGGTGTGACAGGTGTGTAGGTGTGACAGGTGTGACAGGTGTGACAGGTGTGAGGTGTGAGGTGTGACAGGTGAGGCAGTGTGACAGGTGTGGCAGGTGTTGTGTGACAGGTGTGGCAGGTGTGACAGGTGTGGCAGGTGTGACAGGTGTGACAGGTGAGGTGTGACAGGTGTGAGGTGGTGACAGGTGTGGCAGGTGTGACAGGTTGTGGCAGGTGTGGACAGGTGAGAGTGTGACAGGTGTGTGTGGCAGGTGTGGCAGGTGTGGCAGGTGTGACAGGTGTGACAGGTGTGACAGGTGTGACAGGTGTGACAGGTGTGACAGGTGTGACAGGTGTGACAGGTGTGACAGGTGTGGCAGGTGCGACACGGTGTGACAGGTGAGGTGAGTGTCAGGTGCAGTTTGTGTCAGGTGCAGATGTGTGACCTGGTTCATGGTTCAGATCCTGAAACTCTCCACATGAAACAACAACTGGCACAAAGTTCAGCTTCGTCTGTCGGAGAATTTTTTCACAAGTTTCAGAAAGTGAAGCCGAGACTCGACCTGATTCTCCAACATTATTCCTTTTTCAGATGGAGCAGGTCCAGAAGGTCAGAAGTTTCCTCAGACCGAAGAAGAATCTGAAAACCTGGTCTTCAGACTGGAGGGAGACAAATGGATGGTGAGGGACTTTAGACCTGTTTTAGTCCTGGTTTAGTCCTGGTTTAGTTCTGGTCCAGTCCTAGTTCAGTCCTAGTTCAGACCTGGTCCAGTCCTGATTCAGTCTTGGTCCAGGCATGATCTAGTCCTGGTTGAAATCTGGTTCAGTCTTGGTCAAGTTCTGGTCCTGGTCCAACACTGGTCCAAACCTAGTTTAGTCCTGGTTTAGTCCTGGTTTAGTCTTGATTCAGCCCTGGTCCAATCCTGGTTTAGTCCTGGTTTAGTCCTGGTCCTGACCTGGTTCTGACCTGGTTTTGTCTCCAGTCTTTCCCGAAGGAGCTGCAGTGGATGACGTACCTCACAGAGTGGTACGTGACCCACACTCGGATCCAGAGACTTCCCGAGTTCTTGGACCAGTTTTCCAAACTGACGATCATGGACCTGTCCAAGAACCAGATCTGTGAAGTCCCGCCCGAGATCGGTGAGTCCAGAAAAACACAAAACGTTCCATTATCGATTTGAATAAATATAGAAACTGTCTGTAGACTGTCCTCGTACGGTTTAAAACTACTGCAGTCACAAATGAACCTGCTGGTGGGTCGTGGTGGGTCAGTTTTTGGGTCAGTTGTAGGTGGGTTGGTAGGTCATTTGGTGGGTCACGTGCAGGTTGCTGGTGGATTATTGTCGGTTGTGGGTCTGTGATGGGTCTGTTGGTTGTAGGTCAGGAGTGTCAAACTCATTTTGTTCCGGGGGTCGTGTCCAACCGACTTTGATCCCAAAGTGTCCGGATCAGAAAACTCATGTCATATAAACCCAAAAATAACAATAAGTTCAAATATTTGTGCAGAGAAACACAAATCTATTACAGAAATCTTTTTAATTGATGAACTCTTTCTTTTACAAAATATTATATTATTATTAAGAACCTGAAACTTTAAGAAAAATTCTATTTCAACACAAAGTTTTAACATGAACTTGTATGTAAATAGGAATTTTAAAAAAATTCTTGTATAATCCTGCACTCGGCTTCACTTTTCTCATGTTGGACATTTTTCTGATGAGGGTGTCACGGTCAACAGTCAAAACGATCGTCCTTTAAGAGCGTTTGGAAAGAGACAAGTCTTCATTTGTGCTGCTCTGGTGGGAGGGGCCACGTACAGAGACGCTGGAGACGCTGCTGTGATAAACACCACAGAAAATTAACAAGATTTTAATAGAAAATATAATTACAATATTTTAGTAGAAAATCAGCCGAGGGCCAGATTAAAGGTGTTGGAGGGCCAGATCTGGCCCCCGGGCCGTATGTTTGACACCTGTGTTGTAGGTCGGTGGTCCTCACATTTGCTTCTTTCTCTGGTGGTTGGTTGGTTTTTGGGTCAGTTGTAGGTCGGTTGTTGGTTTGTGGCGGTGTCGGTTACTGGTGGGTCGGTTTGTGGAGTTTGGTTCTGAAGTCGGTGGTAGGGGTTGTGGTGGGTCGTTGTGGGTGTCGGTTGTGGGTCTGGTGGGTGTTGTGGGGGTCGGTTGTGGGGCTGTGATGGGTTGGGTGGTGGGTCGGTTGTGGGTCGGTTGTGGGTCGGTTGTGGGGCTGTGATGGGTTGGGTGGTGGGTCGGTCAGTTGTGGGACGGTGTTCCTCACAGTTGCTTCTCTCTTTGGTGGTGGTCAGTGGGTCGGTTGGTTTTTGGGTTGGTTCGTGGGTCAGTTTTTGAGTCGGTTATGGGTTGGTGGTTGGTGGTGGTTGGTGGGTCGGTTGGTGGGTTGGTTGTAGGTTGGGTTTTAGGTCGATGTTCCTCACAGTTGCTCCTCTGTGTAGGAAAACTCTCGTCGCTGAAGGAGCTGAACTTGAGCTTTAATCGTCTGATGAAGGTTCCTCTGGAGCTCGGCGACTGTGAGGAGCTGCAGAGACTCGAGCTCGCCGGGAACCGACTCTGTGAGCTGCCCTTCGAGGTGAGCCAGATGCCCTCCCGTCCTCCTGCCCCTGTGTGTCAGATGCCCTCCCGTCCTCCTGCCCCTGTGTGCCAGATGCCCTCCCGTCCTCCTGCCCCTGTGTGTCAGATGCCCTCCCGTCCTCCTGCCCCTGTGTGCCAGATGCCCTCCCGTCCTCCTGCCCCTGTGTGTCAGATGCCCTCCCGTCCTCCTGCCCCTGTGTGTCAGATGCCCTCCCGTCCTCCTGCCCCTGTGTGTCAGATGCCCTCCCAGATCTAGATCTTCTGCAGAGTTTTTTTACGTCCATAAACCTGAAAAGACGTTAGACTCAGACGAGGGCAGCAGAAGATTTCCCCGTTTATTACATTCTGTTTTTACATCCTGTATCACTGGAAATCTACAAAAGATAAATTCACAAATGTTGTTTATTTATTTATGTTGGTGACCAAGTCGAGAACCACTGTGAAACACAAATCTGCACTTTAACAAGTTTTTTAACAAGTTTTAGTTTTAGCTGCTCCCATCTGTAATAAATATGAAAGTTCATGTGACCTTCACAAAGTCTTTTTTTTTTTTTTTTAACACAAGGTGTTTTAACACAAGGTTACAGTTAATGGAATAAAAGAAACTAAATATTTTTACACAACAGAAGAAGATACAAGAAATAAAACACAAGAAATTATAGCAGTTGGCAAATACAAAATGGCAAAAGGAGAAATTCAATTTGTCGACTGGACAAAAGTTTATTGAGGTCAAAAATGTTTCTGAGCTCATCCAAGCGGCTTCAGTTCAGCACAAAGATGTACGACAGACTGAGGTCCACTGTGGTCCAGAGGTCCAGAGGTCCAGAGAGGTCCAGAGAGGCCCAGAGAGGTCCAGAGGTCCAGAGAGGCCCAGAGAGGCCCAGAGTCCAGAGAGGCCCAGAGAGGCCCAGAGGTCCAGAGAGGTCCAGAGGTCCAGAGAGGTCCAGAGAGGCCCAGAGGTCCAGAGAGGCCCAGAGAGGCCCAGACGTCCAGAGAGGTCCAGAGGTCCAGAGAGGGCCAGAGAGGCCCAGAGGCCCAGAGAGGTCCAGAGAGGTCCAGAGAGGTCCAGAGAGGCCCAGAGAGGTCCAGAGGTCCAGAGAGGCCCAGAGAGGCCCAGAGTCCAGAGAGGCCCAGAGAGGTCCAGAGGTCCAGACGTCCAGAGGCCCAGAGAGGTCCAGAGGTCCAGAGAGGTCCAGAGGTCCAGAGAGGTCCAGAGGCCCAGAGGTCCAGAGGTCCAGAGAGTCCAGAGAGGCCCCAGAGAGGCCCAGAGTCCAGAGAGGTCCAGAGAGGTCCAGAGAGGTCCAGACGTCCAGAGGTCCAGAGGTGTGAAAGCTCCATTATGGGCCTGAATGATTCTGCTAATCTGACCCCAGAGGAGTTTGAGTGCAGTGACGCCCCCTTCAGGCAGATATGAGGACGTGTCACCAACATCTGACCAGAACTGAAGAAGCAGCCTGGATGAGCCAAGGAACGTTTTTGCCCAAATAAACTTTTGTCCAGTCGACAAATTGAATTTCTCCTTTTGAAGATTTGGATTTTACACAAATAAAAAAACAAAAAAAATCAGGTGAGTAATATTTCTAGTAGAACAGAAAACAATTTAAAGTTACAGTTTGTTGCTTTTCAGAAGAGACGACCACTTTTGTTACTTTGGTTTAAATTCAGTTTAATACAGGATATTGTAAATATTTAACGACCAAATGATAAAATTTCTCAGCTTTTTTCTTAGTTACTGTCTTAATGGTTGTAAAATATTGCTGTATTTTGTTTTTAAAGTGTGTGTGTATCTATGTGTATATACTTATATATGTGTGTTTATATATATTCATGTGTGTGTGTTTCAGCTGAGTTCCCTGAAGCAGCTCCACCTGCTGGACGTGTCAGAAAACTGTCTGGTGTCTCTGCCCATCTGTGTCCTGAGGATGGACTCTCTGAAGACCCTGGACCTGAGCAACAACCGACTCAAAGACCTGCCCGAGGACATGGACCGGTGAGACCAGGACCGGGCTTAGACCAACACCGGGTTTAGACCAAGACCGGGTTTAGACCAACACCGGGTTTAGACCAACACCGGGTTTAGACCAACACCGGGTTTAGACCAACACCGGGTTTAGACCAACACCGGGTTTAGACCAAGACCGGGTTTAGACCAACACCGGGTTTAGACCAACACCGGGTTTAGACCAACACCGGGTTTAGACCAACACTAACACAGAGTTTAGACCAAGACCGGGTTTAGACTGAGACCAGGTTTAGATCTCTGTACTCTGAGCTCAGGTTCTTCTTCTCCTGGAGTGAGAACAAACGTCTTCTGAAATGAACTTAACTCTTCTTGTGTTGTTTTTGCCCCTGTCTGCCCCTGTCTGCTCCTGTCTGCCCCTGTCTGCTCCTGTCTGCCCCTGTCTGCTCCTGTCTGCTGTCCCCTGTCTGCCCGTCTGTCTGCTCCCTGTCTGCCCCTGTCTGCCCCTGTCTGTCTGCCCTGTCTGCCCCTGTCTGCTCCTGTCTGTCTGTCTCCTGTCTGCCCCTGTCTGCCCTGTCTGCTGTCTGCCCCTGTCTGCTGTCCCCCTGTCTGCTCCTGTCTGCTCCTGTCTGCCCTGTCTGCTGCTGTCCCTGTCTGCCCCTGTCTGCTTCTGTCTGCCCCTGTCTGCTGCTCCTGTCTGCCCCTGTCTGCTCCTGTCTGCTCCTGTCTGCTCCTGTCTGCTCCTGTCTGCTCCTGTCTGCCCCTGTCTGTCTGTCTGCCCTGTCTGCCCTCCCTGTCTGCCCCTGTCTGCTCCCTGTCTGCCCCTGTCTGCTCCTGTCTGCTCCTGTCTGCTCCTGCCCCTGTCTGCTCCTGTCTGCCCCTGTCTGCTCCTGTCTGCTCCTGTCAGCCTGTGGAGCCTGGAGTCCCTGTTCATCCATAAGAATCACCTGTCGTACCTGCCGCAGAGTCTGGGCCTGATCAGCTCCTTGAACATGGTGATCGTGAGCGGAGACGAACTCACCTGCCTCCCCACCAGACTCTGCAGTAGCCCCGACATCAAGTACTGCAATACTACTACTACTACTACTACTACTACTACTACTACTGCATCCCCACCAGACTCTGCAGTAGCCCCGACATCAAGTACTGCAATACTACTACTACTACTACTACTACTACTACTACTACTACTACTACTACCTACTACTACTAGCATCCCCACCAGACTCTGCAGTAGCCCCGACATCAAGTACTGCAATACTACTACTACTACTACTACTACTACTACTACTACTGCCCCACCAGACTCTGCAGTAGCCCCGACATCAAGTACTGCAATACTACTACTACTACTACTACTACTACTACTACTACTGCACCCATACTCTGCAGTAGCCCGACATCACTACTACTACTACTACTACTACTACTACTACTGCATCCCCACCAGACTCTGCATAGCCCCACAAAGTACTACACTACTACTACTACTACTACTACTACTACTACTACTGCATCCCCACCAGACTCTGCAGTAGCCCCGACATCAACTACTACTACTACTACTACTACTACTACTACTGCTACTATACTACTACTACTACTACTACTACTACTACTACTACTACTACTACTGCCTCCCCACCAGACTCTGCAGTAGCCCCGACATCAAGTACTGCAATACTACTACTACTACTACTACTACTACTACTACTACTACTGCATCCCCACCAGACTCTGCAGTAGCCCCACATCAAGTACTGCAATACTACTACTACTACTACTACTACTACTACTACTACTGCATCCCACCAGACTCTGCAGTAGCCCCCACATCAAGTACTGCAATACTACTACTACTACTACTACTACTACTACTACTACTGCATCCCCACCAGACTCTGCAGTAGCCCCCACATCAAGTACTGCAATACTACTACTACTACTACTACTACTACTACTACTACTACTACTACTACTACTACTACTGCATCCCCACCAGACTCTGCAGTAGCCCCCACATCAAGTACTGCAATACTACTACTACTACTACTACTACTACTACTACTACTGCATCCCACCAGACTCTGCAGTAGCCCCCACATCAAGTACTGCAATACTACTACTACTACTACTACTACTACTACTACTACTGCATCCCCACCAGACTCTGCAGTAGCCCCCACATCAAGTACTGCAATACTACTACTACTACTACTACTACTACTACTACTACTACTGCATCCCCACCAGACTCTGCAGTAGCCCCCACATCAAGTACTGCAATACTACTACTACTACTACTACTACTACTACTACTACTACTACTACTGCATCCCCACCAGACTCTGCAGTAGCCCCCACATCAAGTACTGCAATACTACTACTACTACTACTACTACTACTACTACTACTACTGCATCCCCACCAGACTCTGCAGTAGCCCCCACATCAAGTACTGCAATACTACTACTACTACTACTACTACTACTACTACTACTACTGCATCCCACCAGACTCTGCAGTAGCCCCCACATCAAGTACTGCAATACTACTACTACTACTACTACTACTACTACTACTACTACTACTACTACTACTGCATCCCCACCAGACTCTGCAGTAGCCCCCACATCAAGTACTGCAATACTACTACTACTACTACTACTACTACTACTACTACTACTACTACTGCATCCCCACCAGACTCTGCAGTAGCCCCCACATCAAGTACTGCAATACTACTACTACTACTACTACTACTACTACTACTACTACTACTACTGCATCCCCACCAGACTCTGCAGTAGCCCCCACATCAAGTACTGCAATACTACTACTACTACTACTACTACTACTACTACTGCATCCCCACCAGACTCTGCAGTAGCCCCCACATCAAGTACTGCAATACTACTACTACTACTACTACTACTACTACTACTACTGCATCCCCACCAGACTCTGCAGTAGCCCCGACATCAAGTACTGCAATACTACTACTACTACTACTACTACTACTACTACTACTACTACTACTGCATCCCCACCAGACTCTGCAGTAGCCCCCACATCAAGTACTGCAATACTACTACTACTACTACTACTACTACTACTACTACTACTACTACTACTGCATCCCCACCAGACTCTGCAGTAGCCCCCACATCAAGTACTGCAATACTACTACTACTACTACTACTACTACTACTACTACTGCATCCCCACCAGACTCTGCAGTAGCCCCCACATCAAGTACTGCAATACTACTACTACTACTACTACTACTACTACTACTACTACTGCATCCCCACCAGACTCTGCAGTAGCCCCCACATCAAGTACTGCAATACTACTACTACTACTACTACTACTACTACTACTACTACTGCATCCCCACCAGACTCTGCAGTAGCCCCCACATCAAGTACTGCAATACTACTACTACTACTACTACTACTACTACTACTACTACTACTGCATCCCCACCAGACTCTGCAGTAGCCCCCACATCAAGTACTGCAATACTACTACTACTACTACTACTACTACTACTACTACTACTACTACTGCATCCCCACCAGACTCTGCAGTAGCCCCCACATCAAGTACTGCAATACTACTACTACTACTACTACTACTACTACTACTACTACTACTACTACTGCATCCCCACCAGACTCTGCAGTAGCCCCCACATCAAGTACTGCAATACTACTACTACTACTACTACTACTACTACTACTACTACTACTGCATCCCCACCAGACTCTGCAGTAGCCCCCACATCAAGTACTGCAATACTACTACTACTACTACTACTACTACTACTACTACTACTACTACTGCATCCCCACCAGACTCTGCAGTAGCCCCCACATCAAGTACTGCAATACTACTACTACTACTACTACTACTACTACTACTACTGCATCCCCACCAGACTCTGCAGTAGCCCCCACATCAAGTACTGCAATACTACTACTACTACTACTACTACTACTACTACTACTACTGCATCCCCACCAGACTCTGCAGTAGCCCCCACATCAAGTACTGCAATACTACTACTACTACTACTACTACTACTACTACTACTACTGCATCCCCACCAGACTCTGCAGTAGCCCCCACATCAAGTACTGCAATACTACTACTACTACTACTACTACTACTACTACTACTACTACTACTACTGCATCCCCACCAGACTCTGCAGTAGCCCCCACATCAAGTACTGCAATACTACTACTACTACTACTACTACTACTACTACTACTGCATCCCACCAGACTCTGCAGTAGCCCCCACATCAAGTACTGCAATACTACTACTACTACTACTACTACTACTACTACTACTACTGCATCCCCACCAGACTCTGCAGTAGCCCCCACATCAAGTACTGCAATACTACTACTACTACTACTACTACTACTACTACTACTGCATCCCCACCAGACTCTGCAGTAGCCCCCACATCAAGTACTGCAATACTACTACTACTACTACTACTACTACTACTACTACTACTACTGCATCCCCACCAGACTCTGCAGTAGCCCCCACATCAAGTACTGCAATACTACTACTACTACTACTACTACTACTACTACTACTACTACTGCATCCCCACCAGACTCTGCAGTAGCCCCCACATCAAGTACTGCAATACTACTACTACTACTACTACTACTACTACTACTACTGCATCCCCACCAGACTCTGCAGTAGCCCCCACATCAAGTACTGCAATACTACTACTACTACTACTACTACTACTACTACTACTACTACTGCATCCCCACCAGACTCTGCAGTAGCCCCCACATCAAGTACTGCAATACTACTACTACTACTACTACTACTACTACTACTACTACTGCATCCCCACCAGACTCTGCAGTAGCCCCGACATCAAGTACTGCAATACTACTACTACTACTACTACTACTACTACTACTACTGCATCCCCACCAGACTCTGCAGTAGCCCCCACATCAAGTACTGCAATACTACTACTACTACTACTACTACTACTACTGCATCCCCACCAGACTCTGCAGTAGCCCCCACATCAAGTACTGCAATATTACTACTACTACTACTACTACTACTACTACTACTACTACTACTACTACTACTACTACTGCATCCCCACCAGACTCTGCAGTAGCCCCCACATCAAGTACTGCAATACTACTACTACTACTACTACTACTACTACTACTACTGCATCCCCACCAGACTCTGCAGTAACCTAGAGGTTTTAGACCTGGTTTAGTCCTGGTTTAGTCCTGGTTTAGACCTGGTTTTGGTTTAGTCCTGGTTTACCTGTTTAGACCTGGTTTAGTCCTGGTTTAGACCTGGTCCTGGTTTAGTCCTGGTTTAGACCTGGTTTAGACCTGGTTTAGACCTGGTTTAGTCCTGGTTTAGACCTGGTTTAGTCCTGGTTTAGACCTGGTTTAGACCTGGTTTAGTCCTGGTTTAGTCCTGGTTTAGACCTGGTTTAGTCCTGGTTTAGTCCTGGTTTAGACCTGGTTTAGACCTGGTTTAGACCTGGTTTAGTCCTGGTTTAGTCCTGGTTTAGACCTGGTTTAGACCTGGTTTAGACCTGGTTTAGTCCTGGTTTAGACCTGGTTTAGACCTGGTTTAGACCTGGTTTAGTCCTGGTTTAGTCCTGGTTTAGACCTGGTTTAGTCCTGGTTTTAGACCTGGTTTAGTCCTGGTTTAGACCTGGTTTAGACCTGTTTTAGTCCTGGTTTAGACCTGGTTTAGACCTGGTTTAGTCCTGGTTAGTCCTGTTTAGACCTGGTTTAGACCTGTTTAGTCCTGGTTTAGTCCTCCTGGTTTACCTGGTTTAGACCTGGTTTAGACCTGTTTAGTCCTGTTTAGACCTGTTTTTTAGTCCTGGTTTAGACCTGGTTTACCTGGTTTAGACCTGGTTTAGTCCTGGTTTAGACCTGGTTAGACCTGGTTTAGACCTGGTTTAGACTGGTTTAGTCTGGTTTAGTCCCTGGTTTAGTCCTGGTTTAGAGACCTGGTTTAGACCTGGTTTAGTCTGGTTTAGTCCTGGTTTAGACCTGGTTTTCCTGGTTTGTCCTGGTTTAGACCTGGTTTTAGACCTGGTTTAGACCTGGTTTAGTCCTGGTTTAGTCCTGGTTAGACCTGGTTTAGACCTGGTTTAGACCTGGTTTAGTCCTGGTTTAGACCTGGTTTAGACCTGGTTTAGACCTGGTTTAGTCCTGGTTTAGACCTGGTTTAGACCTGGTTTAGTCCTGGTTTAGACCTGGTTTAGACCTGGTTTAGTCCTGGTTTTAGTCCTGGTTTAGACCTGGTTTAGACTGGTTTAGACCTGGTTTAGACCTGGTTTAGTCCTGGTTTAGACCTGGTTTAGACCTGGTTTAGACCTGGTTTAGTCCTGGTTTAGACCTGGTTTAGACCTGGTTTAGACCTGGTTTAGTCCTGGTTTAGACCTGTTTTAGACCTGGTTTAGACCTGGTTTAGTCCTGGTTTAGTCTGGTTTAGTCCTGGTTAGACCTGGTTTAGTCCTGGTTTAGACCTGGTTTAGACCTGGTTTAGTCCTGGTTTAGACCTGGTTTTAGACCTGGTTTAGACCTGGTTTAGACCTGGTTTGGTTTAGTCCTGGTTTAGTCCTGGTTTAGACCTGGTTTAGACCTGGTCCTGGTTTAGTCCTGGTTTAGACCTGGTTAGACCTGGTTTAGACCTGGTTTAGACCTGGTTTAGTCCTGGTTTAGACCTGGTTTAGACCTGGTTTAGTCCTGGTTTAGACCTGGTTTAGACCTGGTTTAGACCTGGTTTAGACCTGGTTTAGTCCTGGTTTAGACCTGGTTTAGACCTGGTTTAGTCCTGGTTTAGACCTGGTTTAGACCTGTTTAGACCTGGTTTTAGACCTGGTTTAGACCTGGTTTAGTCCTGGTTTAGACCTGGTTTAGTCCTGGTTTAGACCTGGTTTAGACCTGGTTTAGACCTGTTTAGTCCTGGTTTAGTCCTGGTTTAGACCTGGTTTAGTCCTGGTTTAGACCTGGTTTAGACCTGGTTTAGTCCTGGTTTAGTCCTGGTTTAGACTGGTTTAGACTGGTTTAGACCTGGTTTAGTCCTGGTTTAGTCCTGGTTTAGACCTGGTTTAGACCTGGTTTAGACCTGGTTTAGACCTGGTTTAGTCCTGGTTTAGTCCTGGTTTAGACCTGCTTGGTTTAGACCTGGTTTAGACCTGGTTTAGACCTGGTTTAGACCTGGTTTAGACCTGGTTTAGACTGTTTAGACCTGGTTTAGACCTGGTTTAGACCTGGTTTAGTCCTGGTTTAGACCTGGTTTAGACCTGGTTTAGACCTGGTTTTCTGGTGTGTCCAGGTTCATTCGTTTGTATGATTCTCCGACGCTGCAGCAGAAGCAGAAGAAGGAGGAGGATCAGAAGAGGAAAGAGGAACAGAGGAGAACCTGGAGAGGAGCAGAACATCAGGAGAGAGACACTTCCGAGAAAGAGTTCCTCCAGGCCTACGTCAGCACGCTCGCCCACAGAGGTACTACAAATACTACAAATACTACAAATACTACTGCAGACAGGCCTACGTCAGCACGCTCGCCCACAGAGGTACTACAAATACTACAAATACTACTGCAAATACTACAAATACTACTGCAGACAGGCCTACGTCAGCACGCTCGCCCACAGAGGTACTACAAATACTACAAATACTACTACAAATACTACAAAATACTACTGCAGACAGGCCTACGTCAGCACGCTCGCCCACAGAGGTACTACAAATACTACAAATACTACTACAAATACTACAAATACTACTGCAGACAGGCCTACGTCAGCACGCTCGCCCACAGAGGTACTACAAATACTACAAATACTACAAATACTACAAATACTACTGCAGACAGGCCTACGTCAGCACGCTCGCCCACAGAGGTACTACAAATACTACAAATACTACTACAAATTTCTGTAATAGATTTGTGTTTCTCTGCACAAATATTTGAACTTATTGTTATTTTTGGGGTTTATATGACATGAGTTTTCTGATCCGGACACTTTGGGATCAAAGTCGGTTGGACACGACCCCCGGAACAAAATGAGATTGACTCTCCTGCCATATGATCATTTTCCCCAAATATCAGATTTTTCCTGATACTAAAAATGTATTTGAGCCTGAGAGGGTTAATTGATAATCGATCGTTAATTCTCCCGACGATCGATTAAGAAAATGTAATCGAATGCCCCTGTGTGAAACGACAGAATCACCTTTAATGGTTTTTTGTCCGTCTGCAGAGTCTGTCCCGTACGCCACCACCAAGATCTCCATCTCCTGTCAGCTCTGAGGAAACGAAGAAGACGAGAAGGAGAGAAGAAGACGACGACGAGGAGTTTAGAGGAGAGAGGGAGGAAGGGAGAGTTGAGGAGAAGAAGCTTTTTGTAAGGTTTTTTTTTTTTTTGGTTGTTTTTTGCACAAGTTTCCTGCGTTTGATCCCTAGAGTAGACGGGTGTTTCTCCAACTGTGAGAAAACTGCTCCGAAGGTCAAACATGATCCTTTGTTTTTGTTGGTGTGAAATGTTCCTGTGTAAATACGGTTCACGGTTTTGTGATTTGAGCGTCAGAGCAGAGATTCTGTAGATTTCATTCCAGGTTTAGACTTTTTTTTGTGTGTTTTTGTGTTTGTGTTTTGTACTTTTTATGAACCAGGACTCAGGTGGGACTCGACTCGAACGACAGTGAATATTTGGTCGGATTTATTTTTTTTTTTTTTTTGAAGGACGACTGAAAACGTGTATGTGAGACTGAACGTTAGGCTGCATCATTTGCCCCAGTGTCAGAAATTCAACTTGTTCCCAATTATAAAATGGGACAAAACCGTTTAAAAGAAAATCTGTGGAATATTTGCTCAAGTGAATAAAATCTACTGGGTCCAACAAGTGTCTTAAGTTCCATCCTAACAGTGTCCATAAGACTCTTTTTTTCTCAAAGAACTTTAAAAATAATCCATTTGGGGCCACGGTGTCAATGAAAGTTAAATATAAATGTTGCTGTTGTTGCATCTTTTGGTACCAATTTTATCTATCTCAATAACTTTCAACAATATCACAAATTTGTCGAGATTTTGTGTGTTTTTTTTCATAATTATCTAAAATCCACAAAGGCCAAAGGTGAAATGAGAGACATAAAGTTTGTTTTTTCTGTAGTGATCATAGATTTATCAGATTAAAAGATATGATATATTGATATTTCAGTATTTTTGCACAGTCCTGTTTCTTATTGATGCTTTGACAAGTATTTTACAGTGAACACGTCTGATAACAACAGACATAATATAATAATACCTGTATTAAAAATTTTACTTTTCACTGTTTCAAGTCTTTGAGTTCTAAATTTGTTCTTTTCAAGTTCCATAAAGTGTTTTAGGTCAGACATTTGTTACACTTCAGGACCTGTTGATTATTCAAGGTCCTTGAAACACTAAAGAAATGAGACTTTTGCTACGTCTCCGAAACTAATGATGATCGAGACAAAAAAACTGAACCAAATGATCCACAATGTCCATGTTTATATTTAACTTTCATTGATACTATTGGGTTAAATGTATTATTTTTGATGTTATTAAAGAAAATCAGATGTTTCAGTTCAGATTTAAATCTTCTGCAGACACTAAACTCCAGAGACTTGGTGAACCCAGTAAACATCAAGAGAATTTTATGAAATTTCTCATGGAAGTTTACTTTGGCAAATGTAAAAAAAATTATTCTAGGTACAGACTGATTTTCAAAAATGTTTCAAAAATTGGGCAAATGATTCTCCCTATTGGAGATGTAAGAGTATCTGGCAAAAACTGTGAATATTCAGGTCACAATATTTCCATTTCCACTCGATCCATTCTCCAAACCTAAAAGTGTGAAGTGTTTTTAAGAATGAGAATAAGATCGAGAGTTTAAGAGGAGTGAAGATCCATGAGGCGACGTGAAAGTGACTGAAGGATTCCACCGTTTGGTCCTGGGCTCAGAAATCTGGAATATTAATGGTAAAAATTGTGTTTCTTTTCGTGGGAGTTGTAAAATTTGAATCCACCTGCTCCAAAACACAGAGGGTCTGACCGTGGATCAGTTTGTAAAAACAAACAACAACAAAAAAGACCAAACATTAATACAGAATTAATTCACCAATAAAAAATATATAAAAACACACTTTACCAGTTCAAATACTTTTACAGTGACTTGCATTTATCATAGTGTAAAAAAAAAACAGTACAACAAAATTAAATCTGTAATTATTCTGGAGCTACCAGTTGCTTTCCACAACCTTCCAAGTCGCTCGCCAAAAGATTTCAGAATTATACCATCGTCCTGAATTACAAAAAATGTGTTAATAACGTCCAACTTTTTGCACTAATAAAAGGACAATAGTTTTATGTTTTATCGGCGTCTCACTGCTCCCAAAGACTCGCCCGCTTTTTTTTTATCGTCTCAATTTCTTGCGGCCGTTAAAATGAGCAGCTCTCTGGCATTTTCGTTTTGTAAAGGAGTTCATCGGAGAAAAAAAGTTGGAAACTCGAGACACAGACTGTTTATATAAATGGACAGAAAGTGAACACGGGCGCGATTCTGGGTCCATCGATTCTGGCTCCAGTCGACTTTACATTGAAAAACTGTGTCTCGTTTCTGTAGCTGCTGCTGTCAGGCTCCTCATTTTGGTCTTTTTTTTTTTAACTTTATTTTTATTAGAACATTTTATTTTTGTATTTCACATTTATTAGCAGTGCAGAACACAATAATCGTCAGACCAAAAAAATATATATATATAATAAAATAAAATGGGAGGCTATTTATGGAGTTAGAAAGCTTCCAGAAATAAGTCATAACTTTTCAGTTCATATTCTGATTGATAAAATAAACACAACACATTTTATGTACGACTGGACTCATTCTAGAATTTAACAATATTTATTTTATGCTCAACTACAGACAAATATTCACATGAATATTTCTGAAAGTTTTTTACTCCAAAGCCGTCAAATAGGATTTGTTGATAGTAAAATTTCCACTTTTTTCAGTACAGTTCTTTATTTGAGTGTCTCAAGGAAAATGTTTTTCGTTCCACTCTGACTAGGACTAAATTTGGACTAAGTAAGGACTATAAACTAGGACTAAACCTGGGATTACTATAATACTACTAAATATAGACTAAACCAGGACTAAACTAGGACTAAATTTAGGACTACTACACTATGACTAAATAAGGCCTAAACCTGGACTGAGCCTAGACTAAACCAGGCTAAGTCCTAGTTTAGTCCTTATTTAGTCATAGTGTAGTAGTCCTAAATTTAGTCCTAGTTTAGTCCTGGTTTAGTCTATATTTAGTAGTAGTAGTTTAGTAGTCCCAGGTTTAGTCCTGGTTTAGTTCAAGTTTAGTCCAGGTTTTGTCCTAGACCTGGACTATACTAGGACTAAACCTGGACTAAACTTGAACTGATGGTGTCTGAGGCAGAATAATTAAGATTGATGTAAACAGATTATTCTACAAACACGGTCCATGGTCAGGTCTTTTGTTTTTCTTCTGTAGTTCTGTTTGTGTTCAGATTTCATGAGGTTTTGTAGATTTTTAAATGAGCCGTTTGAAAGTGACTGAAGGGTTTGAAACGCTGCGTGAGACCAAAGCTTTTCACATGTTTAGGTTTAAATGTTTGTATCAATAAAACTTTAGATGCAAATATCCGTGCGTTTGTGTCTTCTTCTCTTCTCAGGTGAACAGCGCCTCCAGGTGGGGGCAGGAAATAACTGCATGTACTTTTGAACGACCCAGGGTAAAAATCTGACCACAACATCCGGGATTTTAATTCTTTAATCTGAGGCTTGAAACTTCTCTATTCTTTGGATAAAAGCTTCAGTTTTATGGGTTAAGATGAACTAAAAGGTTAAACTTGACTCGTTTGGCTGCACTTTTACTGATCTGATGAAATGGCGCCTCCTGGTGTTTGGTCCAGTGAACTGCAGAGAGACAAACCCCAGAGCTTCTGATCTGTTCTTATAAAATGAACCTTTAAATGAACAGAATCAGAAGTTTGAGTCACTGACACTTTCCAAAACACATGAGCAGTGTTGTGAAGTTTACTTTTAAAACATATTCCCCTACAGATTACAGATTACACACACCAGAATGTAGTTTGTAACAGAATTCATTAAATTACTTGCAGTGAGTAATGTAATCTGAATACTTTGGATTACTTGATATTGTCATGTTTTTTAAAACTACATAAATGTACCAACCACATCCTGAAAATTCAGGTTTGTTTTCTTCAAATTGTCTGTTGAGTCCAAGTCTCCATGAACAGACTTTTGTTTTACTGTAGGTCAGAAGTGTCAAACTCATTTTGTTCCGGGGGTCGTGTCCAACCGACTTTGATCCCAAAGTGTCCGGATCAGAAAACTCATGTCATATAAACCCCAAAAATAATAAGTTCAAATATTTGTGCAGAGAAACACAAATCTATTACTGAAATCTTTTTAAATTGATGAACTCTTTCTTTTACAAAATATATTATGAACAACCTGAAACTTTGTGTTGAAATTGTATTTTTCTTAAAGTTTTAACAGGAACTTGTATAAACAGGAATAAGTTCATTTTTGTTGTAAAATCCTGCACTCGGCTTCACTTTTCTCATGTTGGACATTTTTCTGATGAGTGTCACGGTCAACCACAAGTCCAAGACAAGAAAAATATCTGATGAAGGCTTTTTTTGCCGAAACGTTATTTTGTTAATAAAATAGTATTTGGACATCGGCCAACCGAGTGTGCGATGCATTTTTTCACCCTGAACTGGCAACTCCTTGCATTTGCACCTCTGCAGGAATCTTGGTGTGCGTTTTCTGTTTCTTTTTATTGGGATTATAGTTTAACATTTATTGTCGTCTTTTTTAAGCAAAAAGGTGCAGACGTTCACAAATAACTTAGAACTCTGGAGCTGATCTGATGAAACGGCGCCTCCTGGTGTCTGGTCCAGTGAACTGCAGAAGACAAGCTGTACTGACACAAATCCCAGAGCTTCTGACCTGTTCTTACAAAATAAACCTTTAAATGAACAGAATCAGAACAGTTTGAGTCACTGACATTTTACAAAACACATGGGACAGTACAAGTTTTTTTTTCATAAATCCTGACACTTTCTGATTAAACAGAGGCACAAATAACAAGGTTCCTGCTCTTTTACTGACAAAATTTCTAAACTTTTCCATGATTTTACAGCACCTGAATTGAGTGTCTAATTATTTAAATAACTATTCTGCACTTGGTCCATTCATGACGAACATGAGTCAGTCTCACATTTTCTTTGTGTTTTGGTCGTTTTTAAGCGGATTGTCTGTATTTTACACAAACAAATGACAGTTTATGTCTCTTTTTTACTGTTGCCATGTATCAAATCAATCAAAAATAGACACCTGGGACATTTCTTGTATAAAACTGGGACAAATCATTTCTTTTATTTACATCTGCTGGGACAAGGGACACAGGGCTCAAAACTGGGACTGTCCCGGGTAAAAGGGACGTCTGGTCACGCTGTATCAGTACCATCAGTATCCAGGGTTCCCACTCTTTTTCACTGACATTTCAAAACTTTTCCAAGACTTTTTCATGACCTAAAGTGAATTTTCCATGACTTTACAGCACCTACATGTGTAGAATTGAGACTTTTAGGGTAAATCTGAAATGTGAACTTTTTCCACTCACTTTATGGTTTGGGATTATAGTTTTTGAACATTCAAAATCCTGTCAGTGCATTTATTGTCGTCTCTTAAACAAAGGAGCAGATGTTCAGAAATAATCAGAAGAGACTCATGAGAACTTAACAGAACACTGGAGTTTCATGAAGGATCCATGACTTTTCCAGGCCTGGATATTGACTTGGGAACCCTGAAATAAACATTTAACACCCAGAAACAGAACAGACGACGCTTTAGGCTCAATCATCAGGTTTAAAACACCGAGTATCTTAAACAAAAATCAGTGAGAGTCGACACAGAGTTTGGGTCAAGGCAACGCTTCCTTTATTTCATTTGACTCAAACGAAAACTGTTGGACTCAACAGAACGAACCGAACGAGGCGTCACGAATGCATCATGATCATCATAGAATATAAAAAGGGGCGGGCTCAGGGCGGGGCGTCCAATAGGAATGCGGGGTCGGGGTGACGGACAGGCTAAGTGCTTGTTCAGAGCTGACCGCAGTCGGCGATCACCAGCTTCTTGGAGGTTTTTCCGGACTGGGAGCCGTAAGATTCCATCGTCTTCACCACGTCCATGCCCTCCACCACCGAGCCGAACACCACGTGCTTCCCGTCCAGCCTGCAGGGGGCGCAACAGGTTAGAAAAACATCACTGAAATGACACTTTGAATCTGATGTCATTAAAACTGAATGTGTGTGATGCAAACTGTAGGCACTGCTGTGTTTAAAGATGAAAGTCTAAAAAAGGAGCTACACACTTAGTTTGAACTGCCACAGAAACTGAACACTGTATTTTCTGGGCTATTAGTCGCTCTGGATTATAAAACGCACTGTCATTAAACGGTCTATTTTCAAACTTTTCACAAATAAACCTCGTGGGACTTTAAAGGAAACCCAACAGTGTGATGGGTGAGTGGTTTTGTTTGTTTGTGTCGTTCACGGTGACTCTGGGGGCTATAGCCCAAAATGTGAAGAGAGGAAATTACTGTCATGTAATTAATTTATTTCAGCAAAGTAACTGTAATCCAATTACCACTCACTGAAACTGAAACTAACTAACTGAATAGTTACTCGTCATTTGTACTCTTACTCTCCCAACACTGCTTGTCAGCGTGGAGTGATGAGTCTGTGGGTGTTTGTTGCTGTGCGGTCGCCGTCTGCTCCGCGTGTGTCTGCGTTCTGTGGCTTTGTAGTTTACTGAAGTCGTGCTGGGACGTCCGAGTGGATTCGTGTATGAGGCTCTGGATTGTGGCGCGGTTCTTTTTTGATGAGGTTGGAGGCTTAAGAGCGCGACTAATAGCTCGGAAAATATGGTACTTTTCATTCTAGCCCTTTACAAATGAAGGCTCTGACTAAAAACCAAGTTAAAAATCTGTAAAAAGGCCTGAAAAACATCGACCAGCCTCGTGTCCAAATGAAACTTCTGGTTCAGTGGATTCTGTCCATTAGAAATGTAAAACTCTAGACCAGCGAAGTTCATTCGGTCTTCTGATAAGTTATGTTATTAGGTTTTTTCAGACCAGCAGTTTGTCAGGTAAGAAAAAAACTCTTGGTCTGACAAAAGAACCTAATGACGTAAAACTCTGAAGTCGATGTTCATGTGCAGCCAGAGGAGTTTAAAGACGCTGGTCAGAACTGTTCCACCTGCCACAACTTTAAGTTCCTAAACCCAACTCCCTGTTTGAGTCAGTCGTGCCTGAGGAATCTGTCAGAGTCTGCATCCAATTACAAAGAGTTATCAGAGTTCACTTACGACATGAAGACTGTAGAGCATCTTAACTCTTTCCCCCATGAAGATGACATTTGACGACCCCCCCTGAACCCTTAATGACGACTTTTGACTTTTGACACCTCCGCCGTATCACTAAAGACGAGATCTGACGACCTTTAGAAATGGCTCGGTTTTTTACATTTAAACAGAGACTGTGATAGGTGGGGCCACTACAACCGACACTAGACTGACCAATAGGATTCAAGGATATGTTTTCGCCGATTTTTTCCAAAGTTAATCGAAATAGTGACGATGGTAGCTTCCGGAAAAAACAACACGAAACACGTGCAATGGAAAGATCGCGGCGCTGCGGCGCACAGTTTTAGAAATAATGAGGAGCGGACGTATTTTATGGATAAGTTTAGAGAAAGTGACTTTTATAGATTTCAAAGTGATGATGTTGAAGTTGATTATAAAGTGGAAAACAGCGATAGCGACGGACTTTCGGGGAGAAGGTGAGAACGCCGCTGATGCGTCTGTGTGGAGTCCTGCGATGTCCGAACAAACTATCTGAGCTTTATACTCGATTATGAACCAAAATTGCCCTGAAATCTGGATGTTGCCCAGGCGAGTCCTTTAAAATATTTCAGTCTTTTTTCCAAGATGCGACGTATAACAGAATCACTACAGAAAACGTTTATGTGGAGCTCTGCACACGAGAAAGTAAACAAGATGACAAATACTGAACACCCACTGACAGGGAAGAGTTTTATTATTATATTATTATATTATAATAAGCTAAATGAGTTGAATAAATAAAATAAGTTGAATAAGTTAAATGAGTTGAATAAGTTAAATGGAAAAAAATTATTGGGTGCACACAGGTGTACAAACAGGTAAAAAACAGGTGCACACTTGGCTTATACTGTATCTGGTGATATGAAATCTGTTTAAATACTTTGACAAAGTATATTTTTTATTTTTTTATGAATATATTACTCAGAACATGCAGATATCAGATGCTGAATGTAGTTTTTTGTTTTCGAGTTTGCACCTGACCAGGTAAACTCATTTTCAGTGAGCTGTTATACACCTATAAATGAGTTGAATCACATTTAAACATCCATAAATGAAGAGTTCAGAGTCTAAAGTTTTCCAGAGATACAAATATGTCTGTGTTACAATTAAGTTCATGAGTGTAAAAATCATTTATAATCACTCGTGGAAGTCTGTTTTCTTTTATGCAGTTATGCTCTATGGGTAGAACTAGTAACACATGTATGGGTTGTTCCTAGTCGGCGTCCAGGGGGGAAAGAGTTAAAGTATTTTAGTTTCACTGCAGCACTTCATTTGACTGCTCAGATTTGTTTTGTGGAAGTTTATGGTTTGGGTCTCGAACTTTAGTCTCCACAGTCTTTGTCATTACGATTTTTCACGGTTTGGGTGTTTCCTGCAAATTAAACTCAGGTGCGACTTCTATATTAAAGTGTAGATTTTCACGTTTGTTACGTTTGAGTGAAGTGTGGAGAGGCTCTAGTCGTGTCAGTATCTGCGCATGTCTCCTGCAGAAAGAGCCTCTGTCCTGTCTCTATCACGTCAGATTTCAGACTCTCGGGGGCGGGGATAAGTATCGATGTCCGGCTACTGAAGTCTGAGACATTTCTTCTCGTCATTTATGCACACGGGTAAACTTATTTATTTTACAGATTACAAGCTGCACGTCGTAAAATCTGCAGCCGAAAAACTAAAGGAGCAGCAGAAAGAAAGTTTGGAGTGAGAGAAACTTTTAAGGAACTGGAGAAAAGCAAAGGAAACTCAAACTACAATGAAGAAAACAAAAAAGGCAAATCACAGGCTAAAAGCTCGAGTTGTCGGAGTTGCTCAGAAATAACAATGAAAATTTTAATGGATTTAATGATTTGAAGAGATCTAGAGTTCAGTAAACTTGTTCGGTTTGTGCTATAGTTTTCTGAATGTGATTATAAGAAACTTGTTGACTTTGGCCATTCAAATAAAAGACCTTTTAACTAGATTTTTCCTCATGCGATTTTTTTCTTTTTCTACTTTTTTGGAGCGCCTGGAATCCGTTGTGTTTTAGTTTTGATCCTTTTTCCAAGAGCGCCCTCTACCTGCTCCTACTGACTGGGACACCTGCAGAAAACAGACACATTTTTGTTCTTTCAACTCTTATGTTTTTTGGCTGGTTGCTGGTTCTAGTCCGGAGAACACGTGCGTTTGTGAGTGATTTTGTGCGGCGGTCGGGCTCGTACCAGGCGGTCTTGACTGTGCAGATGAAGAACTGGGAGCCGTTGGTGTTGGGGCCGGCGTTGGCCATGGACAGGATCCCGGCGCCCGTGTGCTTCAGCTGGAAGTTCTCGTCCTGAAACTTGTTTCCGTAGATGGACTTTCCTCCGGTTCCGTTGTGGTTTGTGAAGTCTCCGCCCTGGAAACATCACGAGTTCACGTTAAAGCAAAGAGTCACATTTTTACTTTAAGCACATTTTGACCTGAAGAGAACAGACCCCGACTCCTGCCAGTGTTACACGAGTTTAACCCCACACCAGTGTATTTCAAAAACAACTAACTCAGTGTTAAAGAGCAGCAGGAACACAGGCTTTGTTCAGTTCCAAGACGTTTAAAGACTCATTTTTTGATCAGTTTTCACGTTTCCTCAGGAACAAATCCAGAGTTTTGTTTTCATCCATGTTTAACACAAACCCTGCATATTTAGATTTTCCATTTAAGAAGAACTCTGTTCCACCTTGTGATGTCATGTGGTAATAAACCCAAAACATGATGATTTAAATGGCTTGATTCTTAATGTAAAAAAAAATAATTAAGTTTTATTTAATGATTAAAAAAGACAACATAAAATTAGAAATGGATGGATACAGATTCAAAGAGTAAATTAAACCAAATTTTTAGGAGTTATGATTGATAAAGATCTAAACTGGAGCTTGTCTCAAACGACAAAAGGCAAAGTTTCCAAAGCCGTTGCTGTTCTGCATAAAGTAAAGTTCTGACTAAATATCAGGGGTGTGCACCGACATGAATCTGGAGATACGATACACATCACGATTCAATATATCCCGATATATCCTGATACTAAAACAAAGGACGATATACTGTGATTTATCAATAAATTACGTAAAATGTTTTGGTCAAGTAACATTCACAAGAACAAAACTGACTGAAATACAATTTATTTAATTTTTAAATCATGAGACCAGTAAATTGAACTTATAAATTTCTCATGACAAACATGACTTTCAAAAATCGATTCAGACACATTTTGAATCGATATAAGAATCGCGCAATGAAGTATCACGATATATCACTGAATCGATATTTTCTACTAAATATTACAGCTTTGTTAACCTTGTAAACTATAACTGCACCAGATCTGATGGACGGTGTGGAAATTTGGGGGTCATCGTGTAAAACACCTACAACCTTTATTTTACAAAAACAGAGCCTTGAGAATTAAGACCAACAGTCACAAAAGAGACACATCCAACCCAATATTTGTTCAACTTAGTGTTGAAAATGCAGGATATTGTCGACTTAAGTCATGTATAAAGCAAAGTGCAGAGTTTTACCTGTAAATATTCAGGTGAAAATGAGATGAGAAAACACGACAATGAACCTACATGTTTAAAAAACCCAGATTCAGAACCAAAGTTATGGAGCCAAGCGTCGCTGTGAAACAAATTCATTTATGGAAGAGTCTTGACAAAGAAATAAAAGAATCAAGTACAATGACGACATTTAAAAAAATACATAAAATCAAATGCAATGTGTTTGTATGAAGAAGAAAACTAAATTGTTGTGCATAATAGTGAAGATTTTTTTGCAACTGATCAGTAATTGTGCCTGAACTGATTTGAAATGTTTAGTGACCATCAGTGTTGATGTTTTGTCTTGAAAAAGGAAAAAGGGCAGATAAGATTCTCTTCTTTCTGCTCCTTTTTCATTTCTTGTGTGTCTGATGTTGTGACACTGTCGATGTCTTTTTATACTTTATGAATGAAAAAATTTAAATTAAAATAAAAACCTGCTACAGGTGTCCAGGAAGAACAGGCGATAGCTCAGGTTAAATACAAACAATGAACCTGCCCAGAGAAAACAGGTGGAAATGAGTTTAAGGTTTGTGTAAATTGTGCATCTTCCTCGTCTCATTAAATAAAATACAGAAAGAGCTTCACTGTGTTTTTTAACTCCACTAGAAGCATTTCAAGCTCTTTGTGTTGCATTTTTGTATGAAAAGTGCTCTATAAATAAAGCTCGAGTTGGATTAAAGAGGCAATCGAAATACGGAAACGAGCTGACGGGACGATGGGCTTTTTTTACTCAAGCACCTGGGATCCTGAGGAAGTGGGACTGCAGGTGGCGCTGTCGTCCTGCCTCCACTGAGACGAGGACAGCGCCAAAACATTTAAAATCGACTGAACGACACGACACAGAAACATCACGAGGGGAAGAGGAGCAGGGAGCAGTCGAAACTGTCAGGTATAAAAACAAACTTGGTCTGAAAAAAGGAACCCAATAACATAAAACTTTGATTTCAGCCCTGGAATTTCCAAACTTCTGACAAAATAAGAGGCGCTGTTCACTTGAAAACTACCACTTCATGACATCACAAGTTTGAACAGAGCATTTTGAGGTTTGGAGATGTGGACAGACTCATAATAAAGAGTTACTCAAACATGTGAATGAAAAACTCGAGGAAACTGATCAGAACAGTAACATGAGCTCTTTAAATTTCACTTTGAACAGTCGTACACTAAACAACGCAAATCTAATCACAAAACACAGCGCCCCCTGGTGGTGTGTAGTGGCGGTACCTGGCACATGAAGTCTTGGATGACGCGGTGGAAGACGCAGCCCTTGTATCCGAAGCCCTTCTCTCCGGTGCACAGGGCCCGGAAGTTCTCCGCCGTCTTCGGAACAACGTCACTGCGGAGCTGGAAAAAAAAAAATAAAAATATGAACCTCAGTCACTTCGGTGAGTTTAAAAAGAGCAACTTCAGCTTTTAAGTTTAACCGCACGAGTGTCACGGAGCACGGTTTTGGACAAGGATTCGATGTAAACGATTTAAAAATGTGGACGCCGCAACTTCTGATGGAGGAAATAAAAGCACTACTGCGGAACATTCCTTTACCTCCAATTTAAAGTCATTTACTTTTAGAATTATTTTAGTCCGTTTCTCCAAATGTGTACAAGTACTTTAACACTTGAAGCCACAAAAGTCAGATTTATGTCCACGCCCAAAACTGTCATGAGCCGATTAAAGTTCCAGTGCAGACGGAGCACATTCCTCTGCAGACTCAACGGTTTAAAGTGGAGAAAAACATGAACGTCACACGAGTTCTTCTGTTTACGGCGGCTCAGACTCTGCTCCTGTCGGTCTGTCGCGTTTCGAGCGACAGGTGGATTCGGTCATGATGAAGCGTCAACTCTAAAGATTTATACACGTGAATAAAAAACATTGATCTGCTCAGAGTCACCGAACGAAAAGTGTTCAGTCTAATTTGGTCTGCGCAAAAATATTCAAGTATCGTATCGTCTAATGTGACAATACAGAATCGGTATAACACCACAAGTATTTTTTGGTTTATTTTACCAAATTATTTTGTTCCAGCTCCAGTTTTCTTGTTCGTTCAGAGGAAGGAAACTCGTTTATGTGACACATTTTCACTGTTTTGACAATTAAAATGTTTGTTTCAGATGAACTTTAAAAATCATGTCTGACAAAGTTTTTGTTAAATCATTTCTTGTGTAATTTTTTTGATGAATCGTACTGAATCGATTTCTCATTATCGAGTCTGTATCGTCAGTGTTGGGAGTAACGGGTTATAAAAGTAACACATTACTGTAATGTTCGGTATCAAATTGTTTTTATATATTTTATTGTTTACAAATATCAGTAATGTGAGTTACAAAGCTTTAACCTGGACTGACGGTGTGGGTTTTTTTGTGTTTTTCTTGATACAAATTCACTAAAATCACCGCGATATCAGCAGCGGTGAAACGCCAGAGACTCGCCCCCGCAGTCACCTGACGATCACAATGAAAGGACCGACGCAGAACTCTGCCCTGGGTCAGTCCCGGTTTAGACCTAGTTTAGACCAGGGTCAGTTCCAGTTTAGACCAGGGTCAGTTCCAGTTTAGACCTAGTTTAGACCAGGGTCAGTTCCGGTTTAGACCAGGGTCAGTTCCAGTTTAGACCAGGGTCAGTTCCAGTTTAGACCTAGTTTAGACCAGGGTCAGTTCCGGTTTAGACCTAGTTTAGACCTAGTTTAGACCAGGGTCAGTTCCAGTTTAGACCTAGTTTAGACCTAGTTTAGACCAGGGTCAGTTCCAGTTTAGACCTTTTAGACCTAGTTTAGACCAGGAGTTTCCAGTTTAGACCAGGATCAGTTCCAGTTTAGACCAGGGTCAGACCAGGTCAGACCAGGGTCAGACCAGGGTCAGACCAGGGTTTAGACCAGGGTCAGACCAGGTCAGACCAGGAGACCAGGTTTAGTCCATATATGGCACAAAAGTTCAGCATCTTCAGTTCTTTTGGTGAGAGTAAATTAAAAGTAATGTAATAGTAATGTAATCCCTTACATTTTAAACACCGTAATATTTTAATGTAATAAATTACAACACAAGTCATAAATAAAAACACATTAGTTTTAAAGTCACTTGCCCAACAGTGTTTATCGTGTCTGTAACTTCTGAAAGACTCTGCACCGAGTCACTGTTTGACTCTTTGTCCGTCATTTGGTCGAGTCCAGAAGTTTTAAAAACAATAAACCTGAGACTCGAGTACAGAAGATTTACAAAAGTATCCAGAAGCTTAATCACAATATTTGAACTTTTATTTGTTTAATATTTACACTTTGAGGTTGTTAATGTTTAAATAGTTCCAGCAGCTGCAGGGGAGGATGGGTTTAAGTTGTCAGTCGGGTTCGGGCCGTCGTCATCGTTTGGCGTCGGTTCAGAATCTCGCGGTGCATCTGCCAAACCACAGACGGCAGGCGGCGAAGGGGCAGGACCAAACCCCTGCCAACACCCGACCGCAATTACTGCTCCCTCCAGGCACCAGAAGAAAACTGTTTAGACGAGGAAACGCTCCAGGCTGAAAACTTAAGCCTAAGGACACGACTTTTAAATGTGTCAAAACTCAGAGGCGTCAAGACGTGATGAAACCTGAAACGTGCGGCGAGGGTTTTTTTTTTTTATCCTCCGCTGATTCCAGAAGATTAAATTATTCATTTGTCTCACGTCTGGTTCGTCGAGGTTTAGTTACAAGTAAAAGGAAACAGGATCAGAGGACGTGAGGACAACTGGACAACAGGACGGAATTTAAATTAAGTCTCAAAGTCCCTCCCCGGCTCTCTGTGCCAAGTCACCCCCCCTTCAGAGCGCCATCACAACACAATCTGCAAACATCTCATTAAAAAGGACAGTGTCATGGAGTAACAGATTACATGTACCGGAGTAATCAGAGTACAAATGATGAGTAACTGTATTCAGTTACAGTTACTGTTTCAGTGAGTGGTAATTGGATTACAGTTACTTTGTTGAAATAAATGGATTACACAGAGGGATTTTACTGTTTTCACATTTTGGGTTAAACCAGGACTAAACCCAAGACTAGGACTAAGACTAGACCCCAAACCAGGACTAAACCCAAGACTAGGACTAAGACTAGACCCCAAACCAGGACTAGACCCAAACCAGGACTAAACTCAAGACTAGACTAAGACTAAGCCCAACCCAAGACTAAGACTAAGACTAAGACTAAGACCCAACCCAAGACTAAGACTAAGCCCAACCCAAGACTAAGACTAAGACTAAACCCAACCCAAGACTAAGACTAAGACTAAGACTAAACCCAACCCAAGACTAAGACTAAGACTAAGACTAAACCCAACCCAAGACTAAGACTAAGACTAAACCCAAGACTAAGATTAAACCCAACCCAAGACTGAGACCCAAGACTGAGACCCAAGACTGAGACCCAAGACTGAGACCCAGGTCTAAACAATGACACCAACAGTAGGTGAACATAATTTAAAGCAGCAGTGTCTCAAATAAAAATAATTTCTCTATGAATAATATTTTTAATCTGGTTGAATAAAGTCTGGACTTTTTATTTTCTTTTGACAGACAAAACTAAACTCCTCATGTTCAGATCCTCGTCTTTGTTTCTCTACAGTAAAACAAAAGTCTGTTCATGGAGATTTGGGCTCAGGATTTTCAGGATGTGGTCGGTACATAATCCAAAGTATTCAGATTACATTACTCACTTTAAGTAATTTAATGGATTCTGTTACAAACTACATTTTGGAGTAATCTGTAATCTGTAATCTGTAGGGGAATATGTTTTAAAATAACCTTCCAAACACTGTTACTGGGCCCTGAGAGAGTTCACGAAAATGTCTAAAACCTGATGAGGAAACACTGGCACATAAAGTCCTTTAAAGACTCCAGGTTTAAATTTGTTCATGTTCCATTAATTCATTACGTTTTCAGACTTTTCTGGTTCAATATTAGAATAAAAAATTCAGTGTGAGGCCTGAAAATTAAAACAAAAACGTACATGTCCATAGTTTTGCGCAAATAAAGATACGACGGACTCACAGTGCATTATTACACTGGTTACTGTACTTTCACCGCTGCAAATTAGAGAAACATTTCGTCTTTTGTGCATTTGTAGATTTCTAAAGTTGGAGTTGTGGTTGTAGTTTCCACCTGCTCCATGTTCTGTTTATTCCGTCGCTGCAGCGGCACAAAATGGAAGGGCCCCTCCCTCCGAACCCACCGCAAAAAAACTTTATAATCTCCTCCACTTCCACTTTACACACACTTTACACAGTTTAACGTGTCCGAGTGTTGGGAAAAACGGGATATTTTCGTGCTAAAAAAGCGCATTTGGACACGTTTAGAGTTCGGGTTTGAGCACAGAGTGTCCGGACCGCGGTGTGCCGATGGGAAAATTCCGCTTTACGCTTTAATTTTAGCTCAGTTCTTCCATCTTATGAAACCAGAGCGCGTGCAGAAGCGAAACCCCGCGCGTAAAGGAGTCGGTTCTTGGTTTGGGTTCCTCTGGTTCTCCGGCTCTCTGGCTCCGGCGGTGCCTCAAATGGCGGCCGGGGGAAGGAGCCTCGACATCCGCATGTTTCACGGAGAGACCCCCGCCCCTCCCCTCCCCGCCCTCCCTCCAGAACCGCAGCTCCAGACGCGGGGAACCTTCCAGAAGCGACACAAACCCGCTCCCCAGCCCCGAAAAATAAAAACAACCCCAAAACCTCCCCGGACCAACCCGGACCAAAGAGCCGGGCCCCGGGGCTTTGGGGCAGAGACGCGGAGCCCGGAGAACAAAGAGCCGCACACGGAGACACAAAGTTTGACACTTCTGCAATAAAACTACGAGTCTAAATCTGGAAAAACTGAAATGTGAAAGATTTTAAAAAAGAGTTTATTTCATTATTGCAAAAGGAAGCTGCTTAAAAAGAGTAAAAAGCGCCAAGAATTATAGATAAAACCAAACAAAAGGCAGAGAACAGCGGGTCCAAAGCCGTTTCCTCACACAGAAACAGTAAATACACAAGTAAGTTTTAACACAACGAGCTGCAACAACTAAAAAACTAAACTAAACGGTTAATTATGCAAATTTAAAACCAGGGGAGTGTGAGAAGTGCACACGTTACTGCACTAATCCTGAAATACTTAGTAAAATGGAGGCTCACACGGAGGATTAGACAAAGTCACGATTTAATGATTAACTTTATAAATGAATGGAGCAGGCCTCGCGCGGCTCACTCTGCGAGCGCGCGCACAGCAGCAGCAGCACGAGGACAAACAGCAGGAAAACGCACGAGGACACTAAATAATCACTTTATTTAAAGATTAATGATGTTAAAAGTGTCCCGGAGCGGATAAAACTGGGACGGTGTGTGTTTGTGGAGCCGGGGAGGACACCGCGCCACCGAGTGACGTCTGAGATTGGACTCTGAGCCTGAACCAGCGCGAAAATGAGATAATATGGAGCTGCGATCAGGAGGCCTCGGTTCGCTCTGGACACGCGATGATGTAATGTTCCTGCTTCTGCTTCGTTATTTAACAGTGTCGCGTGGAGGAAGAGCACGTGCGCGTCCACTGCGCCTGTGCCGCTATTTTCCCTCAAACAGCGGCACAAAACCCGCACCAGGGCCGAGCGTGACGCCTCTGCGCCGGGCCCGGAGCTCCGTGCGGCCGCGGCGCAGACCCGGAGCCCCGGGGCCGCGCGGGGAAAGCGGGAGGAGCGCGCGTTCCGGCGGGTTTTACCGCATTGTCCGCGCGGCGCACGGAGGCAGCGCGTTTGAATGAAAGAGCCGGACTTACCTCCATCACGATGCGGCCCAGGGGCGCACCGTCGGCGGACACATCGAAGAAAACTCTCGGGAGGCTCATTTCTGCTTTTACGCGTTTAACGGACCTGGAACGGAAGGTTTCCCGGCGACGGAACGGACACTGCGGGCCACAACGAACCGAAAAAGATGGAGGAATGTGGTTAATTTGATATAAAGAGCCGGTGGGAGGTTTTTGTGCGACAGGGAGCCAATCAGAAGCAGAGCAGAGTTTGATTGAAGCGCCGTTTGGCCAATCAGCGCAGAGCACCGCCCCACGCCCGTGTCCCGCGCGCTCTGACTGGACGAAAGGCGCGGACCGTGGGTTTGGTTTCCTCTCCGTGGGTTTGGTTTTTACTCCGGACTGAGCCGTGTCCAGACGCACGCGGAGGCCCCGCTGACACCGCCCCGCGCGACTGTCCCCGTGAGTTAAACCGCGGGCGCACGGGCCTCGCGCGGACCGCGCCACGGGTGACGGACAGGCGCGTGGACCAACGGAGGGGCGCGAGGCGTGAGGGGCGCGCGGGGGGAAAGACCCGCATTAGAGGCGCGGTCACGGGAATGTGGTGCGCGCTCACGAGGCCAGGGCGCGGTCCGTGCGTGCGCCGCAGAGAAAGAGAAAGTTTGAGAAAGAAGAGAGAAGAGAGAGGGATGGAGGAGAAAGAGGAGAGAGAAGAGAGAGAAGAAAGAGGAGAGGGAGGAGAGGAGAAAAGGAGAGAGAAGAGAGGGAGGAGAGGAGAGGAAGAAAGAGAGGAGACAAGAGGAGAGAGAAAAGAGGAGAAGAGGAGAGATGGAGGATGGAGGGATGGAGGGATGACTCTTTGCACCGAGACACAAACCACTTTCTTTTGCTGCACTACGTCACTCACAAACTCCCGTCCAAGTATCTTGCCAAAGAGCACCACATCAGTTCACAGTGATCATAAAGAGTGTGGAGAGTTTCTCTGTGTTGAAGGAACCGTGTTGGTCCAAACTCAGGTTCTGATCCTCGACTCGTCCCTTCGGCCTCTTCTGGTCTGAGCAGGTTTGGGATGAAGTGCTGTGAAAAACTCTTTGTTTATTTTTACCAAAGTCACTGAGTGTCACACTGTCTACAGCAAATAACAAATGTTACTAAAACTAAACCTGTCACAAACTCACTCTGCTCTTAAAATCTGTGTATCATTCATTTTTCAAAATAAAAAAATGAAAAAAACCAACTGTTTTCTTCATTATTTGTCTCCAAAAACAAAATGAAAAAACAGATAACGGATAATGACTCTGGGACTAGACCAGGACTGGTCCCGGTCTAGTCCCAGTCTGGTTCCAGTCTCAGTCCTGGTTCAGTCTGTTTTTTTCCATTTTTCATTTAAACACAAAATCAAAAAACTGAAAAAAACAAATCATCTGTTTTTTCATTTTGGTTTTGGAGACAAATAATGAAGAAAATAGTTTTTTTTTTTCATTTTCTTATTTTTTGTTTTATTTTGAAAAACGAATGAACGATGATGGTGAAAATAATATAAAAAATTAAAACGTATTTAAAAATGGGGAAGAAAAAAAAGCCTTTAAAATTATGATTCGAGTTTGTAATAAATAACAAAAAATGAAGAAAGGAAATGACGATGGTGAAAATAATATTAGTTTAAGTACAGGGACACATTTATTATTTTTAAATGGGAAAGGGGAAAAAAAAGAAAAAGAAAAAAGGAAGAAAAAGAGAGATAAATAATTTGTTATGAATTGGCTGCAGTGTTTCAGGAGCCTAACGCTGTGTTTATGTTGCACCACCAGTGTTGGGAGGAACATGTTATAAAAGTCATGAATTACTGTAATGTTTGTTTTTTGCTGTAATGCAGAAATGTGGCGTTACAGCGGAAAACAAATTTATATTTTACTGAGTACAAATGTCAGTAACGCACGTTACAATACAGCTGGTCCCGGTCAAGAAGTAAACATCAAGGCCAAAAACTCAAGTTAATTCATCTGATATAAAAATGTATTGAACAGATACATATGTCTCTAGTTTATCAAACTGTTGACCTTTTTTCTGGACCATTTTTGGTTCTAAAGTTCCATCCGTTTTAAACAGACCATGTATGAAACATGGAACAAACATTATTTCCCAAATTTCAAAGACCTGAAAATCATGTAAATAAATGTTTGTATTTCATCATATCTTGTGTTATTCCATCTTTGAACTGTTGATGAAGGGACAGGATTTAAAAAAAAAGACTTTATTTAAAATGATACAAATTTGCTTGGAAGGACTGACATATTTTATAGAAATAGTTTCTTTCATTTTGAAGTAATATTAAAGTATTTGGAAGAAAAAAAAAAATGACAAAATGATGTAAAATCCTGCACCTTCTACTTGTTTGTACAATTTTTCCCTCCGTTACTTTTCCCTCCGTTACCATGAACTTTCTTAAAGTCAAAAAGTCAGAGGTTTTTCAACCTAATCTTGTACCATATGGTAGAAAACTATATGAAGCAAATATTCAAACCAGTTTGTTAAGGATATGGAAGTGAGAACCAAGAGTTATCACTGTTTGGATTTATTGACCAAAAAGTGCTGCATATTTCATTCCCTCCGTTACCAACATGAGTTTTTAAATTTTTTTTGTCTTGAACTTGAAAGAATCTCACAGGTTTAACTTGACCCTGTTGGAGTGTAACTCTTTCCTACATTCTGATACTTTACTTATTTCAATAGTTCCTCTAGTTTCTGAATAAGAGACATTTGAATGTCAAAAATCTGACCCTGTTTCCTCCGTTAACACTTGACTGGACCCAATTTTAACCTGGATTGAAGTGGTGGGTTTTAATTTTTTTCATACTAATTCGCTAAAATCACGGCGACATCAGCAGCGGTGAAATGTCGTTGTTCTGGTTCGGAGTGTCGGGCCGGAGGTGAGTCCGTGTGGACCGTCGGGTGACCGTGGGTGAAAGGAGCGGCGGAGAGCTCCACGCCGCACGAGGCCGAAATCACAGCTGACACCCGGTCAGGCTTTGTGGACACCGAGCTCCACGAACCTGGGGTTCACTCAGAGATGGTCCTAGATTCCAAGTCCTAGTCCAAGATTAGTCCTGGTTTAGTCCTGGTTTAGACCTGGTTTAGACCTGGTTTAGTCCTGGTTTAGACCTGGTTTAGTCCTGGTTTAGACCTGGTTTAGACCTGGTTTAGACCTGGTTTAGACCTGGTTTAGACCTGGTTTAGTCCTGGTTTAGACCTGGTTTAGTCCATATACGGCGTAAAAGTTCAGCATCTTCAGTTCTTTTGTTGAGAGTAAATTAAAGTAATGTAATAGTCGTATAATATTTTACATTTTAAACACAGTCATATTTTAATGTAACGAATCACTTTGAAATGACAGAAACACGTCATAAATAAAAACACATTTATAGTTTTAAAGTCACTCGCCCAACAGTGAGCACCGCATTACGTTTGTTTAATTTTGGGGGGAAATGGGGGATTTTTTTGTTGTTATTTTGTATTTTTTGTGGGTGTTGCTTTATGTTTTTGTCTTTTTTTTTAATGCCAATTATTGTAAATGTTAATCATTGTATTTTTTAAATGTTATATTCTGTTGTCCTTAATTTAAAAAAACAAAACAAAAAAAAACAAGCGTCTGGGTCTGAGTCGGTCCCGGACTGAAGGCTCGTCGTGTTTTGTACCTGAGATTTTTCTTCCTCCTCCTTTTTTATGAGCGTTTTCGTTTGGACAGCAGGGGGCAGTGTCGCAGCGTCATGTCACGTCATATAAACGACGTCAGAAATAATGTTGTTGTGAAATAAAGAGGTGTAATTGCGTGGGGTCTTTCCGAGTGTTTATTAAATTACAAAGGTTATTCTTATTGTTCATAATAATAATAATAATAATAATAATAATAATAATAATAGAGTCATTACGGAACATACAGAGAGCGGACACTTCTCCAACACAAAACTGCTTTTTTTTTTTACACAATGATCCACAGTTAAGTCGTCCACAAATGACCGCCGACAGAACCCTTAAAGCTGTCCGGAAAATTCACCAAAACCATCCAGGAATTTTCACATTATTTTCAAAAAGCAGGGGGCAGTTTGTTCAGTTCATCGTAAAACCTAAGAGTTTGTTCACGTGAAATATTTGCTTGTTGCTGTTCGGGGTTTGAGTCGAGAGAATCCGACCACAGACTGAACAAAGAAACAGATGGAGGAAGTTTGACGACTTAAGGGTGAGTAGAAATACCGAAATGTCAAAATATCGTATGTCGTTCGTTCATTTGTTTTTTAATATAAAACCAAAAAATAAGAAAATGAAAAATCAACACTTTTCTTCATTATTTGTCTCCAAAACCAAAATGAAAAAAAAAAAAAAAAAACAACAGATAATGATTCGTTTTTTTTCAGTTTTTCGATTATTCCCGTTTTACGTGACTTCTGAGACTGTGATGCCGGACTGAACCAGGACTGATCCTGGTCTGAGACCAGAGCAGGACTGAGACAAGACCGGGACCAGACCGGGAACAGACTGAGACTGAGATCAGAACTGAGACCGGGACCAGACCAAGACTGAGACCAGACCAGGACCACACCGGGACCAGACCGAGACTGAGACAAGACCGGGACCAGACTGGGACCAGACTGTGACTGAGATCAGAACTGAAACCGGGACCAGTCCGAGCCTCAGCTTCGCGCTCTGGCATCCTGGTCTGGTCCCGGACCTGGATCAGCCCTGGTTCAGTCCGTATGCAGTGCAAAAGTCCGACATCGCAGTCACGGGAAAAACTGAAAAAACAAATTATCTGTTTTTTCATTTTGGTTTTGGAGACAAATAATGAAGAAAACTGTTGTTTTTTCATTTTCTTATTTTTGGTTTTATATTGAAAAACGAATGAATGATACATGGATTGTTTAATCTGATGATTCAGTATCGATATCGCGGGCTGCTGTGTCGATATATCACCATGAGTATTTTTTGGTTTATTTTACTAAATTATTTTCTTACAGCTGTAGTTTTGTTGTTTGTTTAGTGGAATTAAACTCGTTTATGCGACACATTTGACATTTTCACTGTTTTGTTGGAGAGATCTGCGTGGGACAGAATATTTCGTCCCGCTCCTGCCCACACCCAGTGCCTCTGGTCAATTTCATTTTCCTCCAGCGATTAGATCAGGAATCAGAAAACACAAACGATTTGCAAAAACCCTGGAAGTGTGAGTTCAGGCTCCAGCCAATCAGAGAAGAGACAGACATTCTGTGTTGGAAACAATTCCCGAGATCAAGGATTTAAAGTCTGAACAAAGAGAATGTTTGGTGAATTTTATCAAGAGGAAAGACGTTATTGTTCTTTTTCCTGTGGGATTTGGAGCATTACAGACCAAACAGCAGCGATTGGTTAAACAAAAAAAGTCCCCGCCTACTGTCGAGCGAACGAATCCTAATGCTGTGAGGTCACACGGTTTACACCAAGTGACACCGGCTCATGAATCAGGATACAGTTTTGTCGCTTATTTAGTGGAATTAAAACTCGTTTATGCGACACATTTGACATTTTCACTGTTTTGTCGTAGAGCTCTGATCGGGACAGAATATTTAGCCCTGTAATTAGAATTTGTCATTTTCATTCCCGCTCCCGCCCACATCTGCGATATTTTGTCCCGTTTTCACCCACAAATCCCGCGAGATGGGAATGTTCGCTAGCCTGATTCATCAGCTGGTTTCACTTTGTTTCTCTTGGTAGAAACCGTGTGACCTCGCAGCATTAGGATTCGTTCGCTCAACGGTAGGCAGGTACTTTTTTTATTTAACCAATCACTGCTGTTTGGTCGTGACGTTTGGAAGAAGAACAATAACGTCTTTCCTCTTGATAAAATTCACCAAACATTCTCTTTGTTCCGGCTTTAAATCCTCGATCTCAGGAATCGTTGACAGCACAGAATGTCTGTCTCTTCACAGATTGGTCGATGCGCCGTCTACAACTTCCAGGGTTCTAGTAAACCGTCTAGTGTTTTCTGATTCCTGATCTAGAGCTGGAGAGAAATGAAACTGAGCGGAGGCACTAGGTGGCACCAGACTGGGTAAATGTTCACTTTCTTAAACTCTAAACACGGAGAAGAGGAAAGGAAATGTCTAAAATGTGCCTGAGATTAGAGCATGTCCGCAAGTTAATCTGCTCAAAATGTTTTTATTAATGCCAAATAAAATATTCTGTATATTGTATATTTTACTTTACACTGATTTAGTTTGTGGGACTGCAGTTTATCACCCCACCCGCTCGCTAAAGTCCCGCTCCTGCCTGCGCCGTAATGAGCTTTCAAAATGTGTCCCTCTCCGCTCTGTTTTGCGTCGATTACGCAGGTGCAAGGCTCTAATTTAATGATTAAAATGTTTGTGTTTCATATGAACTTTGCACAAGAAGTGATTTAACAAAAACTTTTAGTATCACAGACATGACTTAGACTTTATTTTTATTGAACCGTATCGAATCGAAAGCTCACTGTCTCGAGGTCTGTATCGTATCGGCAACTTATGAATGATCCCAGCCCGAGTGACGACACACTTCGGCTCCAGTCAAATGAAGTTCAGCGAGGCCGTGAGTTAAAGGAGCGAATCCAGAGCTGAATTCCACGTTTCATAGCAACAAAAAGAGCCAGTCCGGAGCGAGGGTGTTCATAGTAACGCTCCTTCACGCTGGTTTAGCAGGAAATAGATCAAACCTGTTGTTAACGCTGCGTTTTATTGCGCTCGGGAATCACGGAAAACCGACCTCCACCTCGAGAACGTGCAATGGAACGGCCGACCAAATCACGGTTCCGAAAACACAAACTCGGGCGGGTTCGGTTGGATTTACGTCACAGCAAAAACGTCGACGCACAGAGTAAATGAGGAGAATCATCTTCACGTCATTTTGTTTTGTTAAGTTGTGTTTGTGTAGAGAAAGTGTCTTCTAAAAACTTTGTAGTGACGTTTAGATTTTCTTTCACGTCGTTTGACTTTAACACAAGTTTTTTTCTAATGTGACATCTCGATTTAGGGACAAAACAGCAAAATATAAAAATAAAACTCACGCAGAGCGGGTTAATACGAACATTTTAAGACCAAAAAATGAAGAAACAGCAGCAGTTACAGAGAAAAGGGTGACGGTTTTTGAATAGAAAGTGAATTGGAGCCAGAGCCGATGGAGCCGGAAGCGTGTCCATGCTCACTTCCTGTATTTATGTCCGTTTTTAAACACAGTCTGCGGTCGTTCCCGAGACGGGGACACGGGAAAACCACACAGTAACGCCCACACACACTCAGGCCGGCAGTTCGTTTACAAAATATTTTTCTGAATTAAACAAACTGCCCCGTTTCCCTCCGAGTTTTCGCTTTTTCCTCGTGTTAAAAACGTTTGAGTCCAAAACGGTAAAAATCTGCTTCTTTTCAGTTAAAGTGAAGGACACGGCTCTACACAAATGTACAGTCGGATAAAAATACAAGATCAAAACGCACAGTTCGTCACACGTTTAAGATTTAAAACCGTCTTTTTTTTTAACGAGTCCGTTTAAAAGAACAAATACATACAGAGAGTTCGTATTTTTACAACAGCGCCTCCTCTCATTGGTCAGTTCGTGTCAAATGGAGGCAGGCGATTGGTCGGTTTCAGCCCGGTGGTGGAGTCGTCGTGGAGACCCGTCGCCGGGCAGAAGAAGCTTATCGGTGCGGCGTCGGAGCGAGGGGCTGCGGTCGGCGGCGGCGGGGGGGGGGGGTCGACGGGGGGTTGATCGGAGCACCGTGATTGGTCAGTTGTTCTCGAAGAGGGACAGCAGGTCGTCGTTGTTGTTGCTGGGCAGATCCGGCGGGCCCAGGTACGACAGCAGCTCGTCGGGGTTCGTGAGCTCCGGCAGCAGCTGCGGGGGGAGAAAAGAGCGTTAGTTTGAAGAGAGCGGCGGCGGTTTGAGGGCGAGAAACACGACCACGCCGCGCCGGATCGGATATCGCTCTGAAAATATCGGTTAAGTCGATATTAAATGTATTAAAACTATTCACTGGGTCGTAGTCAGACCAGAAAAGTCTCCTCCGTAAAGTCGCAAACCTGCACAAAAACTACGTCAGTCGTTTGTAGGGATGTAACAATAACCAAAATATCGTGATATCGTATCGTCAAAAGTATCATGGGGCTGTCACATTATATCGAATCACAAGTTTTTTTGCTTAAATTCATGGTTTCATAGAAGTAACAGTTTATAAACATCAAGAACTACATTTCCCATGATTCATTTCAGCGCAGACGACATAAAGAAATATGTTTTTGACTTAATTCACACCAAATCTTGTCAAGGGTTTTTTAAAAGCAAAAAAAGAGTCCTGTCTATAATTATATCAGCCAAATATATATATATATATATATATATATATATATATATATATATATATATATATATATATATATATATATATATTATATCTGCAAAACATCAAAATAAATATCGTACGGTGAGATGAATATCGTGATAATATCGTACAGAGAGATTTGGATATTAGGAGTGTGCAGAAATACTGATATATCGTATCGTTTAATGTGATGATCCAGTATCGATATCCTGGGCTGCTGTATTGATATATTGCCAAGAGTATTTTTTTTTTGGGGTTTATTTTACTACAGCTATAGTTTTGTTGCTTGTGGAGTGAAAGGAAACTCATTTATGCGACACATTTGACATTTTCACTGTTTTGATGATTAAAATGTTTGTGTTTCATATGAACTTTGCACAAGGTTTAACAAAAACTTTTAGTGTCACAGCCATGACTTAAGACTTTATTTTTTATTGGACCGTATCGAACTGATTTGAAATATCTCATATTGAATTATATCGAATCGTAAGCTCACTATATCACGATATGTATCGTATCTGCAAATTCTGAATGATACCCAGCCCTATTGGATATCGTTACATTCCTACTCATTTGTGCTGTAAAAAGTTTAGTTTGTGCTGCTTTAGTTTTGGAAATATTAACGATTTTTTTACAGGTCAAATTGGGGTCAGCAGCCTCCAGGAAACTTCAAAATGAAATAAAACATCACTAACAATCTAAACATCGTTTGTGCTGCAAAAAGTTTGGTTTGTGTGATTCTGGTTTTTAAGATATGAACAGTTTTATTTTGGGTCGTGACGTCGTCCAGCTCCTCAAAATGTTACACAGAGTCAAAACAGCAGAAAATTAAACCAGACGTTTGTGTTTGGTTTGTGCTGTGACAATTTTAATTTGTGCAAGTTTATTTTTTAAAATCTTAATTATTTTTGTGGAAATTATATGAGGTAATTTCCACTCAGTTGACGGCAGCGGCTTTAACAAAACTCAGCTGAGCAGCACAAAACAGCACAAACCAAACACAAACATTTGGTTTAATTTTCTGCTGTGTTGAGGCTGTTTCACATTTTGAGGATCTGGACGACGTCACGGCTGAAAATAAAACTGTTAACATCTTCAGAACCAGAATCACACAAACGAAACACAAACGCTTGATTCTGTTTTGTGTCGTTTTATTTCTTGTTGAAGTTTCCTGGAGGCTACAATTTGACCCATAAAAGAATCAGTAATATTTCCAAAACTGAAGCAGAACAAATTAAACTTTTTTGCAACAGTTTTGTCTTTTTAAATTGTTGTTTAAAGGAAATAAAAGCTGTTTTGAATCACTATCGATAATGTGAAGATGGAGACGCCCCCATCGAACGCAAATGACACAAAAACTGTGTCAAGCTTTTGTGCTTCGTTTGTTTTAATATTTTACTTTTTGCGTTAATATTTTTAAAGTTATTATTTACTTATTTCGCCGATTACATTATGTCATAAGTAAATTTGACCTATAAATGAATCGTTAATATCTAAAATTTTTTGCATTAGAAAATGGCACAAACGATTGATGAGTTTTGTGTAGGTTTGTGTTTGATGAGCGCCGACTTCCCAAAGGTACGGAAGCCGAGAGGGTCACAACAAACGCAAACGCCGCAACAAATACAAATGCCACAACACAACAAAAAGCCACAACACACCAAAAAAAGCCACAACGGAAATGACCGCGGGACTCGATTTTAATGCAAACGCCGCAACAAATACAAACGAGACAACACAAACGCAAATGCCACAACACATTAAAAAGCCACAACGGAAGTGACCGCGGGATTGTATTTTCCGAAGGACCGATCAAGCGGCAAGTGAAGAAGAAGAACTACAACGTGAAATGTAAAGGAGTGGAGAAGTTGGAAACGTAAGTAAAAGTAATTTATTGTTTTATCATTATTCGTTTCACATTGTAGTTCTTCTTCTTCACTTCCCGCTTGATCGGTCCGTCGGAAAATAGAGTCCCGCGGTCACTTCTGTTGTGGCTTTTTAATGTGTTGTGGCATTTGCATTTGTGTTGTGGCATTTGCGTTTGTGTTGTGGCTTTTTAATATGTTGCAGTATTTGTGTTTGTGTTGCAGCTTTTTAATGTGTTGTGGCTTTTCAATGTGTTGTGGCTTTTGAATGTGTTACGGCATTTGTGTTTGAGTTGTGGCATTTGTATTTGTTGCAGCGTTTGCGTTTGTTGTGATCCCCCTCGGCTTCCGTACAAAGGTGATGAGACAGATAAATAATAAAGAGTTACACAAAACAAAAACATGTGACTGAAAAACACAACTCCAGGTCTGTTTTCAAGGAGGAACATTCTAATAAAAGAGTCTATTTTGTGTGATACAGGAGCTTTAAACTGATCTGAAGCTCTGAGGAGTCTCCACACAAACACAAACTTTTATATTTTTACTCTTTATTTTTATATTTATTGTGACGTTTGACTCTTTGTGGATTAATAAAGTTTGTTTGAGTTTGAGTCTAAACTGAAGATTAAAAACATAAACATGAGGGAAATAAAAACTGCTCACATCCAGAGACGGTTCTGGGACGTCCCCTCCGAGCCCGAACGCTCCGTCGCCGTGGAGACGGTTCTGCCCCGCCCTCTGCATCATGGGCCCGCCCCCCTGAGAGCCGTTACTGTGGAGACCAGGCTGCTGAGGCACAGGTGCACCATGGGAAGTGGAGTCCAACCGACCAGACATCTGACGAACAGGAAGAGAGGTTTAGACCGGGATTGGACCGAGTTTAGACCGGGTTTGGACCGAGTTTGGACTGAGTTTTGGACTGGGTTTGGACCGGGTGTAAATCCGGATTTAGACGGGGTTTATGTCCGCGTTTAAGTCCACGTTTTCATCAGGTTTACATCCAGGTTTAGACCGGGTTTAAGTCCGGGTTTAGATCATCTTTAGACCAGATTTAGACCAGGTTAAACCAGGTTTAAGTCCGAGTTTAAGTCTGCGGTAATATCCACGTTTAAGTCCGCGTTTAAGTCCGGGTTTAGACCAGGTATAGGGTCGGGATTAAGTCTGGATTTAAATCCAGATTAAAATATGGGTTTAGGTCCGGGTTTAGTGCTCATTGGTCCATCCTGGGTCCAGTCTTGCGTCTAGTAGTGGGTCCAGTCCCCGGTCCAATCCCCGGTCTGATCCCCGGTCCAGTCCTCGGTCCAGTCCTCGGTCCAGTCCTCGGTCCAGTCCTCGGTCCAGTCCTCGGTCCAGTCCCCGGTCTGATCCCCGGTCCAGTCCTCGGTCCAGTCCTCGGTCCAGTCCCCCCTCCCCGGTCTGATCCCCGGTCCAGTCCGGTCCAGTCCTCGTCCAGTCCTCGGTCCAGTCCTCGGTCCGATCCCCGGTCCAGTCCTCGGTCCAGTCCTCGGTCCAGTCCTCGGTCCAATCCCCGGTCTGATCCCCGGTCCAGTCCTCGGTCCAGTCCTCGGTCCAGTCCTCGGTCCAGTCCTCGGTCCAGTCCTCGGTCTGATCCAGTTGTGGGTCTAGTCTTGGGTCCAGTTGTGCGGACAAATGTGGGTCTAGTCCTGAATCTAGTTGTGGGTCTGGGTCCTGGTCTGGGTCCTGGTCTGGTTCTCACCTGTATCTGTGGGTTCAGTTCGGTCTGGTAGGACGGGGGGGGGGAGGTCCTGGTCTGGTCCTGGTCCGGGTCCTGGTTCTGGTCCTAGTCTTGGTCCTGGTCTGGTTCTCACCTGTATCTGTGGGTTCAGTTCGGTCTGGTAGGACAGGGGGGGAGGTCCTGGGGTCCCGGGTCCGGAGCTGTACTCAGGAAATCCTGGTCCGGACTGTGGTCCCGGAGTGGAGCCGGGTCCAGATCCAGGACCAGGACCTGGGGTCGGGTAGGACGGAGCTGAAGAGACAAGAGACATTTATTTTACTCAGTGATAAAAGTGTCAGTGTAAAGGACTGAAGCTGCGTCAGATGCCCTCCCGTCCTCTTCTGGAAGTTTAATTTACATCATTTTTTTTAAATAGATTTTTAAAAACGTCAAATATTAAGAGTTTAAAAACACGGTGGAGAGGCTCTCATGATTTCGAGTGCAGTTCTAAACAGGAAATGATCCAAAGGACAGAAAAGTGGGTCAAAACTGAAACTAAAGCAACTGTTCAAACACCACAGTTTGAGAAACACTGGTATAAAGTTAATGGAATAAAATTAAACTAAAATATCTTTACATAACAAACAATACAGGAAATAAAATACAAGAAATGAGAGCAACTGGCAAAGACAAAATGTAAACAAATAAAATCAGGGGAGTAATATTTATAGTAGAACAGAAAACAACTTAAAGTTACAGTGTGTTCCACTTCAGAGACCGACTAATTTTGTTACTTTGATTTAAGTTCAGTTTGATGCAGGATATTGTCAGTATTTAATGGCCAAATTGTATAATTTCTCAGTTTTTTTATTAGTTAATGTCTTAATAGTTGTGAAATATTGCAGTGGTTTGTTTTGGAAATGGTTCAGATTTTACTGTTTGCTCATTTTGTTTTGTGAATATGAAATTTTCCCAACATAATGAGAGTCTGCAGTAGTGTCCCGCGGTATCAAAAAGTATCAACAGTATCAGTTTCATTAACATCATTAAACAAATCTGCAACACATAAGGGACTAAAATAATATTATAATTTATTGATCCCTACATTTGTTTACTTAGCACAAATGAATATGTGGTTGTATTTTCAGTTTAATTCTGTCACGATTTTAAACTAATAGTGTTTATAATGTTTCTTTTAACTGTGTGGGGAGACGACGCTTGATTAGTTTCGTTCCATTTTCACGTGACGCTCATAAGAGACCAAGACAAGACAACAAGTCCAGCCGCAAGAGAGATAGTCCCAAAAAAAAAAAAACTAGTACTTCGACAATTTGGCTTCAGGACACATTTGTTTATGTTTTACACAAACAAAACTTAAAAGCACATGACTCATTTACATAAACTAATGTCTCTGATAAAAACAGCTCTTTCCTTTTGCGCTGATGTGTCAAATTCTGTCAGACTAAAGGACATGACTCAGTGGAATATGAGTGTTCTCTCTGTGACAGAGGGGTGTTCTGCTGATGGTGAGTCTGTTCTGTGTTTCTGTCGTGTTGTAGATGTGAAACTTCTCAGATTCAGAGACTTCTTAGTTCACCAAAGTCATACTAAAACATTTTGGTGACACTGTATACCCTGATAAAATCCTGTGAATGTTTAACTGTATCATAATCTGGATATGGCCCAACCCTAGTGAGCTCCAACAGGGAAAGATCTTGAGGAGCTGTGAAGGTGACAGAGAAAGTCTCTTCTTTCCTTGAACACTGGGGTAAAGTGACAGAACAGTGCCTGGTGAGGGTCTCTCACCTGGCGTGCTGTAGTCCGGCGTGTTGCTGCCCCCTGGGGTGAGGCCGGGGAACGGCATGGGCGAGGAGGCGGAGGGGGCGGGGCCTATGGAGGAGGGGGCGGGGCCGAGAGAGGCGATCATCTCCATGACACTGGGCAGAACCATGTGACTGGGGCTGAGGGTCCGACAGCGTTTGAGCTGCGGCCCGTCGCACTCCTCCTTCACGTGAACGTCGGGCTTCACCGGGACCGGACGCCAACTACACACCGGGTCTATGCTGATCTCCTCGTACTCCGAACTACACAGGACGCAAGGACACAAGGACACACGGAGAGGTTAGAACTACACAGGACGCAAGGACACAAGGACACACGGAGAGGTTAGAACTACACAGGACACAAGGACACACGGAGAGGTTAGAACTACACAGGAACAAAGGACACACCGAGAGGTTAGAACTACAGAGGACAGGACACAAGGACACACGGAGAGTTTAGAACTACACAGGACACAAGGACACACGGAGAGGTTAGAACTACACAGGACACAAGGACACACGGAGAGGTTAGAACTACACAGGACACAAGGACACACGGAGGTTAGAAACTACACAGGACACAAGGACACACGGAGAGGTTAGAACTACACAGGACACAAGGACACACCGAGAGGTTAGAACTACACAGGACGCAAGGACACACGGAGAGATTAGAACTACACAGGACACAAGGACACACGGAGAGGTTAGAACTACACAGGACGCAAGGACACAAGGACACACGGAGAGATTAGAACTACACAGGACACAAGGACACACGGAGAGGTTAGAACTACACAGGACACAAGGACACACCGAGAGGTTAGAACTACACAGGACACAAGGACACACCGAGAGGTTAGAACTACAGAGGACACAAGGACACACCGAGAGGTTAGAACTACAGAGGACACAAGGACACATGGAGAGGTTAGAACTACAGAGGACACAAGGACACACGGAGAGGTTAGAACTACAGAGGACACAAGGACACATGGAGAGGTTAGAACTACAGAGGACACAAGGACACACCGAGAGGTTAGAACTACAGAGGACACAAGGACACACCGAGAGGTTAGAACTACACAGGACACAAGGACACACCGAGAGGTTAGAACTACACAGGACACAAGGACACACCGAGAGGTTAGAACTACACAGGACACAAGGACACACCGAGAGGTTAGAACTACAGAGGACACATGGACACACCGAGAGGTTAGAACTACAGAGGACACAAGGACACACCGAGAGGTTAGAACTACACAGGACACAAGGACACACCGAGAGGTTAGAACTACACAGGACACAAGGACACACCAGAGGTAGAACTACACAGGACACAAGGACACACCGAGAGGTTAGAACTACACAGGACACAAGGACACACAGAGAGGTTAGAACTACACAGGACACAAGGACACATGGAGAGGTTAGAACTACACAGGACACAAGGACACATGGAGAGGTTAGAAACTACACAGAACAAGGACACATGGAGAGGTTAGAACTACACAGGACACAAGGACACACCGAGAGGTTAAAACTATACAGGACACAAGGACACACAGAAAGGTTATAGAACTACACAGGAAGCAAAGACACAAGGACACATGGAGAGGTTAGAACTACAGAGGACACAAGGACACACCGAGAGGTTAGAACTACAGAGGACACAAGGACACAGTTCAGGGTCAGGGTGGGAGACTCACTTCTGGACGTAGATGAGGATGGCGAGCATGTACTGGTCCACCTCCAGACCCTCCAGCAGAGCCGTTTTACTGCACAACACAGGACACAGGGACGGTCAGTGCTCAGCAAAGAGAGTCAGTAATTCAGTAATAGTGGAAGTAGCAATAATAGTAGTAGTATTGTAGTATTGTAGTATTAGAGTAGTAATACTCACTTGCAGACAGGACACCTCCAGGTCCCTCTCTCACAGTTCAGCTGAAGGTACGACTCCAGGTCAAAGCACTGAGAAAAAACAGGAACAGAAAATATTTTAGTCCCGGTTCAGTGCTTGGTCCAGTCCTTGGTCCAGTCCCGGTCTCACCTGTATATGCCGACGGTCGTGCCCTCGGGGTGGGTTTGGTTCAGTCCTGGTTCAGTCTTGGTCCAGTCTTGGTCCAGTCTTGGTCCAGTCTTGGTCCAGTCTTGGTCCAGTCTTGGTCCAGTCCTTGGTCCAGTCCTTGGTCCAGTCCTTGGTCCAGTCCTTGGTCCAGTCCCCGTCTCACCTGTATATGCCGACAGTCGTGCCCTCGGGCTGGCAGCTGGATTCGTCTGAAGGTGATGGGGCATTTGAGGGACACTCTGATCGCCGTCTGCTCCACGCCGTCCTCTCCGTTCAGCCCGGCCGTCCCCGCCACCGACCCCGCGCTGAAGTTACGCTTTACTGAAAAACAAAAATAAAAACATACAAATTTAAAGAACCTGAACCTGCGATTTTCCCCACGTATCTGAGCAAAATCTTATTGTAGTTTAGACTCTTCAAACATGTTCTGAAATACGTGGGATTCGTAGAAGAGTTTAAAGTTCAGATTTCAGTCTCATCAGCGTTAACTTTAGTCTTACTCTTGGTGACGCAGTGCTCGGCCGGCAGCAGCCTCTTCTTCATCAGCCCCTGGAGCACCGAGCGAACTGAAGGTCTGTGCACCAACTGAAGCACGAACAGGTGAGACTGTGAAGACAGGAGAGGGTTAGACCAGGACTGAACCAGGACTAAACTAGGACTAAAACAGGACTAATCTAGGCCAAGGACCCAAACAAGACCTACACCAGGACTACACCAGGGATTAAATCAGGGACTAAACCAGGGCTAAACCAGGCACTGAATTAGGACTGAACCAGGACTAAATCAGGAATAAACCTGGACTAATCTAGGCACTGAATTAGGACTAAACCGGGACTAAACCAGGACTAAACCAAGACAAAACAAGACTTAAACAAGACCTACACCAGGACTACACCAGGGATTAAATCAGGACTAAACCAGGCACTGAATTAGGACTAAACCAGGACTAATCAAGGCACTGAATTAGGAGTAAACCAGGACTAAACCAGGACCAAACCAAGACTAAACAAGTCTTAAACAAGACCTAAACCAGGACTACACCATGGATTAAATCAAGGACTAAACCAGGACTAAACCAGGACTAAACCAAGACTAAACCAAGACTAAACAAGATTTAAACAAGACCTAAACCAGGACTAAACAAGACCTAATCCAGGGATTAAATCAGGGATTAAATCAGGGACTAAACTAGAGCTAAACCAGGAATGAACCAAGATTAAACCAGGTCTGGACCAGGTCTGGACCAGGTCTGGACCAGGTCTGGACCAGGCTGTGGGACTCACGCAGCAGCAGGCCGTCACAGTGATCTGGATGGTGTTGCGTCCGGGCTGACACACTTGTTTCAGGTACAGAGGTTTGTGCGACGTTTTGTTGTCCCCGCGCTCGATGGTGAGAGGCGTGGCGTTCACACTCACCTAAACACGCACAAAAACACACACAAAACACACACAAAAACACACACAAAAACACAACTTAAAATTAAAAATAATGAATAAAAATTGTGCCCCAGCCATAGAATCTTTCACATCAGACTAAAAATGGGACAATACTGAAAATTTGTGTTATAAATACAAAATTTGGTGCCAATTACGTGAGCTTTAAGTCGTTTTCTAATGTTCCCTTTAATGTTGTGTGTTAATTAAACATGTGTGAACGAAACAAAATACAACTCCAGGTCTGTTTGTGATGAGAAAAATATCTTAACATGGGCCTTTTAAAAAAATAACTGTACTTTGTTATATGTGAAAAAACAATAGAGAATGAACAACCTTATGTCTGTGTGTGTTTAGGAACAACATTTTAAAAGAGACATGAGACAAAATGACTCAGTCTCAAGAGCCAGGACAATAATAATAATAAAACAGATTTCAGTTTGTGCAGTGTGAGTCTCACCTGCACAGACGCGGGCCAGTTCGTGTTCATCTGTCTGTCCTCGTGGTGGTAACATTTGAACTGCAGCTCCAAGTCCGGCCTGAGGACACACAAACGGGTTTTAGGGATTTTTCATTGAAAGCCACAGTTCAGTTTGTAACGTCACCCGCATGACTCTACAGAAAGAGAAAGTTAAACCCACACTCTCTGGAGATTAGTTTTAAGCCGTCCTTGTGTTTGGAGCCATGGGAACGAGCAGGAGGAGGAGTCTGGTCCTGATCCTGAGTTGGTCTGGTCCTGTTTTGATCCAGGACTCGAGGGCATGAGCTGGTGCTGGTGGTAGGACTGGTCTGACCTCTGCCCCACACTTGAATGTGACAGTTAGGACGGGCCTGCGGGTACAACTGGGGCACGGGGCAGACTTAAGCCTCTGTGTGCTACGCCCAGGACTAACGGCTGCGCCTGTGCAGAGCAGCTCCAGGACGACATGAGAAACAAGTGGGCAGCGGGTGGCAAACAGTGAGTGCCCCGGGGTTAGAGCCGTGTGTGCTCACCGCTCTGCCCACTGCTCTGACTGGCTCTTTGACTTTGAGCTTGAATTTCCAATTATACTTAGTCCATTTCTTCATACAATCTATGGTTTGAAACAACTTAAGACCAGCTCAGCACTCAGATCCAGGTTCAGATCCAGGTTCAGATCCAGGTTCAGATCCAGGTTCAGATCCAGGTTCAGATCCAATTTTGTTGTGTTTGTGCAGATGTGCAGCTTCCATCTTTTTTTAGGAGCAGAAAAACCATTACATGACTCTGTAGGACGCGACTCTGTGGGACGCGGCGCTGTAGGGACGCGGCGCTGTGGGACGCGGCGCTGTGGGACGCGGCGCTGTGGGACGCGGCTCTGTAGGACGCGGCGCTGTAGGACGCGGCGCTGTAGGACGCGGCGCTGTAGGACGCGGCGCTGTAGGACGCGGCTCTGTAGTACACAGTTTGTAGTACAGGCGTTTACCTCATGATGAGCGTTTTGTACACAGACTCTCGTAGTTGGAACACGTGGTTGGACACGGCGAGGTTGTGCTCCAGTCTGAACGGCTCCAGCACCACACCGTCCCGCACAGGAAACGTGAGCCGCAGGTCGTCACTCGGGTTTCCTGAACAAACAACACACGTCATACTGTTATATATGGACAGTGGCAGACAGGAGCAGACGGGGGCAGACAGGGACAGACAGGGACAGACGGGGACAGACGGGGAGACGGGGACAGACGGGGGCAGACGGGACAGACGGGGCAGACGGGGGACAGACGGGGACAGACGGGGACAGACGGGGACAGACGGGGACAGACGGGGACAGACGGGGGCAGACGGGGGCAGACGGGGGCAGACGGGGGCAGACGGGGACAGACGGGAGTTACCGGTGTTGGGGGGAGGGGGCAGCGTCGCCATGTTGGGTTTGACGTCCGGCAGGAAGGAGGGGGGCGTGGGCTTGACGTCGGTGTTGCCAGGCGACATGTAGGGCGGCGCCATGGAGCTGTTGCCGGGGGTGATGGGCGGAGTCGGGTTACCGGGAAGCGGGGAGCTGGGGTAACCGGGCAACCCTCGACCGGGCTGTAAACAAACAGGTACGTGTTAATATGATCCAATTCATGACAGTCTACGATCTCAAAAATAAAAAAGGACACTCAATTTAAACTTTTTTAACTGAAGAATATCTATTTTTCTTTTATAAAGAAGCATTTTATGGAGCTAAATTATTGTTTATTGATTGTGGGAAAGATGGACTGGTGTGGGTAATGTTGTGTTTTAGTTTTTCCTCAAGTGAAGCAGAAAAGAAGGAGCCACTGTCTGTGTGAATGTTCATGTAGAAAGAGAGCGGACATTTTACTTTTAATGTTCTGAAAATTCTACATTCACCGAAATTATCATATTAACAAATTTCAGTTTTGTTTTTGATGCTTTGAGTCTCCCCTCCCTTTGCTCCCCATGTTAAGTCACTCCCCCTTCAGAGCACTATCCCAACACACTCATTGTGCGTCCTTCTGATAAAACTCCTGCACATCACATCAGGTTTGTCCAGTTGTTGTGTACGGTTTTATTTTATGTTTTTGTGTATTTATGGAGTTGTCGTGTGGGAGCAAAGGATTGTGGGCGGAGCCTCGTACTGATAACTGTAAGGAGGGATCCCTCCTTAGAGAGATCTCTAGATTATAAAGTTGAAATCTCCAAAAAAAAAAAGTCTATTCAGCATAATACCCACACTTTAAGTTATTGTCTGCTTCTCAATATAAATCTATAAAACCAAAGTACAGGTCGGATCTGTGGAGAGGCTCACTTTAATATCACAGAACATTTGATGACAATGTACAGGGCAGCAGAATTATAAAATAAACTCAAATTAAATCAGAACTGCGTTTTGTGTTTGACGTTTTTTTAGATCCGGATTCAGTTCAGATTTTAAACCCAGGAGAAGACTGAAGTCGTTGTCGTTTCCTGCTGAGGACGTTGTACCTAAACGTCTGGACAGCGAGCGTCTTACCCCTGAGGACTGGTTAAACTGGCTGTAGACTCCTCCAGCGCCCCCTGCTGACAGAGAGTTCAGCGCGGCTCCCTGTCCGTTAAACTGCTCCTGCTGGAAAACACAACCACGTTATAAACTGTATTTGTTATATTCAACCAAAACTGTGGTCCAGAGCAGGAAAAACTCAGATGGCCGATGTCCAAAAGCTTTTTTTATTTTCAAATAATGTTTCGTCAAAAAAAGCCTTCGTCAGATTGTAGTGTGCTGTGTGATTTTCATTTTTATTTAGCGTCTGTAGGAACTTACGCTGTTTCATTTAATATTCACCCAAAACAAGATATTAACTTGTTTTATAAGTTTTGCTTTTTTTTTTTTTTGGACGTACTGAGCCTCCCCTCCCTTTGCTCTCCGCTCCAAGTCACTCCCCCTTCAGAGCGCTATCACAACACAATGAAGCGTGCATCCCACTAAAGCCGGGCGTACACTCTGAGATTTTTGGCCCATTTTGAGCCGATTTTCCCTCATGTGACTGTGTTTGGGATCAAGTTTTGTCTTAATCGTTTGTCGTGCTTTGTGTCATAAACATGGGGTAACAGAAACGATAAATCCCTCACGACCACCTCCTGATCGGCAATCGTACGTTGCAAAAAAATCAAACCTGTCTGAATCCCGTCGCCTCTCGTGAGGGTTTTGCTCTGTTGAAGTTATTCGTTCAGTGTGAGAACATGAATCATGAGCTGTGAACTTTTAAACCCTGAGATTTGGTCGTACGGTTTGAGTGAAACCATTGAAAATATCACAGTGTACGTCTGGCTTCATAAAACCCCGCACATCTCATCAGGTTTGTCAAGTGGCTGTGCACAGTTTTGGATCATGTTTTTGTGTATTTATATATTATGGAGAATTGTGAAGCGTGAGGATGGGGCCTGGGAGAGATCGCTAGATTACTCAAACACACATGGATGACTCTAAATCCTCTTCAGACGACAGTGACGCAAACAGTGTACCTTATAAAACTGTGAGGTGGGTCCCGGCGCCTGGTACTGAGGGAGACCCATTTTATGAGTCTGATACGAGGGGGAGGAGCCTGAGCGCTGAGGGGCGGGGCCAGGACCACCTGCACCTGCACAGAGACACAGACAGAGAGACAGAGAGAGAAGGTTACAATCATCTGATGTGGACAAATCAGGTCTAAGCTGGTAATAAAAATAATAAAGTAATAAAGTTATAAAAAGGACATTACTGTTAGTTCAATAAATCATAGTTTCTATTATCTGCATGAAACTGTGGGACTAAACCAGGACTAAACCAGGACTGAACCAGGTCTAAACCAGGACTGAACCAGGACTAAACCAGGACTAAACCAGGTAGTCCTACCTGTGTGATAGGGCATGTTGGGTCCAGAGTAAGACCCAGGGACTGAACCAGACCCAGGTCCAGACCCGACGGGGACTCCGTACTGCTGCGGCATCCCCGGGAACGACTGTGGACACAGACAAGAGTCAGAACTGAAAGTGTACGGAAATAAAACCAGGACTAAACCAGGACTGAACCAGAATTGAACCAGAGACTGAACCAGAGACTGAACCAGAGACTGAACCAGGGACTAAACCAGGGACTAAACCAGGGACTAAACCAGGGACTAAACCAGGGACTAAACCAGGGACTAAACCAGGGACTAAACCAGAGACTAAACCAGGGACTAGACTAAACCAGAGACTAAACCAGAGACTAAACCAGACTAGACTAAACCAGAGACTAAACCAGGGACTAAACCAGATAAACCAGGGACTAAACTAGACCAGACTAAACCAGACTAAACCAGAGGACTAAACCAGACTAACCACCCAGAGACTAGACCAGAGACTAAACCAGGACTAAACCAGACTAAACCAGAGACTAAGGACCCTCTTGAGGCCCTGCTGCTGCCTCAGGTGTCCCGGTTGCTGGGGGCCGTAGTTCGGGAGCCTCTGGGGCCCTCCTCCGAACATGGGCCCCATGGACTGAGGGCCTCGGTTTGGCCCTGGACCCATCCCCGGACCTCGAGGACCGGACATGAACTGGGGACTGTAGCCTGGAGCGCCCATCTGGAAGACAGGAGAGAGTCAGCGGGACGGACCAGAACTGGACCAGGATTCCCACACTTTTTCATTGACAATATTTCAAAACTTTTCCATGACTTTTCCATGAGCTAAAGTGAATTTTCCATGACTTTACAGCACCTCCATGTGTAGAACTGATCAGACTTTTAGGTCTAAATCTGAAATGTTTAACTATTTCCACTCAAATCATGGTTTGGGATTATAGTTTTTAACATTCTAAATCCTGTCAGTGCATTTATTGTCGTCTCTTTAAACAAAAAACACAGACGGTCACAATAATCTAATGAGAACTTAACAAAACGCTGGAGATGTGTGAAAGAGATACTGAAACTCCATGACTTTTCCAGGAACCCTGAGTATGAGTAGTAGAATTAGAATCTTCAGTATGAGTAGTATTTAGAAGTATAAGTAGTATCTGTAGTATGAGTAGTATTTAGTAGTATGAGTAGTATCTGTAGTAGTATGAGTAGTATCTGTAGTAGTATCTGTAGTATCTGTAGTATCTGAGTAGTATCTGTAGTAGTAGTATCAGTAGTATCTGTAGTATATGAGTAGTATCTGTAGTATGTGAGTAGTATCTGTAGTAGTATCAGTAGTATCTGTAGTATATGAGTAGTATCTGTAGTAGTATCAGTAGTATCAGTAGTATCTGTAGTAGTATCAGTAGTATCTGTAGTATATGAGTAGTATCTGTAGTATATGAGTAGTATCTGTAGTATATGAGTAGTATCTGTAGTAGTATAGCAGTAGTATCTGTAGTATATGAGTAGTATCTGTAGTATCTGTAGTAGTAGTAGTAGTATAGTAGTATATGTGTAGTATAGTAGTAGTATCTGAGTAGTATCTGTAGTATATGAGTAGTATCTGTAGTAGTATCAGTAGTATCTGTAGTATATGAGTAGTATCTGTAGTATCTGTAGTATCAGTAGTATATGAGTAGTATCTGTAGTAGTATCAGTAGTATATGAGTAGTATCTGTAGTAGTATCAGTAGTATCTGTAGTATATGAGTAGTATCTGTAGTAGTATCAGTAGTATCTGTAGTATATGAGTAGTATCTGTAGTACTCACTGGTCCGTAGTTGACCTCCTGGTTCTGTTTCTCCTGTATCGCTGCGGCAACGGTTGCCGTGGCGGTGGCCGTTGCCGTAGCGGCAGCGGCGGCGACGGCGGCTGCAGCGGCGGCCTGAGTGAAGTCTGCAGAGCCCCGCGACGCCCCGGGGTTAGACGGGTAACTACAACACACACAGAGAAAGAGAGTTTAGACACTTCCATCTCTAGTTCTGATCCACGTTGCTCATCCTCCGCTCACCCACCTGCCCCCGTATCCTCCCGGAGCTCCGCCGTACCCCCCGGGCCCGCGCCCGTACATGCCCTGGCTCATGTAGCCTTTGTTGGGCTCGCCGTAGCCCTGCTGCCCCATGTACCCCCCGGGGCCCCCTCCCATCCCAGAGGGGGGGCCCTGCATCATGGGCCCCGCAGACGGAGAAGCGCCGGGCCCCATCACGCCTCCTCCAAGACCCTGAGACAGAAACAGAGACAGAGAGACTGAGAGTTAGGTTTGGACACGTGGCGCAGATGTGGGCAGGAAGTGTACATTTAAAGTATTTTTTATGATTTTCTGTTGGTTTAGTCATGATTTAGTCAGAGCTGAGTTCAGGTTCAGAGCTGGTTTGGGCTTTGGCCGAGCAGACCTTTGTGTTTGTGAGGATTAAACATGAGGAGTGCCATAAAACCCTAGACTGTAAAGAAGTGGACTGAGGAGAGTGACGTCACCCACACTCAGCTCCAGTCAAATATAGCTCATCGAGGTCTGCGGTTACAGGGGTGAATTTGGAGCCAGGACCAGATTAGGAAGAGGAATAGGGCTGGGTATCTTTAAGAAGTTGCCGATACGATACATATCTCGATACACAGGCCACGATAAGATACATATCTCAATACACTGCACTTTCAATTCGATATGATATATTTCAAAACGATTCAATACAGTTCAATAAAAAATAAAGTCCAGGACTAGTTAGTCCTGGTTTAGTCCTGGTTCTGCTGTTTTGTCTGGTTCGCTCTCTGTCCAATCACGGGTCTGAATCCGGTGTCATCGTACACCTGCTAGAAGGTCCTGGTGACACCAACTCAAAATCTGATTGGTTGAAGCAAAAGTTTCATGGAGATTTATTTTGTCTTCGAGTTCCTGCAGAACAGATTCTAAAGGCTTTGACTCTGCCCGGCAACAAGTGAGAGCTAAAATGTGATTGGTTAAATGCTTTAATATGAAAATCCATGTGTGGAAGCAGCACAAGCGTCAGAAACGCTCTGAACGGAAGAGGACAGAACATTTGGAATTATTTAAGAATAATAATATAATTCACAACCATCTGTGATTCAGATATTTTTTTTAGGTAGACAGTAGAGAAGGCTTCGCAGACCCTGACGCTCCACCACTGTTTACACACTTACCTCTTGAAAACAAATTTACTTTTCCTAAAACACATTTGCAAATGAGCAAACAAATTTACAAAACACGAAACACTTATACAAGCGCCGAGACTAATTTACATGTGGCAGAAACACAAATACAAACCCACAAAACAAATTAACACATTTCTTCATGGAAAAGGGAATGTCCTAAAAAGTGGAAATGACGATCGACGTGCGGGACAAGCAAGAAGTGAAACGCAATTCGACGAGAGCTCTCACTGAATGTGATGAACTGTCATGCGAGTTTACGCTTTTAACTTTAGGAAATCATCACAAACACAACTGTAAACCTAAAATACGACCATAACCCACAAAACTGGTAAATAAGTTTGTTTTTAACTGCGTGAACCTCGTCGGAGTCTTACTGTAGTCAGAGCATGTTGTTCTTTTTTCTGTTGAATCGCGTTTTGCTTTTTGCTTGTCCCACACGTCGATCGTCACTTTTTAAGACATTCCCTTTTCCTTTAAGAACTTTGTTAATTTGTTTTGTGGGTTTGTATTCGTGTTTCTGGCCACATGTAAATTAGTCTCGGCGCTTGTACAAGTGTTTCGTGTTTTGTAAATTTGTTTGCTCATTTGCAAATGTGTTTTATGAAATGTACATTTGTTTTCAAGATGTAAATGTGTATTTTAAATGTAATCTTGTTTTCAAACTTGTGAAATGTGAAAGTGTTTTGCTCTCGCCGGCCACCGTAGATTTGACACCTCCTTTATCCTTTATCACGTGAATAAACATCATGAACAATACTGAGCTCTAAAATAATGAGTCGTGCAAAGGCAAAGGGCAGTAACAGCGTCAGTTTCTGCCTTTTGCACGAAATTATTTTTGGCTCATGACACAAAAGCAGAGAACAGGAACAGTCCTCCCCAACGTGACAGGTGCAGTTGTTGACGGGTGCAGGCAGGTGCAGACAGGTGCTGGCAGGTGCGAGCAGGTGTTACCTGAGAGGCCGAGGGGTTGGTGACTCCCCACACCGTCGTGACCACAGACAGAGACCCGGTGGGCTGGTTCGGAGGCTGCTGCCAACTCGAGTCGTACGGATACGAGCCATCACTGAAAGAACAGACGACAGTTTCACTCGGATGCCCTCCCAGACGCCCAGACGCCCTCTGTGTGTCAGATGCCCTCCCAGACGCCCTCTTCTGTGTCAGATGCCCTCCCAGATGCCCTCTTGTGTGTCAGATGCCCTCCCAGACGCCCTCTTCTGTGTCAGATGCCCTCCCAGACGCCCTCCCGTGTGTCAGATGCCCTCTTGTGTGTCAGATGCCCTCCCAGACGCCCTCCCGTGTGTCAGATGCCCTCCCAGATGCCCTCCCGTGTGTCAGATGCCCTCCCAGACAGCCCCTCTCCCTGTGTGTCCAGATGCCCTCCCGTGTGTCAGATGCCCTCCAGATGCCCTCTTGTGTCAGATGCCCTCCCAGACGCCCTCCCGTGTGTCAGATGCCCTCTTGTGTGTCAGATGCCTTCCCAGACGCCCTCTTCTGTGTCAGATGCCCTCCCAGACGCCCTCCCGTGTGTCAGATGCCCTCCCAGGTGTCGGTCAGGTGTGTTACCTGTGCGGGTTGTTGAGTCCCGCCTTCATCTGGTTCAGAGGATTCATGTTGTGGCTCCGTCCAATCACACGTCACCCCTGAAAACAAAACAAAAACGTCTCAGCTCAACATTAAATCAAACCAGAGACACAAAAAACAGAAACTGGTATCAAAACTAAACTCTCATTTTTCGCAGGTATCGATACTAAAAAGGAATTCCACTGACAGGACAGAGCAGAACGTTTCCTGATTGTGTTTAGAACGATCTGGAGCCCGACCGATATGGATTTTGTTGTGGCTGATATGAAACCGACATAATGGGAGTTGGAGCTGCCGATATATTTAGTGATGTAAAAATTCACTGTAAATCTTGAATTGTTTAAAAAACTTAGGTTTGGCTCTAGTGGATTCTAAATTGGGTTTATTTAGGCAACATTTATTGTTATTCTGACTCTTTACGTCGTATTTACAGACAGAAGATCACATTCTAGCTACTAGTGATGGGTAGCAGGACTAAACCAGAACTGAATCAGGACTGAAAAAGCACTAAACCAGGACTAAAACTGATCTAAACCATGTGTAAAACAGGACTAAACCAGAACTGAACCAGAACTAAGTGTTGGGACTTGGTCTCTCTCCCTCTTTTGAGCCCAAGATTAGTCCTGGTTTATTCATTTTATGCTGAATATATATGTATGCTCGTTTTTTTTTATCCTATGCACACGCAGATTTCTGAAAGTTTCGTTTTGAGTCGCTGCCGCTGTCAAACTAAAGGTCCACATGCAGCATGAAGAAAAAAAAAGTGAGAAACTACCGCTATTAGCCTTTAGCTGTAAATGCTGCGCGCCGCGGTCATTAATTATATGCAGAAATGTGGATCATTCACACGTCTATTCACAGCTCATTTACATCAATGCAGGTTCAGTAACAAATATACAGACAATATAATCACTTTACAATAGACCAATAGAAAACAGCCTGTTTATGTGTGAGAGACACAGCAGATAATCACTAACAAATAATCAAAACTAGCTTCAAAGTCGACATATTTCAACACTCAGACTCACACAGGCTCCTCCCACATCACAAGTCTGAACTAATAAATGTCCTTTTAATCCAGACTCAAACTGATTGTCTGTAAAAAGAAAATAATCTCAATGTTGCACATGGATCTATGTCTGCGAGTGTAAACAAACACATGTGACTCTGTGGTGTGTTCAGGGACAGTACGGACACACACACAGACAAATGACTCCACAGATAAATACTGATGTGGAGTCACATAGTTGGACATTTTTCTGTCTGTAAATTGGATTAAATGAACAGAATGTAGAGAGTCTAAGATTTATAACGACGTATCACATGCCCACGTGAAATATCGGCCCCTATCAGCAAACATATCGGCCGATAGCTGATATGTCTCCAGGTGTCCATATCGGTCGATAATATCGTCCAACCGATATATCAGTCGGGCTCATATATATATATATATATATATATATATATATATATATATATATATATATATATATATATATTATATATATATATACCATAATAATTTTTTGTTATTATGGTATGTTATACTATATTGTGATGTGTGAGTTTCTGTGTCCAAGTAACTGATCAATAAAGTTTGTCTAAGTGTAACACTTTCCTGAAAGGCATAAAGTTTGACTTTACACAGACGCATTGAGTGAGTGTTGTTCTGTCTCTGCTGTTCTGGCCCCGACTCTGGTTTTACAACTGGACTTTGGACTAAACCAGCTTCAAAACACGAGACAACAGTTTGTTTTGTTTTAAACACAGAATAAGACACAAGGCCCTAGAGCTCTTCGATAATATAATGTATATATGTTATATATATGTTAATATTTGGGTCAGGTGTGGGTTAGTATATTTTAATAAATTACCGTAGTTTGTTGTGTTGTGAGCTACAGTTGTGTTCACATTTTCACTATTCACTGAGTAAAACGGGTGATTTTCATACAGACTTTGTACAGACTTATTGGACTTTTAGTATCAGAGCTGTGATTTAGCCTTTGTTTTTTCACTGAACCGAATCGAACTGCATCGAAAGCTCACAGTATCAAAAAGCGTATCGTGGCCTATGTATCGAGGCATGTATCGTATCGGCAAATTCTTAATGACCCTGGCTCTATATTTCCGCTGAATTCAACTAAATAAATCCCTGTTGGACTAAAGTCACGTCATGATGACGATTAGTCAACTAAAAAGAAGGAGTATCTGAGTCTGACACAAACTGCACTCACAAGACGACACCTGCAGGCGGCGCTCAAGCAAAAACTACTGTCAATTAGAGGTTGAGACTCCACAAGCAACAAAACTGTAGCTCTGTAACAAAATAATTTAGTAAAACACACGTAAAAATCCTCTTGGTGATATATCGATACAGTAGCCCACGATATCGATACTGTATCATCACATTAAACGATACGAATATATCGATATTCCGATATTTTTGCACACCCCTAGTATTTATACGTTTATAGATTAAATTAGTTTCATAAAGAGGACGATTCAGGGGGACTTTTCAGCTCATTTCTGATGATTCAGTATCGATATCGTGGGCTGCTGTATCGATATATCGCCAAGATTATAGTTTTTGGTTTATTTTACTAAATTATTCTGTTCCTGCTCCAGTTTTGTTGTTTGTTTAGTGGAAAGAAACTAGTTTATGTGACATATTTGACATTTTCACTGTTTCTGACGATTAAAATGTTTGTGTTTCATATGAACTTTGGACAAAGACTTTTAGTATCACAGCCACAGTTTCGCTTTTATTTTCTATTGAACCGTATCGAATCAAAATATCGTTCTGAATCCAAAGCTCACTGTACTGAGGTTTGTATCGTATCGGCAGCTTCTTAATGACACCAGCCGGACGGTTAATGCAGAAAAAAGAACAAGGAAACAGCTCATTTTTATAAAGAAAACATTTGAATCATGAGTTTAATCTGACTTTTTAAATACAAATATATATAAACAAAACACCAGACCCTGAGCTCTCACTCTGCTGCCTCACACACGTTTGGTTTTCCTGAGACGTCTTCAACCGATTAATCGACTGCAGGACCAGAGAGCCACAGTCCGGACCGATTCCCGAGTGTGATTATAAAATGTGTGAAGAGTAAATGGACACATTCCTTTCCACCACATTTCTGAGCACTTCCTGTAAACACGAAAGTCACGTGACCAAACCCCGACCAATCACGCGCTTCGTCCACGGTCACATGACGGGTTTAAAATAACAACGATTTCAGGTTTCAACTAGAAATAAAAAGACTAAACCAGGTCTAAACCAGTACTGAACCAGGACTAAACCAGTACTGAACCAGGACTAAACCTGGACTAAACCAGGTCTAAACCTGGATTGAACCAGGTCTAAACCAGTACTGAACCAGGACTAAACCAGGACAAAACCAGGACTAAACCAGGTCTAAACCTGGTCTAAACCTGGTCTAAACCAGGACTGAACCAGGACTGAACCAGGACTGAACCAGGTCTAAACCAGGACTAAACCAGGACTAAACCAGGACTAAACCAGGACTAAACCTGGTCTAAACCAGGACTGAACCAGGACTGAACCAGGATTAAACCAGGACTAAGAAGAACTAAACAAGGGTTAACCCAGGTCTAAACTTGGGACTAAACCAGGTCTAAATTAGGTCAGATCCAGGACTAAACTAGGACTAACTACAACTGAACAAGGGGCAACCCAGGTCAAATCCAGGACTCAAACAGGTCTAAACCAGGTCTAAACTGAGACTAAACCAGGACCAAACCAGGACTAAACCAGTTAAAAGGAGCAGTTCACTTCATGACATCACAAGGTGGAACAGAGAGTTTTGAGCTTTGGAGACGTAAACAGACTCTTAATAAAGAGAAACTCAAAAATGTGAATGAAACAAAACAAAACTCTGGGTTTGTTTGAGACGAGGTCGTGAAAAGAATCAACTCTGTGTAAAATAAAACCTTTAAATGTCGCGTAAAAACACCCGAGATTCTGATCTGGTTTTCGTGACTCCGATGACACATTTCTCCTTTAATCATTCTAGAAAAAACCCGACAATTCAAACCGAGAACAGAAGAAATTCAGATAAAATTCCATGTAAATTCAAACAAACAAAACACTAATCTCTAAACATATTTTTGAATTATATTATTTTAGTTAAAGAACAGTAAACGTGAAGCTGCAAAACCGACTTAGTTCAAAATAAAAAATGTAAAAATTCCTCGATACGATATTTTTACGATATGCATCTCACGGTTCGATATTTATTGTGATATTGTGTGAAGTCGTACAAAATTGTTCATGTGCTGCTTTTCCTCTTAAAATGTTTGAAAAAGTCTTGTTGTTGTTATAAAATGAAGAATTACGATTTAAAAGTGTTTAATAAAAGTTTTTTCTTCATGTGGTCGGCGCCGACGACACCAAAGGATCATGGTCTATGTAGGACTAAACCCAGGCTAAACAAGGACTAAACCAGGTCTAAACTAAGACTAAACCAGGTCTAAACTAAGACTAAACCAGGTCTAAACTAAGACTAAACCAGGTCTAAACAAGGACTAAACCCAGTCTAAACAAGGACTAAACCAGGTCTAAACTAAGACTAAACCAGGTCTAAACATGGACTAAACCAGGTCTAAACAAAGACTAAACCAGGTCTAAACATGGACTAAACCAGGTCTAAACAAAGACTAAACCAGGTCTAAACTAGTACTAAACCGGGTCTAAACTAAGATTAAATCAGGTCTAAACTAGGACTAAACCAGGTCTAAAACTGGAACAAAGCAATGGTTTTGTATAAATCTACATTGACAGGGGACAAAACTCAAAACTGGGACAGTCCCAGGTCAAAGGGGACATCTGGGTCACCCTATTTAGACCTGGTTTGGTCCTGGTTTAGTCTTCGTTTAGTCCTGGTTTACCTCAAACTGATCAAAAACAGAGACATCTGGGACATTTCTTGTATAAAACTTGGACAAATCCATGGTTCTGTATAAATCTGCAGGGACTGAGGACACAGGGTTCAAATCTGGGACTGTCCCAGGTCAATAGGGACATCGGTCAACCTATCTAGTCCTGGTTTAGTCCTAGTTTAGTCCCGGTTTAGCTCAAACTGGTCAAAAATAGAGACATTTATTGTATAAAACTTGGACAAATTGCTGGTTTTGTATAAATCTGCTGGGACAGGGGACATGGAGTTCAAATCTGGGACTGTCCCGGGTCAAAGGGGACATCTGGTCACCCTATTTAGACCTGATTTAGACCTGGTTTATCACAAACTGATCAAAAATAGAGACGTTTCTTGTATAAAACATAACTTGGACAAATCGCTGGTTTTGTCTAAATCTGTTGGGACAGGGGACAAAACTGAAAAGTGGGACAGTCCCGGGTCAAAGGGGGAAGTTCTGCTCGCGCTGATCGTGTCGTGTTGGTGTTTCGGTGATAAACAAAAACACCTGAACTGAGCGGCTCTCATTTCCCCGAGCGCCTCTCTGCCTCTGTCTCTCTCACGCGCACAGCTCATAAAAGTCCAGATTTGCGTCGTGTTTTCGGGATAATAAAAGATAAAATGCGCGGACGGACGTGGGAATAACGTAAGCCCCGCGGCGCCGCTGTGAATCTCGGCGTCCGTCTGCGAGTCGCACAAAACCAGGGAGACATTTTGAGATTCCTCTGAGGCTACCAACCACACACACACACATATATACAACTGTAGAGCGCGACACCACACTCAGCGTGCGTTAACGCCGCCGCCATCTTGGTACGGGACGGGCGGGGGGAAAGTTTCTCACAGGATCAATGAGCAGAGATGAACCAGGACTGAATCAGGTCTAAACCAGGACTAAACCAGGACTGAATCAGGTCTAAAGCAGGACTAAACCAGGACTGAATCAGGTCTAAAGCAGGACTGAAACAGGAATGAACCAGGACTGAATCAGGTCTAAAGCAGGACTAAACCAGGACTGAATCAGGTCTAAACCAGGACTGAATCAGGTCTAAACCAGGACTGAATCAGGTCTAAACCAGGAATCAGGTCTAAACCAGGACTGAATCAGGACTAAACCAGGACTGAATCAGGTCTAAAGCAGGACTGAAACAGGAATGAACCAGGTCTAAATTGGGACTAAAGCAGGACAAAAGCAGGACTGAAACAAAGCTGAACCAGGACTAAACCAGGCCTATTTCAAGTCTAAACTAAGACTATTTCAGGCCTAAATTAGGACTAAACAAGGTTTACACTAGAACTAAACCAGGACTATTGCAGAACTAAACTAGGACTAAACTAGGACAATTTCAAGACTAAACAAGGACCGAACCAGAACTATTTCAGGTCTAAACTAGAACTAAACCAGGACTATTTCAGGTCTAAACCAGGTCTATCTCAGGTCTAAACAAGGACTAAACCAGGACTATTTCAGGTCTAAACTAGGAATAAAGTAGGACTATTTTAGGACTAAACCGGGTCTATTTCAGGTCTAAACAAGGACTAAACCAGGTTTATTTCTGGACTAAACCAGGTCTATTTCTGGACTAAACCAGGTCTACTGGACTAAACCAGGTCTAAACAGGTCTAAACAAGGACTAAACAAGGTCTAAACAAGGACTAAACCAAGACTATTTCAGGTCTAAACTAGGACTAAACCAGGTCTATTTCAGGTCTAAACTAGGACTAAACAAGGTCTAAACTAGGACTAAACAAGGTCTAAACAAGGACTAAACAGACTATTTCAGGTCTAAACTAGGACTAAACCAGGTCTATTTCAGGTCTAAACTAGGACTAAACAAGGTCTAAACTAGGACTAAACAAGGTCTAAACAAGGACTAAACCAGGACTATTTCAGGTCTAAACTAGGACTAAACAAGGTCTAAACTAGGACTAAACAAGGTCTAAACTAAACAAGGACTAAGGTCTAAACTAGGACTAAACCAGGTCTATTTCAGGTCTAAACTAGGACTAAACAAGGTCTAAACTAGGACTAAACAAGGTCTAAACTAGGACTAAACAAGGTCTAAACAAGGACTAAACAAGGTCTAAACAAGGACTAAACCAAGACTATTTCAGGTCTAAACTAGGACTAAACCAGGTCTATTTCAGGTCTAAACTAGGACTAAACAAGGTCTAAACTAGGACTAAACAAGGTCTAAACAAGGACTAAACAAAGACTATTTCAGGTCTAAACTAGGACTAAACAAGGTCTAAACTAGGACTAAACAAGGTCTAAACAAGGACTAAACAAAGACTATTTCAGGTCTAAACTAGGACTAAACCAGGTCTATTTCAGGTCTAAACTAGGACTAAACAAGGTCTAAACTAGGACTAAACAAGGTCTAAACAAGGACTAAACAAAGACTATTTCAGGTCTAAACTAGGACTAAACCAGGTCTAAACTAGGACTAAACCAGGTCTATTTCAGGACTACACTAGGTCAATTTCGGTCTAAACTAAGGACTACACCAGGACTACTCTCGGACTAACCCATGTCTATTTCAGGTCTAAACCCAGGACCGAACCAGGTCTAAACCAGGTCTAAACCAGGACTAAACCAGGTCTAAACTAGGACTAAACCAGGACTATGTCAGGTCTAAACCAGGTCTATTTCAGGTCTAAACTAGGACTAAACCAGGTCTAAACTAGGACTAAACCAGGTCTAAACCAGGACTAAACCAGGTCTAAACTAGGACTAAACAAGGACTATTTCAGGACCAATTTAGGACTAAACCAGGACTATTTCAGGTCTAAACCCAGGACCGAACCAGGTCTAAACCAGGACTGAACCAGGACTGAACCCAGGACTAATCTCAGACTTTTAAAGCAGCGTTTCCCTGTACCAAGATGGCGGCTTTGTTGACGCGCTCGCTCCGTCCACGCGAGATCTACAGCTCCACATCTGTGACCGCGGAGCTAACACGAGCTAACGAGGCTAACGGGGCGAGAAAAAAAACGACCACTGAACACAAACATTCACCGTAACATGGCGTAATTTCACGGACCGACGGTAGCGGACATGACACGCCGCGCCCCGCGTCTCACACCGAATGAAATAAACGATTTTTGGTTGAAAATGTTGGATTTTTGGGGGTTAGCTTGTTAGCATTTTAGCTACGAGGCTGTGACAATGGAACGCCGCCGTTAGCCGCACGGCAGCGCCGCCGCGAACCGCACATTTTACGGGTTTATTGTTATAAAAAATGGCGTTTCTTTAACAAAACAGCGCGCTTGTACCGTGGACTTTTCGCGTTTCACCGTGTCGCTCTGACGTTCGCGGGGAAAAACGCAGCGGGGACCGGGGACGGGGGTTTCCAAACAGCGGGACCTACCTCCAGTCTCTCCCCGGCGTTCGAGCTCTGCGCCCGGGCAACGCAGCGCGACCTTCCCCCCGGGGCCTCCGTCACATCCAGCTGAAGGAGGGGGGTAGACCGAGGGTGAAGCTCCGGGGAAAAGCGGGGAGATCCACGGACACGACCCGCCGGGAGACACGAGAAAAAGCTCCGTAAAAAAATCCCGAGACGGCGGCCCCAGAGCTCCAGACAGGACAGCCCCCTGGCACTGCGGCTCCTCTGCAGCCGGCCTAGGTGACTGCTCGGTGGGACTCGCGCGGCGGCAGCATCCCCCCCCCGGTTTGGTTTCCCGCCGGGAGCGTGGAGCGTGGATCCGGAGCGCGGGGAAGCGGATGGATGGATGGAGGCCGAGGAGGAGAGCAGGAGAGCGGGCAGGAGAGCAGGAGCCAGGAGCGGTTTGACACGGGGAGGAACGGACCGGACTGAGGCTGCTACGCCGGAGGAAAGCGCCCCCCGCAGGAAGGAGGAGGTACTGCGGCCGAGAGAGGGAACGAGGGGAGGAGGAAGAGGAGGACACAGGTCAGAGGAAGAAGAGGAAAAAATGTGGAGAGGGGGGGGGTGATAAGGAGGAGGAGGAGAGGAAGAAGAGAAGAGGAGGAGGAGAGGAAGAGGAGAAGAGGAGGAGGAGGAGAGGAAGAGGAGGAGTGAAAGAGGAAGGGAGGAGGAGGGGAAGAGGAGGAGTGGAGGAGGAGGAGAGGAAGAAGAGAAGAGGAGGAGAGGAAGAAGAGGAGGAGGGGAAGAGGAGGAGTGAGGAGGAGGAGAGGAAGAAGAGAAGAGGAGGAGGAGGAGAGGAAGAAGAGGAGGAGGAGAAGAGGAGGAGTGGAGGAGGAGGAGAGGAAGAAGAGAAGAGGAGGAGTGGAGGAGGAGGAGAGGAAGAAGAGAAGAGGAGGAGTGGAGGAGGAGGAGAGGAAGAAGAGAAGAGGAGGAGGAGGAGAGGAAGAAGAGAAGAGGAGGAGTGGAGGAGGAGGAGAGGAAGAAGAGAAGAGGAGTGGAGGAGGAGGGGAAGAGGAGTGGAGGAAGAAGAGAAGAGGAGGAGGAGAGGAAGAAGAGGAGGGGGAGGAGGAAAAAGAGTAGGAGAAGGAGGAGGAAGAGGATGAGAGGAAGAGGAGGAGGAGTGAAGGAGTAGATGAGGAGGAAAAAGAGGAAAAGAGGAGGACACAGGTCAGAGGAAGAAGAAGAAGAATAGTCATAGTAATAGTAGCTATAACAATAGTAGTAATAATAATAGTACTACAAGTAGTAATAGTAGTAGTAGTAATAGTAGTAGTAGTAGTAGTAGTAGTAGTAGTAGTAGTAGTAGTAGTAGTAGTAGTAATAGTAGTTAGTAGTAGTAGTAGTAGTAGTAGTAGTAGTAGTAGTAGTAATAGTAGTAGTAGTAGTAGTAGTAGTAATAGTAGTAGAAGTAGTAATAGTAGTAGTAGTAGTAGTAGTAGTAGTAGTAGTAGTAGTAGTAGTAGTAGTAGTAGTAGTAGTAGTAGTAGTAGTTAGTAGTAGTAGTAGTAATAGTAGTAGTAGTAGTAGTAGTAGTAGTAGTAGTAGTAGTAGTAGTAGTAGTAGTAGTAGTAGTAGTAGTAGTAGTAATTTAGTAACAATGGTACAACATATAAACAGGAGTTTTATTGTTTATTTCAGTCATGTCCAAACTACGGCCCGTGGGCCAAATGCGGCCCGCAGACACACTTTTCTTGGCCCTTAGACTTCCAGGTGAATTGGCCCAAATGACCTTACATCAATAAAAAATTTAACTTTTTACTGCAAGTTTTTTGAAAATCTCCCTTGATAAAGCCAATGTTTAATATTTAGTGTGTGGTTTTAAAGATCTGATGATTCATTCTAACGTCTTTAAACCTGCACAGATTTAAATGATTGACTGTGTCCAGCTCCAGTCGTGTCCCTCGGTCCGTCTCTGCTTCGTCTGGGTTCAGATCTGTGTCCCTCGATGATAAACGTTTGGACAATCCTGGTTTATTTTCTAATAAAACATTTAATCTCAAACTAAACTACTGCTGCAGTTCCTGTTTCTGGCCTCACGATGGCACCGCGGACACTTACACACACAAGACTAAACCAGGTCTAAACCAGGACAAACCAGGACTAAACCAGGTCTTAAACAAGACTAAACCAGGACTGAACCAGGTCTAAAACAAGACTAAACCAGGACTAAACCAGGTCTAAACCAGGACTAAAACAAGACTAAACCAGGACTAAACCAGGTCTAAACCAGGACTGAACACACAAACGGGACTCGGTTTATTTTGGAAAAACATTTTATTTTACAGGTTTTGGTTCAGACGTCAGTGAAAAACACAAACAACATTTAAATATTTGCAGCTTATTAAAAATAGAAATAATATATTACATATTTAACAACAACAATCACAACGCCGAGACATTCTTTGTGTCACAGACTGAAGCCGCGTCCGCACACACTCGCCATGCCACAGCGCCACCACCAGGTCAGGCGGAGGAAGTGCAGGGACGCGAGCTCTGCCTGATGAAGAAACTTTAAAACATCGAAGACAGAAAAAAGAAAAAGCAGCATTTCACAGTGAACTAAGACCTAAAGAGAGCGAAGGTAAACCAGGACTGAACCAGGACTAAACCAGGTCTGAACCAGGACTAAAACAGGAGTGAACCAGGACTGAACCATGAGTGAACCAAGACTAAACCTGGACTAAACCATGAGTGAACCAAGACTAAACCAGGACTAAACCATGAGTGAACCAAGACTAAACCAGGACTGAACCAGGACTAAACCATGAGTGAACCAAGACTAAACCAAGACTAAACCAAGACTAAACCAGGACTAAACCATGAGTGAACCAAGACTAAACCAAGACTAAACCAGGACTAAACCATGAGTGAACCAAGACTAAACCAGGACTGAACCAGGACTGAACCAGGTCTCAAACAGGACTAAACCAGGACTAAACCATGAGTGAACCAGGACTAAACCAAGACTAAACCAGGACTGAACCAGGACTAAACCAGGTCTCAAACAGGACTAAACCAGGACTAAATCAGGACTAAACCCAAAATGAACCAGGACTAAACCAAGATTTAAACAGAACTAACTCCAGGACTAAACAAATTAAATCAAGGACTAAATCAGCTCTGAACCAAAGTCTAAACCAGGACCGAACCAGGACCAAACCACGAGTAAATCAGGACTGAACTAGGACTTAACCAAGACTAACCCGGGACTAAACCAGGTCTAAACCAGGTCTAAACCAGCTCTCATGTCGTCAGAGTCTCAGCAGGAGTCCTCCGCCGTGCGCCGCTTTTTCCCAGAGTGTCGTGTTTTTCTGGGTTTGGGCACGCACACGCCCTGGCCCTTCTTGTACCCGTGCTCCTGCCGCTGCTCCTGTCGCTGCCGCTGCTCCTGTCGGGGGGGCGGGGCGCAGGTGAGGCCGGCGGCGCACTCGCACCTTCCCAGCTGGACGCGGCGGTGCTTGGGCGCCCGCAGCAGGCACAGCTCGCCCTCGGTGGGGACCCTCTGGCACCGTTTCCCCGTCAGGTACCGGACGCAGCAGAGTCCCACCGCACAGTCCCCGGAGCGGACGCACGGGGACATCTCTGCAGCTGCACGAGGACACGAGGACATGAGGACACACAGGGACATGAGGACACAGGGACATGAAGACACGAGGACAGGGACAGGGACACAGACACGAGGACACAGGGACATGAGGACACAGGGGACACGGGACACGGACACAGGGACACGAGGACACGAGGACACAGGGACACGTGGACACGAGGACACAGGGACACGAGGACATGAGGACAAAGGGACACGAGGACACAGGGACATGAGGACACAGGGACATGAGGAAACAGGGACATGGACAGGAAACAGGGACACGTGGACACAGGGACACGTGGACACGTGGACATGAGGACACAGGGACATGAGGACACAGGGACATGAGGACACAGGGACACGAGGACACGAGGACACAGGGACACGAGGACACGTGGACACAGGGACAGGACAGGGACACGAGGACACGAGGACACAGGGACACGAGGACACAGGGACACGAGGACACGAGGACAGGGGGACAGGGGGGAAGAGAAGGAGGAGGAGGTTAGAGCAAAATCCACATTTCAGAGTTTTTAAATCATGTTAGAGTTTCCTCCTCACTGATCTTCTGAAGTATTTGGACTGATGTTTGAACAACCTTTGAACAATCCTCAGACGCTCCTCTCCACGTGGAGGAGCAGCTTCTCTACTCCGAGCTCCTCCCGTGTGACTGAGCTCCTCACTCTGTCTCTAAGGGAGACGCCCAGACGCCCTGAGCTCAAACTGTACGACCGAATCTTAACGTTTAAAAGTTCACAGCAACTTCAGCAGAGCGAGACCCTCACGAGGCGACTGGACTCAAACAGGTTTGATTCTTGTGACGTGTGATTGTCGATCTGGAGCTGGACGTGAGGGATTAATCATTGTTACCCCATGTTTACGACGCATGATTAAGACAACAAGTCGCACAAGTGAAAAATTGTCTCAAAAAGAGCCAAAAATGACAAAGTGTACACTTGACTTAAGTGAAAGTTGAGCAGATCTTTGCAGACGTGAGACTGTCCCTCCCGCTTCACAGAACAGTAACATTGTGCTGAATTGAAAAAGGAACTACATTTTGTGACCAAATTTTCAGTAGTAGCTCGTTACACTATTTTTATATTTTTATTTGAAAAAAGTAGTTGTTAGACCCAACACTGTCGGTGTTACACCGTGACATCACAAGGTGGAACAGAGTGTTTTCTGTTTGAGGGAAAAACTCCTGAAGAAACAGAAATGCACAGTGTTTGTGTGAATCAAATCTCTTATTTTCAAATGTCATTTTGTAGTTGAACCTGTTTTCATCACCACAGAACAGCCCGCGACTCTGCACCGACGACTGCGGATGACTGATGTATCGTCATTATCGTCTGATATCGATACTCTGTACCGATATTTATCTATGAGCTCAGTTTTTGTTCAGACCAGAGTCGGGAACAGCAGAGTTTTTCGTCTGTGACACAAACGTGAGACTCGTGGTTTTATTTCTCTGATAAACACGTCCTGATATTTTTACAAAAGTGAATCAGTTTCACGTGAGACTCGTGCGTCGGCCTCGGTGGATTTTAAAGCTAAATATCGGTTATCGGCTCCAGCAGCAAGTCAAATATCAGATATCGGTATCGTTTTTAAATAAGTAAATCTAACTGGAGACACTGCTCTGTCTGGAGGTAAACTTTAATCTTAGCTTTAATTTCACCGACTAAACCAGGTCTAAGCCAGGACTAAACCAGGACTAAAACAGGACTTAAACAGGACTGACTGGAGGCAACACACAGTGACTCGACTGTTACCTCTGGTCCGATTGAAGGCCGAGTCCTGGTCCAAGTCCAGGTCCTGGTCTTGGTCTCTGTTGGACTGTCTCCTCTGCGGCCTGTTACTGCACGAACCTCTCTGAAAACACACACAGATTTACAGAACTAAACCAGGTCTAAACCAGGACTAAACCAGGACTAAACCAGGACTAAACCAAGAACTAAACCAGGTCTAAACCAGGACTAAACCAGGACTAAACCAGGTCTAAACCAGGACTAAACTAAACCAGGACTAAACCAGGACTAAACCAAAACTAAACCAGGTCTAAACCAGGACTAAACCAGGACTAAACCAGGTCTAAACCAGGACTAAACCAGGACTAAACCAAGAACTAAACCAGGTCTAAACCAGGTCTAAACCAGGACTAAACCAGGACTAAACCAAGAACTAAACCAGGACTAAACCAGGACTAAACCAGGTCTAAACCAGGACTAAACCAGGACTAAACCAGAACTAAACCAGGTCTAAACCAGGACTAAACCAGGACTAAACTAAGATTAAGCCAGGGCTGAACTAAACCATGACCAAACTAGGACTAAGTAGACCTGAATTAGGACCAAACCAGGACTAACCCAGGACTTAAACAGGACTAAACCGGGTCTAAACCCACCTGAGGAGCGTCACAGTCAGGTCCGGGGCAGGTGGGCGGTTGAGTTCTCCCTGATCCTCGTCGGTTCGGTCTTGGAGAGTTTCCATTTTGAGAATCCTGAAAAACACGACAAAATATTTTTCAAATTTAAATCCAGTTTAGTTTATGTTTTTGTTTAACTTTTTTTTTTTTTTTTTTTACCTTTTGGACCGAGTCGTCTTTGGACGCCCTGATGGTGTTGGAGTCCAGAGCCAGACCCGAGACCAGACCCACGCACAAAAGAACCCCAAAAACAAGCCTCATGTTTGGGCACGAGCGGAGCAAAAACCAGGGACTAGACCAGAACTAAACCAGGACTAAAACAGGATCAGAGGACTAGACCAGGACTAGACCAGACTCAGGAACAGGATCAGAGGACAAGACCAGGACTAGACCAGACTCAGGAACAAGATCAGAGGACAAGACCAAGATCAGGACCAACTAGACCAGAATCAGGACCAGGATCAGAGGACTAAACCAGGACTAGACCAGGATCAGGACCAGCGCGACCAGATAAAACGCCTTTTCCACACTTTTCCAATTATTTTGGTGACGTTTCAATGAATTTCCAATATTTTTTTGGAAATAAAAAGTCAATTCATGTATTTTTTGAAAAGTTCTGTGTCTGTCAAAAAGGAAAAACGCAACGATACGGTTTAAAAAGTCGATTAGATGTGAGTTTGGTGCTGAAATTGTTGGTAAAAATATTCAGTTTTCGTTCAGAGTTCGTTGTTAAAAGTCTGCACAAAAGTTAAAAACAAAAATCTTAGTCCAAATCGAGGAAATCCGGGAATTCCGAGCTGTCCTCCTGAAGATTCCGGAGCAGTGTGTGTGTTTGCTGTGAGTTTGCCTTGGGGTGCGTTTGGTTCTTATACCCGAGCGGGCCTCTGATGTGGGCGCGTGTTTTTGAAGTGTGGCGCTTCCTTCCTGTGTCCCCCCAGGTGAGGTGTGGCCCCGCCCCCTCGCCGCGCACCTGTCTGCCCCGCGCGTTTGAGGTGGTCGACCCGAGCGCATTAAACGGATTTACGGACGATTAAAGAACATTAGGGAGTTCAAACGGCAGGAAGTGGGTGACGGACAGATGAATCGGCCAATCAGAAGGCTCTAAATCTCCCCCGGATCACGCCTTTGTTCTGGAGACACTTCAAAATAACCACGGACTAAAAAGAAACGGCTCTGAACCAGGACTAAACCAGGTCTAAACCAGGTCTAAACTGGAACTAAACCTAAACCAGGACTAAACCAGGTCTAAACCAGGTCTAAACTGGAACTAAACCTAAACCAGGTCTAAACCAGGTTTAAACCGGAAATAAACCAGGTTTAAACCAGAACTAAACCTAAACCAGGACTAAACTGGAACTAAACCTAAACCAGGTCTAAACCAGGTCTAAACTGGAACTAAACCTAAACCAGGTCTAAACCAGGTCTAAACTGGAACTAAACCTAAACCAGGACTAAACCAGGTCTAAACCAGGTCTAAACTGGAACTAAACCTAAACCAGGTCTAAACCAGGTTTAAACCGGAAATAAACCAGGTTTAAACCAGAACTAAACCTAAACCAGGACTAAACCAGGTCTAAACTGGAACTAAACCTAAACCAGGTCTAAACCAGGTCTAAACTGGAACTAAACCTAAACCAGGTCTAAACCAGGTCTAAACCAGGTTTAAACCGGAAATAAACCAGATTTAAACCGGAACTAAACCTAAACCAGGACTAAACGAGGACTAAACCTAAACCAGGTCTAAACCAGTACTGAACCGGAACTAAACCAGGTCTAAACCAGGTCTAACCAGGACTAAACCAGGTCTAAACCAGGTTTAAACTAGAAATAAACCAGGTTTAAACCAGAACTAAACCTAAACCAGGACTAAACCTAAACCAGGTCTAAACCAGTACTGAACCGGAACTAAACCAGGTCTAAACCAGGTCTAAACCAGGACTAAACCAGGTCTAAACCAGGTCTAACCTGGAATTAAACCAGGTCTAAGTCAGGACTAAACTGGAACTAAACCTAAACCAGGTCTATACCAGGACTAAACCAGGTCTAAACCATGACTAAACTGGAACTAAACCAGGTGTAAACCAGGACTAAACCAGGACTAAACCAGGTCTAAACCAGGTCTAACCTGGAACTAAACCAGGTCTAAATCAGGACTAAACTGGAACTAAACCTAAACCAGGTCTATACCAGGACTAAACCGGAACTAAACCAGGTTTAAACCAAGACCAAACAAGAATTAAACTAGAACTTAACAAGGACTAAACCTAAACCAGGATTAAACCAGGACTAAACCAGGTCTAAACCAGGTCTAAACCAAAACCAAGTCTAAAGTCTAAACTTTAACTAAACCTAAACCAGAACTAAACCTAAACCAGGACTAAACCGAGTCTAACCCAGGACCAAACAAGAACAAAACTAGGAAGAAACCATGACTAAACAACAAGGACTAAAACTAAACCAGGTCTAAACCAGGTCTACACTGGAACTAAACCAAACCCAAGTCTAAACCAGGTCTAAACCGGAACCAAACGTAAACCAGGTCTAAACCAGATGTACACTAGGATCATAGCGGGTGTAAACTAAACTAAACCAAGTCTAACCCAAGACCAAACAAGAACTAAACCAGGTCTTAACCAGGACTAAATGTAACCTGCATTTGAGGTTTGAGTGCTTAGAAATGTGTTTTCACTTCCTCCGGGGAGGAAGTGAAAACGAGCTCAGTGTTTGGGCCAATGTTTGTTTCTGTAAAACTCACGACTTTGTTTACGTGCTAAAAAACAGACGTTTTCTTTAGTCAAATAAAGAATCCAAACTGTCATAAGCACTTTTAACACGTTCATTTAGTCACGTTTGTGTTTATTGTTGTTCTTGCTGATGTATTTACTTTGACATTAGCCATAAAAATGATCTTTTTTCGAATTTTCTTTTGTAAAAAAAAAATAATAAAATAACACGTACAGCGTCCTTCTCACGTGTTACTCAACGGGAGCTTCTGATTGGCTCTAACTCACCACAAGGTTCCTGCCCACTCCGCCTGTACTCTAGCTCTGATTGGCTGAGTTCTGGCGTGACGTCCTCGCGGCGTGCCTCTGATTGGCTGCGCTCTGGAGTGACGTCCCCGCGGCGCGCTTCTGATTGGCTGGCGAGCATAAAACATCCGTTCAAACCCTTGACAGCCGCGGTCTGAGAAGTGCCACATTTTCCCGGAGTTTTTCCCCGAAATACGTAATTTTCGACGTTTTCCACAGAAGCGCACTCGGGGCCAGCGTGAGCCCCGATGCCGGAGACTGGTGCCGGGATGGAGCGACACTTGAGCGACGACGTGGAGCGGGTTTCGGAGAGAATGGAGAGGTAAGTCCCGCTAGCTCCGTGCTAATGCTAACAGCTACAGTTAGTTTTAAAGTAAAGTCTAAAATGTAAACACGAAATAAAGTTCAAACACACGATGACAACTAGGGCTGGGTATCATTAAGAAGTTGCCGATACGATACACACCTCGATACACAGGCCACGATACGATACACATCTCGATACACAGGCCACGATACGATACACATCTCGATACACAGGCCACGATACACACGATACATACATACTCGATACACAGGCCACGATACGATACATACGATACTCGATACAGATACACAGGCCACGATACGATACACAGGCCACGATACGATACACAGGCCACGATACGATCACAGGCCACGATACGATACGACGATACGATACATATCTCGATACAATGCACTTTCGATTCGATATGATATATTTCAAATCGATTCGATATGGTTCAATAAAAAATAAAGGCTAAATCGTGGCTCTGATACTAAAAGTCTTTGTTAAACTACTTCTTGTGAAAAGTTCATATGAAACACAAACATTTTAATCCTCAAAACAGTAAATGAGCTTCCTTTCACTCCACAAGCAACAAAACTATAGCACTGTAACAAAATAATTTAGTAAAACACACCTAAAAATATGATATCGATACTGTATCATCACATTAAACGATACGATATATTGATATTCCGATATTTTTGCACACCCGTAATGACAACCTGATATTTTTTGTTTCTCATGGTGTTTTTTTTTTTGTACGATCATAAACGATAAACTTTTGCCCCTTCGTTAACATTAGTATTAGTTTGTACGACCAGAAACGGGGGGAAAAAACAATAAAATAAATAAAAATTCTTTACATTCTTCATTCTCATTTTACTTATTTTGATACGATCATAAACGATAAACTTCTTTGCCTTCTTTATCCTTATTATTATTAGTTTCCACGAGTATGTTATTTATTTTTACATTTTTTATACAACTACATCATTTCTGAAACTACAGTACGTCATGAACAGATTTGGGTTAATATTAGTTTTTCTTGCTGAGAAATTAGTTATTTTCTGTTTTCTGTTTACAGTGTGTATGTAGTGTGTGTATGATTATTGTTTTTTTCTTGGAAATAAAAAATAATAAATTAATTTAAAAAAGAGAGACATGAGTAAAACACGTGTAAATCTCAGGTGATCTAATATAACTTAAATAAAAATAATCTTTCCCAGTGACATAGTTTTTCTAAAGATGTGCAGCTTTTTTTTTTACTCACTAAAAGGTTCAGTACGTAACTTTCTGGAGTTTACACGTCACCGGCACAATTCCACGGAAATAGAAAGTTACCTGAAACCTAAAAACATGCACCAGGGACGAGGGGTGGAAATGAGCTTTAATGCTACAACCTGGAACATGCGTCTCTCCTGTTGAGGATAATGTACAAAATAAATTAATACATTAAAAAAAGTAAAAACCTCCAAATATTTTCCCCAATCACGTTATGCCACACCCACCACTTTGCGTTTGTGATAGTTTATGTACATTTCTGACAGTATTTTGGTTACGATTAGGAGTTAAGAACATTTCATTTAGCGTATTTTACAGTGAATTGTGAGATTCAGTACGAGGCTCCGCCCACAAGCCTTTGTCTCCCGTACGCTCCATTAAGAACACAAAAACGTGACACAAAACTGTCCACAGCGACGGTCAAACCTGATGTGATGTGCAGGAGTTTCTTTAGCGCGACGAACGCTGAGAGTGTGGTAATAGCGCTCTGGTGGGGGAGTGACTCAGCATAGAGGGAAAAGGGAGCGGAGACTCAAGAGTGTCAGAAAATAAAAGTGAAACTTCAGGGAGTGTAGCATTTTCAATAAAAAGTAACCTGGTGATCTAAATGTTATATGTTATAGAAAATTAGAAAATACCCCGTCTTGAAGTAGTTCTTTTGAATTCCACTTTACAGACTTCACTAATACTTTGATTTATACTTTGACTTCATATATTTGATGTTTCTGTGTGTGTATAAAATGTAGAAACTTGTAGGACAACATTAAGTGAGAGGGTGTGTCCAAAGCGTTACGTTTTATTGTTTAATGGTCCAACTGTTTTGGTCAAACTCTCATTCAGTGTTTTTTTTTTTTTTTTTTTTTTTCTTACCACTTTTTGTATTTTTTTTACACATTAAAACATCAAATATATGAAGCAAAGTATTTATTAAAGCATTTACTTTTTTTTTTTAATAACTACTAAATATTTTTCGCCCAAGCAAAGCATGACAACTTTGAAGTTTAAATATAAAATATTTTCATTTTAAAATTTGTATTTAACTTTTCTTCCTTTGCTACATAATTTCATAAGTCGTCTGTATATAAAATGTGGACAGTGGTAAATATGAAGAGACAAAGATCGATTGAGAGAGTGAGTACAAACTTTCAACAGGTCATGTATTTCACTTTCATTGACGTTGATGTTGATTTTTACACAGAGCTGAGGTCTGAATGATTCTGTGTCTCATGTTCCAGGTCTTTGTGTTTCAGGTCTTTGTGTGTGGACACCGAGGATCCTCTGGAAACGTACAGCAGGTAAAGTCTCTCCACATCCACACAACTACAACAACAACAACAACAACAGACGAGCCTGGGACAGAAACACTTTTTCAAGTACAATATATATTTAAATTTTTACACTTTTAATTTACCTGAGGGGAAATTCTTTTTCACAAATTAAGAGAGAAAATATTAATACGTTGCAGCTAATGTCATCAACATTTGCTGGAGATGTGATTCTAACTGTATTCACTGCTCTGTCTGACTTTAATCTGAACTTTATTTAAACACAATCTGACCATAAAGAACCGATTTAGCTGGAACTACAGTTGATCTTGTCAAAACATGAGCTGTTATGAATAAATAACAGAATGAAACACTTCAGTGGTAATTGGTCACATTTTTATACATCACTTTTCCATCTTCAAGACTCAAAGTGCTTTAGTAGTTTGTTTCTGTGAGTCAGTTATTTACTCAGCCCACGACGGCTCAGATCTGATCGTTTTGCAGAAAATAACAAAATGTTCCCCACGTAAATCTTCTCTCTAATCCTAATGTCTCTGAAGCTCTGAACAGAATCCCACTTTTTAAACATGGACCGTAATAATCACAAGAGTGTTTAATAGAGAAATCACAATTAGATGTTTTTATAAAATCGTTCAGTTCTATCAGTATTGTTTTAGACCTGCTTTGGACCTCCTTTAGACCTCCTTTAGACCTCATTTAGACCTACTTTAGACCTCGGTTAGACCTCATTTAGACCTGCTTTAGACCTCGGTTAGACCTCCTTTAAACCTCGTTTAGACCTGCTTTGGACCTGCTTTAGACCTAGTATAGACCTCGTTTAGACCTAGTTTAGACCTGCTTTGGACCTGCTTTAGACCTCATTTAGACCTAGTATAGACCTCGTTTAGACCTGCTTTGGACCTGCTTTAGACCTAGTTAGACCTCGTTTAGACCTGTTTGGACCTGCTTTAGACCTTTAGACCTCGTTTAGACCTAGTTTAGACCTGCTTTGGACCTGCTTTAGACCTCATTTAGACCTAGTATAGACCTCGTTTAGACCTAGTTTAGACCTGCTTTGGACCTGCTTTAGACCTCATTTAGACCTAGTATAGACCTCGTTTGGGACCTGCTTTAGACCTCATTTAGACCTACTTTAGACCTCGATTAGACCTCGTTTAGACCTTTAGACCTTTAGACCTTTGCGTTTAGACCTGCTTTGGGCCTGCTTTAGACTAGTATAGACCTCGTTTAGACCTTTTAGACCTGCTTTGGACCTGCTTTAGACCTCCTTTAGACCTCGTTTAGACCTGCTTTGGACCTGCTTTAGACCTAGTATAGACCTCGTTTAGACCTAGTTTGGACCTGCTTTAGACCTAGTATAGACCTCGTTTAGACCTAGTTTAGACCTGCTTTGGACCTGCTTTAGACCTCATTTAGACCTGCTTTAGACCTCGTTTAGACCTGCTTTGGGCCTCGTTTAGACCTGCTTTGGACCTCGTTTAGACCTGCTTTGGGCCACGTTTAGACCTGCTTTGGGCCTCGTTTAGACCTGCTTTGGACTTCGTTTAGACCTACTTTAGACCTCCGTTGGACCTTCTTTAGACTAGCTTTGGACCTCGTTTAGATCTGAACCTTTGTTTAGACCTCGTGTAGACCTGGTTTAAGACCTGCTTTAGACCTCGTTTAGACCTGCTTTAGACCTGCTTTAGACCTCATTTAGACCTGCTTTAGACCTCGTTTAGACCTCGTTTAGACCTGCTTTTAGACCTGCTTTAGACTTTTTAGACCTTTTAGACCTTTTAGACCTGCTTTGACCTGCTTTAGACTTTTTAGACCTAGTATAGACCTCGTTTAGACCTGCTTTGGACCTGCTTTAGACCTCATTTTAGACCTTTTAGACCTTTAGACCTCGTTTAGACCTGCTTTAGACCTCGTTTAGACCTGCTTTAGACCTCGTTTAGACCTGCTTTGGGCCTCGTTTAGACCTCATTTAGACCTGTTTTGGACATTGTTTAGACCTGCTTTGGACTTCGTTTAGACCTACTTTAGACCTCCGTTGGACCTTCTTTAGACTAGCTTTGGACCTCGTTTAGATCTGAACCTTTGTTTAGACCTCGTGTAGACCTGGTTTAAGACCTGCTTTAGACCTGCTTTAGACCTCGTTTAGACCTGCTTTAGACCTCGTTTAGACCTGCTTTAGACCTTTAGACCTGCTTAGACTAGACCTGCTTTAGACCTGCTTTAGACCTGCTTTAGACTTGGTTTAGACCTGCTTTAGACTTGGTTTAGACCTGCTTTAGACTTGGTTTAGACCTCGTTTAGACCTACATTGGACCTTGTTTAGGCCTCGTTTGGATCTGCTTAAGACCTTGAGACCTACTCTCTTCCTGTTTCCTCTAATCTCTTGTTCTTCTGCTCGTAGACTGGTTCAGGAGGCGAAAGCTGCGGGTCGCGGTGGAGACATGCACAAAGCCCTGACCCTGTTTGAAAAGGCCTACGACATCCACCCGAGCGACAAACTCAAGTCACGCATCCAGAAGGTCAAAGAGTTTTTATCGGAGGTTCAGTCGGAGGAAGAAGACGACGAGGACTTTGTGGACGTAAACGGCTGCGGCCTGCTGCTTTTCAAAGATCTTCACAATAAACTGTACGATTACCAAAAAGAGGGCGTGGCGTTTTTGTACAGACTTTACAACAACAGGCTCAAGGGAGGCATCCTCGCTGACGACATGGGCCTCGGAAAAACCATACAAGTGATCTCGTTCTTGTCTGGGATGTATGACTTGGACCACGTTAAGTTCACGATACTGGTCGTACCGACATCTTTGATCACAAACTGGACCAAGGAGTTCGCGAAATGGACACCGGGGATGAGGGTTAAGGAGTTTCACGGGGCGAGCAAAAGTGAACGCACTAAGAACCTGGAGAAAGTTCAGCGAAGGGGCGGCGTCGTCATCACCACGTACAACATGCTGCTCAACAACTGGCAGATCCTGTCGTCGCATAACGGGCGGGAGTTCACGTGGGATTACATGATTCTAGACGAGGCGCACAAAATCAAAAGCACGGCGACCAAAACCGCGAAAAGTGCGTCCGCGATTCCGTCGAAGAACCGGGTGTTGCTCACGGGAACGCCGGTGCAGAACAATCTACGCGAGATGTGGGCGCTGTTCGATTTCGCGTGCCACGGGGAGCTGCTGGGGACCGCGAAGACGTTCAAAGCGGAGTACGAAAACCCGATCACGAGGGCGAGGGAGAAGGACGCCACGCCCGGAGAGAAGGTGCTCGGCTTGAGGATGTCGGAGAACCTCATGGCGATAATCAGACCGCACTTCCTCCGCAGAACCAAAGCGGAAGTGCAGAAGCTGAAGCCGAGCAGCCCACCTCAGGAAAACGGAGACGGCGGTGAGAGGGCGGAGAACGACGAGGCGAATCCTGGAGCGACGATGCCAGAGTTGACACGTAAAAACGATCTGATAGTTTGGACGTATCTGAGCGCGGTGCAGGAGGACATCTACAGACAGTTCATCTCGCTGGATCACATCAAGGAGTTGCTGATGACGACCAAATCGCCGCTCGCCCAGTTGACCATTCTGAAAAAGCTGTGCGACCATCCGAGGCTGCTGTCCGCCGGCTCGATGGCGAAGCTCGGCCTGGACGATCACGACGCCGGCGATTCGGAGGGAGACACGGGGCACGACATCACCAACGTACCCGACGACACGCTCATCTCCGAATCGGGTAAAATGGTGTTTCTTTTCTCGCTTTTGGAGCGGCTGAGAGACGAAGGTCACCGCACGCTCGTTTTCGCTCACTACCGCAAAGTTCTGGACATCCTGGAACGGATCTTGAAAAACCGTGGATTCAAAGTCATGCGAATGGACGGGACGATAACGCACACCGCCGAACGTGAACGCCGGATAACGCTGTTCCAGAAAGACCAGAGCTACACGGTTTTCCTCCTAACGACGCAAGTGGGGGGAGTCGGAATCACGCTGACGGCGGCGAATCGCGTCGTCATCTATGATCCCAGCTGGAACCCCGCCACGGACGCTCAAGCCGTGGACCGAGCGTATCGTATCGGACAGAAGGAAAACGTTGTGATTTACAGACTGATCACGTGCGGCACCGTCGAGGAGAAAATCTACAGACGTCAGGTTTTTAAAGATTCGCTGATCAGGCAAAACACGGGCGACAAGAAGAATCCGTTTAGATATTTTAGCAAACAGGAGCTGAAGGAGCTTTTCACGCTGGAGGACACGAAGTCTTCGACCACACAGATGCAGCTCCAGGCGCTGCACTCGAGGCAGAGGCGCACGGACGCAGAGCTGGACGAGCACATCGCACACCTCCACGCCATGGAGATGTTCGGCATTTCTGACCACGACCTGATGTTTTCTGTGAACGCGCACCAGGAGGAGGCGCCGGAGGACCAGGAGCAGCGCCACTACATCGAGGGCCGCGTGCAGAAGGCGCAGGAGCTGATGAAGGCGGAGTGTGAGCTCCAGACGCAGCTGGCACAGAGCATGGCGTCCAGCACGGAAGCAGCCTGGTTAAGGATGGACCAACCGCCCAGAGAGAGGAAACCCCGATACCCCACACAGGTCAGAACACTCCTCTACTCTGGACTTTTTCAGCATTTACCTTAGTTTATTTACAGTTTGTAGTTAATAAATAAATATAAGTGTGTGTGTGTATATATATATCGCTCTATATAGATATAGATATAGATATATAATTTTATTTTATTTTTTTTATATATGAATGAATGTTTATTCGGACAATAATACATAGAATATAAATAAAAACGTAAATACATAGATATAACACAAAAAGTAAATATTTCTATAATACTTATTTAACCCAACCCCTTTTTTCTACTGTCCCAAATTAACCAAGAACATATATAGACTTCTCATTTCCTGTACAATATGTACAAAAATGTATCTATCTCGCCTGGCGAGAATTTATTTAAAAATAAATTTTTGGGTCTGACTGACCCGCCCCAAGAGAGCAGGAAGGAAGTTTTTTTTTCTTCTTCGGGTCAATGTGACCCCCAGGAGAGCGTGAAGGTTAAACAGAACTAATTTCTTGCTAGTGTGGCTCATGTTGTGTTTTCTTCTCACCAGGATTTGGAGAGTCCTGGGTCTCACTCGTACCAGGACCACGGGGCCGTGGTGGATCTGGACCGGTCCGGGTCAGCGGAGAAGAACGTGATCGACCTGACGGCGGAGCAGAGCAGCGACGAGGCCACCGAAAACAGCCACGAGTCACAAGAAGAAACGCGCAAAATCAAAACGGAACGTGGAAACTCTCAAAACTTTACGGAACGAAACTCCACAGATCACGAAGAAGTGGTGATTTCTGATGACGAGACTCCACAAAACGGTTTCCAACAAAACGGCGTCCACTCTCCACGAAACATCAAATCAGAAATGCCCCACTTCATCCACAACGGAGACGTGTCTATGAATGATTTGGAAGCGCAAGAAAAAGATCAAAACTTCAGCGCGATAAACGGACATGAAAACGGCGTAGAGGAAATCGAAAACGGCGATCGCTCCATGAATAACTTGGTGATCGAGGATTCCGTCGAAGAAGCGATGGACGTGTCTGCTCAGAACCTCGAGAATAAATCTGAAGTGCGAAATGGCTTCACAAACGCAGTGGAAATTTTGTCTGAAAATCACAAACTCGACCAATCGACCGGCGACAGCAGCTTGAGTTATTTCACCGCCGACGATGACGAAAAAACGCAACGAGCTAAAATGGACTTGGGCGAATTCCACGAAACACCGCTGAAGAACAAGCGTCTTTCCGTGATGCAAGCGAGTTTTAAATCTGAAAACGGGCCGAATTCCAGCTACGTCATGGACTCTTTGGAAGGCGAATTTAACTTACAATTGGACGACGACAGCAGCATCATTTCGGATAACGATATTTTCAACGATCAGAAGCAAACTGAGGAAGAGGAGCGTCAGATTCTGTCCAAACTACAGTTAGACGGCAGTTTTAGTGTTGACAGGTCGTTAGCGGAGCATCACAACAAGGAAAAGTCCGTAATTAACGACGTTTCGGAGATGAACACTTCGGAGAATGACTCTGTTGTCGCCACGGTGAGAAAGAAGCGAGTGGCGAGGATTTACAGCGACGACGAAGACGAGGAAGAGCAGGGGCGGGAGAAATCGAACGTGAAGGATTTTGAAGAATCGTTTCACATGTTGGGAGCGTCGACCCCGAAAGCCTCCGCCGCCGCCTCCGCGACTCTGAACCGGTCGAGGAAAAGTGTGAACACATCGGTCGCCTCCAGACGCTCGTTTGTGATGTCGCTGATCGACGACATCGACAACCACGAGGAGGAGGAGGAAGAGAAGAGCGGAGGGAGCGAACGGGACCACAGAGAGACCGAGGAAGACGAGTCTGAGGGAGAAGAGGAGGAGGAGGACGGACAGGTAAAGAGAAAATGTCAATACAAAACTAGAATGAAAACCTTATGTGCTTTCACCAAGTCTTCAAATCAAGTCAGAGGGTCGATATTACGCTGTTTTCTGATCTATGCTCAGGGTTTCCACTGTCATGGAAATCCTGGAAAAGTCATGGAATTTTACCATCTCTTTCACACAGCTCCAGTGTTCTGTTCAGTTCTCATGAGTCTGTTCTGATTATTTGTGAACATCTGAGTCTTTTGTTTAAAAGAGACGACAATAAATAAATGCACTGACAGGATTTTAAATGTTCAAAAACTATAATCCCAAACCATAAGGTGAGTGGAAAGAGTTAAACATTCATGTCACGATACGACATATCCCTGTACAGTGTTGGGGAGTAACAGATTACATGTACCGGCGTTACGTAATCAGAGTACAAATGATGAGTAACTGTATTCAGTTACAGTTACTATTTCAGTGAGTGGTAATTGGATTACAGTTACTTTGTTGAAATAAATGGGTTACATGGCGATAGTTTCCTGTTTTCACATTTTGGGCTAAATCAGGACTAAAACCAGGACTAAACTAGAACTAGACTAAACTAGGAACTAAACTAAACTAGTAAACTAAACTAAGACTAAACTAAACTAGTAGTAAAGTGGACATAATTGTGATTTCATATAAAAATAATTTCTCTATCAATAATATTTATAATCTGGTCAAGTAAAGACTGAACGAACATGAATTTTCAGGATGTGGTTGGTACATTCATGTAGTTTTAAAAAACATGACAATATCAAGTAATCCAAAGTATTCAGATTACATTACTCACTTTATTTTAATGGATTCCGTTACAAACTACATTTTGGTGTGTGTAATCTGTAATCTGTAGGGGAATATGTTTTAAAAGTAAACTTCACAACACTGTCCCCGTATATTCAAATATTAAAATAAAGGACAATATATTGCGACTTAATACTTATTATTATTATTATTACTTCTAATAATATAATCATGTACATCTTCAGAAGCACAAAATTGTATTACATGAAAATATTTATTTTATATCATGAGAACACTAAATGTAACTCTGGAATTTTTGTGAAAAAATATGATTTAAAAAAACTGTTTCAAGAATTGTGCAGCGTATTATCATGATATATCACTGAATTGATTTTTTTCTTACACCTCTATCTAAAAACGTGCTCAACTCTACACATGTAGGTGCCGTAAAATCATGGAAAATTCACTTAAGGTCATGAAAAAGTCTTGGAAGTTTTTAAATGTTGTCATTGAAGAAGAGTGGAAACCCTGAATGTTCTAATGTCGTTTCCTCGTCACAAACCTGGAGCTGTTTTGTTTCATTCACACATGTTTAAAAATGAAAAAATACACCGTCTGATGGCCGATGTCCAAAAGCCTTTTTTAAAAATTATCTGACAAAGCCTTTTTGCCGAAGCGTAATTTGGAGATAAAACCTCAACAGTGAGTCTGGTCTGTGTTTTCTGTTTCATTTTCTTCATTCACACACATTTAACACACAAACCCTGCAGATTTAGAGTTAGAGTTTTTCTCTCAAACTGAAAACGCACTGTTCCCCCTTGTGATGTCATCATGTGGTAATACAGGAAGTGCTCCACTGTGTTTTTACACTCCACACGCCTTCAGTAGAATCATTTGGATCATTTCAGTCCTGGATTTGCCGATCTCCACTGAACTAAAGAAGCTGTTCACTTGAAAACTACCACTTCATGACATCACAAGGTGGAACAGAGCATTGACAGACACGTAGACAGACTCATAATGAAGAGAAACTCAAACCTGTGAATGAAACAAAACATTAGAACACGACTTAAACCTCACAAGAGTCACTTCTGTGTGATATCGGAGCTTTAAAAACAAAGACGGAGATTTTCTTGATGAGTTGTTCTAGAAATCGACCTTCATCACAACTGGACGTTCTGACACTGATTTTGTGCGTCCAGGCTGACGAGGGCGTTGAAGAGGAGTCCAGAGGGGGCGTGTCTGTGGGCGATGAAGAGTCTGAGCCGAGCGGAGAGACCCTGAACTCTGAGGAAGAAGAGCTGGAAGAGGAGGAGGAGGAGGCACAGGTATTGCACTTTAATACACCAGCGTTTCACAAACTTTTTTTTCTGAGGAGCCATATTTTAAAAGTCACCCTAGTCAACAGACATCATTCATAAATCATAAAATAAAGTTGTGTTTGAGCATTATTGAACATTCATGAGGATATTTTATTGTTGACTAGGGACGGGCATTTGATTAAATTTTCTTAATCGATCGTCGGGAGAATTAACGATTGATTATCGATTAATCATTAATGTTTTTATATTAAAATGATCATCATTATTATTACTATCTGCACTAATCTGCATAAATAATTTCAACTTTATGACATATAAACAGAACGACTCTAGGGCCACATCAGCTGTTTGACATTATAATGTGTTTAATGCAGATTTGTGCAAGTCTCACAGAAACAAAACTTAAAACCACATGACTCGTTTGCATAAACTTAGGCTACGTTCAGACTGCAGCCTGAAGTTCCCAAATCCGATTTTTTTGTCTCTATGTTCCTGTATCTGATCTTTTAATGACAGTCTGAATGACACAGATCAGATTTTTTTCAAACATGACCCAGGACACTTGGATCTGTGCTCCTGAAACTGATACATATCTGATCTTTTGACATGTGACTTCAGTGTGAACGGTCAGGTCACATTCATCCACCTACACGTTATCAACAAGACACAAACGTCACTATTCTGCGCTGAAGTAGGAGAAAACTGTTAATGAACTCCGTGTGACTGAAGTGAAGCACATCTCCACTCACCACAAAACACCACGACCAAAAACCTGGTCCTTCTCCTTCTCAATCTCCTCCTTAAAACAAGTCAGTTGTTCATGTTCTGGCTCCGGTACGAGAGGAACTTTAAAATCTCCAGGTGCTCGATGCTGCGTCCATGTTTGGACAACTTCTGTAAACACAGAGACGCTCGCTGCGGTTGACGTCGTCGTGTCTCCAGTGTCACATGTGGGACACTTTTGGACCGTTTAATGTTCACACTGGAGTCACATACAAGTCACATTTAACTGGAAATGTGAACGACCTCGAAAAAACATCGGATTTCACAAAAAAATCCAAAATTGAGCGTTAAACCCTGCAGTCTGAATGTAGTTTTAGAGAAGTAAAAAAAAAACAGCTCTTGTGTCGCTGATGTGGTTCAACTTGTGTTGGATTAAAAGACATGACTCAGGTGAATACAGGTCTGTGTGACCAGATTTGCATTTGTCAAAACCAGGACAGCGTACGGGGGGAGGGGGCGGGGCCTCGGCCTCGTCATCGACATTGAGCGACTCTCACCTGGAAAAACTTTTTAATGATTTTCCATGTCCTGGTGCTTTGAGGTCCTTTACACACTGGACACTGACACATGTGCTGTTTTGTTCACTGTGCACATGGACTCACACTTGTCTCGACCGGAACAAAAAGCCAGAATTTCTTGTACAAGTCATCGTTAAATACACATTTGTGCTTAGTCACGTTGCAGACTGACCCACTGTTTGTGTCTCGCTCCTTCTGAGTCACTGACGCTACGAGAGACGCTCAGTTTAATGTTCAAATGAAAGGAAATGAAAACCTGAACATTTGCATTACTTTATAAAAAAAGAAAAACCCAGACAGCCAGGACAGGACGTGGAAAACAGACATGTCTGGGGAAAAACAGACGTTTGGTCGCCCTACTCTATGCACAGTGACCTACATGTGGTTTGTCGATGAAAAATGAACGTAATCGACGAAATTCTTAATGGTCAATTATCGATAAATCGACTAATCATGCCCATCTCTATAAATGACTGACTGATCGTGTCATAGAACAATTAGTTTTACTCAAGTTTTAAACAACGAAAAAAACAGTCACTGAAGCGGCAATAAAAGGATCCAGAAGTCGCCTATTTGGACTTTAAATGCAGATCATTTCTTTTTCTTTTCATTATTCAACTGATTCAGCAATACTGGAACAAAATAGTCAATGAAACAATTACAAAAAGATTAGAAATGATACAAAACATGCAGATACATGCAGATCGTGACAATTCGACCCCAAAAAAATCTCTTGCGACCCAGTCTTTGGGAAACCCTGTAATACCAGGCCCAACAGAAATGAGACAGAAACACTTCCTTGTAATAAACTCAGGGAGAACCAATATAGAATTTTACACAGACTTCAACGTACTCCTCAATTCTTGCATAAGATTCACCCTCAGTACTCACCTTTGTGTGTAAAATGTAAAAACATTGTGGGCAGTTATTATCATTGTATCTGGCAGTGTCCGTTGATACTCAGGTTTTGGAGGAATGTTGCTACGGAGCTCCGCTCCATTTTTCATCGAGCCGTCCCCGTGGAGCCTGTTTTGTTTCTTTTTGGCCTGTCTGAGAGGCTGCCTGTGTTACCAGGGCAGATGACGTTACTACGTAAACTTTTACACCTGGCAAGAAGATGCCTCCTGCTTCAGTGGATACAGGCAAAACCTCCATCTGTTACACAATGGTACAGAGAGACTTTTAAAGTTTTCCCAGTGGAAGGCCTCAGTGTCTCTTAAAAGGCAATTCAAACACTTTCTATAAAATATGGCAACCCTTTCTGGACCACCTACCTCAGGACTTGGCTGGTGTGCTTTATAAAGGAGGCTCAGACCTTGTGACGGTCTTTATCCATGTAGTTCTATGCAGACTAAGCTGTGCTGGATTGTATTGTATTGTTCTATTTTGTTAAAAAGACAATAAATTATTGTTCAAAAAAAATAATAATAATAATGAATAATTTTTAGAAATAAACTGGCACAAATGAAAACAGTCACAGCGCAAACCAAAAAACATTTCGTATCATTTCCTGCTGTTTCAGGTTTTGAGGGGCTGGACGACGTCATCGAGCCAAAATTAAACTGTTAAAAATCATAATCACACAAACGACTGACTCCATTTTGTTAGTTTATTTCATTCTGAAGTTTCCTGAAGCTGCTGACCAGAATTTGACCTGTAAAAGAATCGTTAACATCTCCAAAACTAAAGCGGCACGAACGAAACACAAACGACCGACGTAGTTTTTGTGTGGGTTTGCGTTTGACTTCAGAGGTCTCAACACATTTCTGATTTATTTTCTTCTCAAATGTTGTGGGGTTTTTTTTCCAGGAGAGCTTGGAGGAGTCGACCGCAGACGCAGAGCTGTCCTCGGGAGAGCGGATGGACAAACTCGGGCCTCAGACGGAGGAGGAGGAGGAAGAGGAGGATTACGAGACGGCGGTGAAGAGAGGACGAGAGTGTCTGACGCGAGGGCGACAGGAAGAAGCTCTCGGACACTTCCTGCGAGCGATAGACATGAAACCCGGAGACGCCGAGATCCAACTGCTCACCATCAAACTGTACAGACAGCTCAGCCAGAACAAGTACTGAACCCGGACTGAACCCGGACTGAACCCGGACTGAACCCGGACTGAACCCGGACTGAACCCGGACTGAACCCGGACTGAACCCGGACTGAACCCGGACCACCGACGGGGAGGTGACCGTCAATCTGCTCCAACGGTTCCTAACGTCTAACCTGAAATACATTTTAATATGGGTAAAATAAGTCTTGAAATCGAATTAAAAAAGGTCTTGAAATTGAAATCTGAATGGCTGAAAGTTTTGAAGTTCCAGAATTTCCTCCTCAAACAAACTCTCCTGTTTTTATTCTGCAAAAAAAAGTCTAATCCTGTAGTTTGGAGCTGTACAAACGTGTTCTGAAATGTGGTTCTTGTTCTTCTTCTGGACGTGTTAAATTTCTAAATAATAAAATGTAAACTGAAAAAAAAAATGCAAGTGCGAACCTCATATTCAATAAAAATTTTATCACAAACGTGCTTGTGTTTTATAAAATCCAGAGTTCCCACTGTCAAGGAAATCCTGGAAAAGTCATGGAAATTGAAAATGTCATTTTCTAGGCCTGAAAAAGTCCTGGAATTTTGTAAACTCAATGAAAGTTTTGGAAAAGTCATGGAATTTTTGCATGATTCCCGCAGCTCCAGGTTTTTGTTCAGTTCTCATGAGTCTGTTCTGATTATTTGTGAACGTCTGCACCTTTATTTAAAAGAGACGACAATAAATGCACTGACAGGATTTAGAATTTTCAAAAACTATAATCCCAAACCATAATGTGAGTGGAAAGAGTTAAACATTTCAGATTTATCATAAAAGTTTGATCAGTTCTACACATGTAGGTGCTGGAAAGTCATGGAAAATTCACTTTAGATCATGAAAAAGTCATGAAAAAGTTTTGAAATTTTGTCAGTGAAAAAGACAAATTGAAATCTGAACGGACACAAGTCACAAATCTCAAAGGCTGAAAGTTTTGAAGTTCCATAATTTCCTCCTCAAACAAATTTCTGTTTTATTCTGCAAAAAAACGTCTGACTCTGGATCCTCGTGACGTTTGTGACATAAACTGTAACAAACATTATTCATATTAATATCTGGATATATTATAATTATTATTTTCATATATAATTATTATTTTCATATTTCCGGTCTGTGGTTGCGGGTTCGATCCTCCTCACGGTCCTGAGCTGAACCGGCGTGAACCTGCGGCTGGACGGACCCGGCGCATGCGCGCACGCTCATCATGATGTCAGTTCGGACAGGTGAGCGCGCGACCTGCAGCACTTCCTGTTTACGCTCGGGCCTTCACAATAAAAGCACGAGCTCTTTAACTTCTGAAAGTTGCACCGAGTCACTTTTCCGGTGGAGAAAATCCGTCTGCTCGTCTCCATGGAGATGTTACACAGTACGGCATTAACCCTGAGATCTCTTCTATTTACTCATCGTGTATGTTTTATTCTTTAAAAATAATGCTCAAACATTGTTATCGTGAGGAAATCGCCTCTCCACAGATCCGACCTGTAACTTGACCTGGTTGTTTTACTGCGTGATTCCATAGAGACACATTTAATGCCATACTGTGGAACATTCTGGAGAACACGATAACATTTCAGCACACAGCAAAAGGTGGAGCAATTAAAGTGACTCACAGAATCATTTTAACATTTTCTCAGAGTTTATCTGAGTCACTCTGTTCTAGAGTTAATTCAACATTTGTGTAAATGTTCATAAAGTCACACTGGACCAAAATTCCTGTTTAACCTGAAATCCAGAGTTATATGAACGTTTTGAGAGTAAACAGATAACACTTTGTAGAGTTATCCTGATTCAACTCAACAACACACAGACGGGTTTTATTTTTACACTTTATTTTAGTAAATTTAAGATGAAATTATGAACAAAACTGGTTCAAACTGGTTCTACTCTCGCGGTAGTTTGAAGTGGTGGGAGAAATTAACACTAAAGGAAGTTGAATTAACACTAGTATAAGTTTAATTAACACTAAAGGAAGTTGAATTAACCTCAACCATATCAACTCTGGCAAATAAGCCCAGCTCAAACCCTCATTTAACTTTCTAATTGTTTAAAAAACACTTTTTGTGTAAAAACAACTTTGAAATATTTTACCCTGAAATTTAAACCCTCCAGTTTTTGCTGCGTATCTGAGTGTTCACCAGGGAAGTGACATGAAGTGATACTACTACTACTACTACTACTACTACTACTACTACTACTACTACTACTACTACTACTACTACTACTACTACTACTACTACTACTACTACTACTACTACTACTACTACTACTACTACTACTACTACTACTACTACTACTACTACTACTACTACTACTATACTACTACTACTATACTACTACTACTACTACTACTACTACTACTACTACTACTACTACTACTACTACTACTACTACTACTACTACTACTACTACTACTACTACTACTATACTACTACTACTTACTACTACTACTACTACTAGTACTACTATTACATTAAATTGTGGATTTGATTTTTGAAGATTTCTTATCAAAAATACCAGAGTGTGACACAGACACTGACTCTTTTTATCAATTATCTGACGCTGTTCTGTCCGATAATTGATATAAAAAAATAATAATGATAATAAATAAAAAATCTGTTTTGAAACGGTCACTTTTAGACTTTTATTGTGAAGCGGCGCCCCGGAAGCGCCCGCGTGCTCCTGTCAGTGACGCTGAGTGAGATTCCGGGCGAGTTCCAGCGCAGGGTCTGATCTCCCCGGAGTTTACGCCGAAACACGTCCCCAAGAGCGGCCAAGACCCGCGCCTCCCACCGGCCTCACGCACCGGGACCGAACCAGAACTAAACCCGGACTTATCACGGACTCAACCAGGACTAGTCGATCCCGAAGCGGACGGGGGAGTGATGGAGGGAGCGCAGAAGAGGAAAAAACTGCCCTGATCTCCCCGGCAGAAGAGGCCAGAGGACGGGGAGAAAAGCCGCACCGAGCCGGGCGCACGGGGACTGCGTAAAGGCGCACGGAGCGGACTTTTGGAGCGGACTTTTACGCACGTCGCCGCGGGGTTTGGGGGAAGGGAGCGCGGGGGGAGGCGGTTTGGAGACCGGAGAGGAGCGCTCCGAGGTTATTCACGGGGCATCGGAGAAACGGAGGGCCGCGGGGCATCATGGGAACTGGAGTCCTCATCTGCGCCCTGCTGCTGTGCGCCCCGACCGCAGGTACAGAGACACACACCCGGGTCCGGACCAGACCTGGACCAGACCTGGACCAGACCCGGGCCAGTCCTGGGCCAGACCTGGTTTAGTCCTGGGCCAGACCTGGTTTAGTCCTGGTTAAAACCTGGTTTAGACCTGGTTAACCTGGTTTAGTCCTGGTTAAAACCTGGTTTAGACCTAGTTAAGACCTGCTTTAGACCTGGTTAAAACCTGGTTTAGACCTAATTAAGACCTGGTTTAGACCTAGTTTATTGCATTTTTTCCCAGTGATTCAGTCCATGTTGTTGTCTTCATCCAACTTCCTGATTTAGACCCAGTTTAGTCCTGGTTTAGTTCTGTCTTAGCCCTGGAACAGTCCTGGTTTAGACCTGATTAAGACCTGTTTTAGACCTGGTTTAGTCCTGGTTTAGTCTTGCTGGAACTTCTCTGGATGTATTTAGTCCTGTAGAGTCCTAGTTTTGTTTTGGGCCTACTTTAGTCCTGGTTCAGTTCTGATTTAGCCCTGCATCAGTCCTGGTTTAGTCCTGGTTTAGACCTGGTTTAATCCTGGTTTAGTCCTTGTTTAGACCTGGTTTAGATCTAGTTTAATCCTCGTTTAGATCTGTTTTAGTCCTTCTTCAGATCAGGTTTAGATCAGGTTTAGACCTGGTTTTGTCCTTATTTAGTCATTGTTTAGTCCTGGTTTAGTCTTGCTGGAATGTCTCTGGATGTATTTAGACCCGTAGAGTCCTAATTTTGTTTTAGTCCTGGTTTAGACCTGGTTTAGTCCTGGTTTAGTCCTGCTTTAGTCTTGCTTTAGTCCTGCTTTAGTCTTTTAGTCTTTTAGTCCTGGTTTAGACCTGGTTTAGACCTTGTTTAGACCTAGTTTAGTCCTCATTTAGACCTTGTTTAGTCTGTTTTAGTCCTTCTTCAGATCTGGTTTAGTCCTGTTTTAGTCCTGGTTTAGTCCTGGTTTAGTCCTGGTTAGTCCTTTTTAGTCCTGGTTTTTTAGTCCTGGTTTTTAGTCCGGTTTTTAGTCCTGTTTAGTCCTGTTTTAGTCCTTGTTTAGTCCTGGTTTAGTCCTGGTTTTAGTCCTGGTTTTTAGTCCTGGTTTAGTCTGGTTTAGTCCTGGTTTAGTCCTGTCCTGGTTTAGAGTCCTTGTTTTTAGTCCTGTTTTAGTCCTTTTTCCCTTTTTTAGTCCTGGTTTTAGTCCTGGTTTAGTCCTGTTTTAGTCCTGGTTTAGTCCTGGTTTTTTTTAGTCTTGGTTTAGTCCTGGTTTAGTCTGCTTTAGTCTGTTTAGTCCTGGTTTAGTCCTGTTTTAGTCCTGGTTTTAGTCCTGTTTTAGTCTGTTTTAGTCCTTTTAGTCCTGGTTTAGTCCTGTTTAGTCCTGGTTTTAGTCCTGGTTTAGTCGGTTTAGTCCTGGTTTAGTCTGTTTAGTCCTGGTTTAGTCCTGCTTTAGTCCTGCTTTAGTCCTGCTTTAGTCCTGGTTTAGTCCTGGTTTAGTCCTGGTTTAGTCCTGCTTTAGTCCTGTTTTAGTCCTGGTTTAGTCCTGGTTTAGTCCTGCTTTAGTCCTGCTTTAGTCCTGTTTAGTTCCATCTTAGCTCTTTGACTCCCTGTTTCCTCGGGACTCGTCCTCGTGTCGGTCGCCCCGGGGCAGCTGTGGCTCCGGAATCGCACAAAACCGACTCCTGTGAGCTTCAAGTCGTGTTTTGTTTCTCTTTATTATTCGTCTGTCCACATTTCCAAAGCTCAAAACGCTCAGTTCCACATTGTGATGTCATGAAGTGGTGGTTTAACAGCTCCTTTTACCTTTAGTTCAGTCGAGATTTAAAATTCCAGGAGTGAATTTGAGAAAACAGAAATTTGAGCTTGTGTTTGTGTCGTAGAAATGATCAGATTTAACGTTTGTGGATTTATTTTTTGTAGATTTCAGGGTAAAGTTTGAAAAGTAAAGTTTAAAAATGTAAAAATGTAAAAGTTTAATCCGGGGGGAAATCTGCCTCCATCTGGGAAACGACGTCATCACAAGAATCTGAAAACCAACGAGACCATGAAGAAAACAAGTCCAGACCTGATTTCACAACAAGTCCTGGTTCAGTCCGGTTCAGGCTCTTGTTTAGTCCCGGTTCAATCCCTCGTTCACCTTGTTTAGTCTTGGTTTAGACCTGCTTTAGACCGGCTTCAGTCCTGGTTCAGACCTGGTTTAGTCCTGTTTTAGTCCTGGTTCAGTCCTGGTTTAGTCCTGGTTCAGTCCTGGTTTAGTCCTGGTTTAGTCCTGGTCCAGTCCTGGTCCAGTCCTGGTTTAGTCCTGGTTCAGACCTGGTTTAGTCCTGGTCCAGTCCTGGTTTAGTCCTGGTTTAGTCCTGGTCCAGTCCTGGTCCAGTCCTGGTTTAGTCCTGGTTCAGTCTGGTTTAGTTCTGGTTTAGTCCTGGTTCAGTTCTGGTTTAGTTCTGGTCCAGTCCTGGTCCAGTCCTGGTCCAGACCTGGTTTAGTCCTGGTTCAGTTCTGGTTTAGTTCTGGTCCAGTCCTGGTCCAGTCCTGGTCCAGTCCTGGTTTAGTCCTGGTTCAGTTCTGGTTTAGTCCTGGTCCAGTCCTGGTCCAGTCCTGGTCCAGTCCTGGTTTAGTCCTGGTTCAGTTCTGGTTTAGTCCTGGTCCAGTCCTGGTCCAGTCCTGTTTTAGTCTTGGTCCAGTCCTGGTCCAGTCCTGCTTTGATCCTGGTCCAGTCCTGGTCCAGTCTTGGTCCAGTCCTGGTCCAGTCCTGTTTTAGTCCAGGTTTGGTTGGTCCTGTCCAGTCCTGGTCCAGTCCTGGTCCAGTCCTGTCCAGTCCTGGTCCAGTCCAGTCCTGGTCCAGTCCAGTGGTCCTGGTCCAGTCCTGGTTCTGGCCAGTCTGGTCCAGTCCTGGTCCAGTCCTCCTGGTCCAGTCCTGGTCAGTCCTGGTCCAGTCCTGGTCCAGTCCTGGTCCAGTCCTGTTTTAGTCAGTCCTGGTCCAGTCCTGGTCTGGTCCAGTCCTGGTCGGTCCAGTCCTGGTCCAGTCCAGTCCAGGTTTGGTCCTGGTCCAGTCCTGGTTCAAACCTGGCCAGTCTTGGTCCAGTCCTGGTTCAAACTGGTCCTGGTCCAGTCAGTCCTGGTCCAGTCCTAGTCCTGGTTAGTCTGGTCAGTTCTGGTTTAGTCCTGGTCCAGTCCCGTCCAGTCCTGTTTTAGTCTTGGTCCAGTCCTGGTCCAGTCCTGCTTTGATCCTGGTCCAGTCCTGGTCCAGTCTTGGTCCAGTCCTGGTCCAGTCCTGTTTTAGTCCAGGTTTGGTCCTGGTCCAGTCCTGGTTCAAACCTGGGCCAGTCTTGGTCCAGTCCTGGTTCAAACCTGGTCCAGTCCTGGTCCAGTCCTGGTCAGTCCTGGTCCAGTCCTGGTTTAGTCCTGGTCCAGTTCCTGGTCCAGTCCTCCATCCTGGTCCAGTCCTGCTTTGATCCTGGTCCAGTCCTGGTCAGTCTTGGTCCAGTCTTGGTCCAGTCCTGGTCCAGTCCTGTTTTAGTCCAGGTTTGGTCCTGGTCCAGTCCTGGTTCAAACTGGGCCAGTCTTGGTCCAGTCCTGGTTCCTGTCCAGCCAGTCCTGGTCCAGTCCTGGTCCAGTCCTGGTCCAGTCCTGGTCTGATCCGGGTTCTGGACTTTGGACTTTGGTTTAGTGTTAAATCTTTTCTGTTGTTTGTTTGTTTCTTTGAGTCAGAATCAGGTCGAGTCGTTTCAGCTCCTGTACAGACGCTTAAAGCCACTGCGGAACATTCCAGACGGACTGATCTCATCTCCATGGAGACGTGGAGGCAGACAAAAAGTTCCCTAATGCAGCTTTAAGCGTTTGTGACAGAGACAGAAACAGAATGAGAGTGAGTTTAAGAAGATTAAGACTCAGACGCCGAGACGCTTCTGCACACGCTCAGACAGACCTGGTTTAGTCCTGGTTTAGTCCTGGTTTAGTCCTGGTTTAGACCTGGTTTAGTCCTGGTTTAGACCTGGTTTAGTCCTGGTTTAGAACCTGGTTTAGTCCCTTGTCCTGGTTTAGACCTGGTTTAGGTTCGTCTTAAACCAGGACCTAAACCAGGTCTAAACCAGGAAACTAAACCAGGTCTAAACCAGTAAACTAAACCAGGTCTAAACCAGGTCTAAACAGGTCTAAACTAAACCAGGACTAAACCAGGTCTAAACCAGGTCTAAACCAGGTCTAAACCAGGAACTAAACCAGGTCTAAACCAGGTCTAAACCAGGTCTAACCCAGGTCGGACTTGAGGCTCGTCTCGGGTCTTTTGAGATTTTCACAGTTGTTGTAAAATGTCACATTCTGCAGTTTCCTGTTTCACTGATAAAAACCACAGACCAGAGAAAAAAAACCTGAAACACTCCTCTTCCTCCTCCTCTTCCTCCTCTTCCTCCTCCTCTTCTCCTCCTCTTCCTCTTCTTCCTCTTCCTCCTCTTCCTCCTCCTCCTCCTCCTCTTCTTCTTCCTCCTCTCCTCTCCTCTTCTCTCCTCCTCTCCTCCTCCTCTTCCTCCTCCTCCTCCTCTCCTCCTCCTCTTCCTCCTCTCCTCCTCTCCTCCTCCTCCTCTTCCTCCTCCTCTTCCTCCTCTTCCTCCTCTTCCTCCTCCTCTTCCTCCTCCTCCTCCTCCTCTTCCTCTCTTCCTCTTCTCTTCCTCTCCTCCTCCTCCTCCTCTCCTCCTCTTCCTCTTCCTCCTCTCTCCTCCTCCTCTCCTCTCCTCCACTCCTCCTCCTCCTCCTCTTCTCCTCCTCTCCTCTTCTCTCCTCTCCTCTCTTCTTCCTCCTCTTCCTCTTCTCTTCCTCCTCTTCCTCCTCTCTCTTCTCCTCTCTCTTCTTCTTCCTCCTCTTCTCTTCTCCTCCTCTTCTCTTCTCCTCTTCTTCTTCCTCTTCCTCTCCTCTCTTCTTCTTCTTCTTCTCTTCTCTTCTCCTCTTCTCTTCTCCTCTCCTCCTCTTCTTCTTCTCCTCTCTCTCCTCTTCTTCTCTCTTCTCTTCTTCTCTTCTTCCTCCTCCTCCTCCTCCTCTCCTCCTCTTCCTCCTCTTCTTCCTCCTCTCCTCTTCTTCCTCCTCCTCCTCCTTCCTCTCCTCCTCCTCTCTTCCTTCCTCTCCTCCTCTTCTTCTTCTGGTGTTTTCTTCGGTTCTCGGTCGGTTTCTCGTGTTGTTGGTTTGTTTTTTTGTTTTTCTGTGGTTTTGTTAAACTGTCACAGTTTCCACACTTCAGCTCAAACTTTCTGTAACTTTCACTCACTCTGACACAAGACCTGGACTAGACCTGGTTTAGTCCTGGTTTGAGGTCCTGGTTTTAGACCTGGTTTAGACCTGGTTTAGTCCTGGTTTAGTTCCTGGTTTAGACCTGGTTTAGTCCTGGTTAGACCTGGTTTAGACCTGGTTTAAGTCCTGGTTTAGTCCTGGTTTAGTCCCTGGTTTAGACCTGGTTTAGAGTCTGGGTTTAGTCCTGGTTTAGACTGGTTTAGTCCTGGTTTAGACCTGGTTTAGCTGGTTTAGTCTGGTTTAGTCCTGGTTTAGTTCTGGTTTAGTCTGGTTTAGTCCTGGTTTAGAGACCTGGTTTAGATCTGGTTTAGTCCTGGTTTTAGACCTGGTTTAGACCTGGTTTAGACCTGGTTTAGTTCCTGGTTTAGTCCTGGTTTAGACCTGGTTTAGAGGTTTAGATCTGGTTTAGTCCTGGTTTTAGACCTGGTTTAGTCCTGGTTTAGAGTGGTTTAGTCTGGTTTAGACTGGTTTCCTGGTCTGACCCAGCGAGTCTCCAGAGTCTTCATCAGTGACAGACACACACACACAGACACACACACACACACACACACACACACACACACACACACACACACAGACACACACACACAGACACACACAGACACACACACACACACACAGACACACACAGATGACACACACACACAGACACACACACACACACACACACACAGACACACACACACACACACACAGACACACACACACACACACACACACACACACACACACACACACACAGACACACACAGACACACACACACAGACACACACAGAACCACACAGACACACAGACACACACACACACACACACACACACACACACACACACACAGACACACACACACACACACACAGACACGTCCTGCGTTTGTCTTTTTATTCTCAGTTTGTGTCTCTTCCTCATGTGAAGCTCAGATCCTCAGCGCTCGTCCCTGAGCTGCAGAAGCTGCACTAGCACCGACTCAGGACCAGGGCTTCTGGAGACACATTTTACATTTGAACAAACTGGACAAACGAGAGAACGACGTGAGGCTCGTTCTGTCTCTGAGCAGAGAATCGTCTTCCCAAATCCAAAGTTTTTGTGATTCGGAATAAATAGAAGTTTTTGTCTCGTTTCTCGTTTGTGAATCGAAAGTGTCAAATTTCACTCACGTTTGATTTTGAGTCGAGGAGCTGACGAGGCTCGAGTGAATCACGTCCTCACACTTCTGCTTTTGTCTCACGCACCACAGGACGGATTCAAAACATCGACACTGTCCCACCTCGTGATGTCACTCAGAGCTCTGTGTGTGTTTAGACTGATCCCCGCCACCTGTCCCCCCCACCACCTGTCCCCGCCCACCACCACCTGTCCCCCGCCCACCTCCACCTGTCCCCGCCCACCACCACCTGTCCCGCCCACACCACCACCTGTCCCCCGCCCACCTCCACCTGTCCCCGCCCACCTCCACCTCCACCTGTCCCCGCCCACCACACCTGTCCCCGCCCACCCCACCTGTCCCCCGCCCACCTCCACCTGTCCCCCGCCCCACCTGTCCACCTGTCCCCGCCCACCACCTGTCCACTGTCCCCGCCCACCACCCCTGTCCCCCCCACCCACCACCACCTGTCCCCGCCCACCACCTCCACCACCTGTCCCACGTCCCACCTCCACCTGTCCCCGCCCACCACCACCTGTCCCCGCCCCGTCCCCGCACCACCACCTGTCCACCTGTCCCGCCCACCTCCACCTGTCCCCGCTCACCTCCACCTGTCCCCGCCCTCCACCACCTGTCCCCACCCACCTCCGCCTGTCCCCACCACTTCCACCTGTCCCCCCCACCTGTCCCCGCCCACTGCCACACAAACGCTCAAAATTATTTCCTGTGACGAGGGGAGGAGGCGGGGCTTGTTTTTCACGTTAAACCGTTTCAGATCAGTGTTTGACCTCTGACCTCTGACCTCTCTCCTCAGCCCTGCTCCAGACCCAGCACCTGTCGTCGTACCACCTGACCGTCCCTCGACCAATCGGAGGGCGGCTGAGGCGGGGCTTGGACGGAGCGCCGCCCAATCAGGTGCAGTGAACGCTTCAATGAAATGGATCGTTTCACTTTTCAACTCGAATAAAATAATGAATTTAAGTCATTTTAATTGACCTAGATGTTACTTTTGTAGATTTTAAAACGTATTTCAGGTTATTCGTCTCGTTTTCAGATTAATGATGGACTCACTCGCTCTGAGACGCTTCATTCTCGTCTAGAAGTCGTTTATTTTAAGAGAAATTTTTACGTAAAATGATGCAAGGACAGATCTTTTTTTTTTTTTTTTTTTTTTTTTTTTTTTTTACGTTTAAGTCATTTTCTGATAGATTTAAATGTTTATATCTTCAGTTTTGTCCAAGCTTTTTTGCGGCGCGTCTTGCGTAACGTAAACCTCGTCATCCCAACGCGAGTTAGAAACGTAGAGTTTGATTGACAGGTCGCCTCCGATGTTTATGTGACTCCAACACGTCCACTGTCGATGGAATTTCATTTTGTTTGTTTGTTTGTTTGTTTGTCATAATTCCAAAGCTGCTGCGTCTCTATGATCATATTTTGAAATTTCACTGACAATTAAAAAAAAAATAAAAAATCCTCCACACAACTTTAACTTTTCCTCTCGTGACGTCGTCGGCGTGAAATCTGCTTCCTGTGGGGGTTTTTTAAATCTTTTTTTTTCCCCACTCTCCTTGACAAATCCTCGCCCCTCGTCCCTCGTCCTCACGCTCGTCCACCTCCGCCTCACACACGTCTCTGTCCCGGTGCATTCTGGGAACTGGAGTCCACACACAGACACACAGACACACAGACACACAGACACACACACAGACACACAGACACAGACACACAGACACACACACAGACAAGACACACAGACACACAGACACACACACACAGACACACACACACAGACACACACACACACAGACACACAGACACACAGACACACACACACACAGACACACAGACACACACACACACACACACACAGACACACACACACACACAGACACACAGACACACAGACACAGACACACAGACACACAGACACACACACACAGACACACAGACACACACACAGACACACACACACACACACACACACACACAGACACACAGACACACACACACACAGATACACACACACGACGTCATCAGGAAGAACGGAGAGACGGAGAGGAGGAGAGAGAGGGAGGGAGGGAGGGAAGAGAGAGAAGAGAGAGAGAGACGGAGAGAGACGGAGAAAGGGATCAAGACAGGCAGAGAGAGACGGAGAGAAGAGAAGAGGGAGGGAGGGAAGAGAGAGAGAGAAAGGGAGAGAGGAGGAGAGGGAGAGATGGTGAGAGACGGAGAGGAGAGAGAGAGAGACGGAGAGAGACAGAGAAGGGATCGAAACAGGAGAGAGAGAGACGGAGAGAAGAGAAAAGAGAGAGAGAGAAAGGAGAGAGGGATCGAGACAGGGAGAGAGAGACGGAGAGAAGAGAAAAGAGAAAGAGAAAGGAGAGAGAGATCGAGACAGGGAGAGAGAGTGAGAAGAGAGGGTTAAATAGAGGGAGTGAGAGAGAAGAGAGAGAGGGACAAGGGGAGAGAGAGGAGGAGAGAGAGACGGAGAGGAGAGAGAGAGAGACGGAGAGAGACAGAGAAAGGGATCAAGACAGGAGAGGGAGAGAAAGAGAGAGGGAGGGAGAAAGGGAGAGAGGAGGAGAGGGAAAGATGGAGAGACAGAGAGGGAGAGATGGAGAGAGACGAGAGAGGAGAGAGAGAGACGAGAGAGAGAGAGAGAGAGAGAGACGGAGAGGAGAGAGAGAGAGAGACGGAGAGAGACCAGAGAAAGGGATCGAGACACGGAGAGAAGAGAAAAGAGAGAGAGAGAAAGGGAGAGAGGGATCGAGACAGGGAGAGAGAGAGAGAAGAGAGGGTTAAATAGAGGGAGTGAGAGAGAAAGAGAGAGAGGGACAAGGGGGGAAGAGAGGAGGAGAGAGAGAAGAAAGAGGGGAAGAGAGACGGAGACAGAGAGAGAGGGAGAAGAAGAGAGGGAGAGAGAGAAGAGAGGGAAGAGAGAGGGAGAAGGGGGGAAGAGAGGAGGAGAGAGAAGAAAGAGAGAGAGAATAGAGGAGGGAAGTGGAAAGAGGTAGAGGGAGAAGGACAGAGAGAGAGGGAGGGAAGATGGAGGAGAGGGGTTAAAAGAGGGCAAAAAATGGAGAGAATAGGATGAGAAAGAGAGAAGGAAAAGGAGAGAGGATGAATGTAAAAGAGCAGAAAAATGGAGAGAACAGGGAGAGAAAGAGGGAGGGAAGAAGGAGTGAGAAAGGAGGAGAGGAAGAGATAAAAATGGAGATTAAAAGGAGAGAAAGGGGAAAAGGTAGAGAGTAGAAAGAGTGGAGGAAATGGAGAGAATAAGGAGAGAAAGAGACGGAGAGGGAAGAGAGGGGGAGGGAGGGTAAGAGTACAAAAAATGGAGAGAATAGGGAGAGAAAGAGAGAAGGAAAGGCAGAGAACAGGTGAGGAGGGAGAGAAGACCATTTGGAAACGAAGAGAGAGAATGGAAAAGGAGGAGAGAGAAAGTGAGAGAGACATGGAAGCGAGAGAAAAAGAGGAGAGAGAGAGAGGGGGGGGGAAAGTGACGGAGAGGAAAAAGGGAAGACGAAGAGGTGAGAAGAGAGAGAGAGAGAAAGAGTAAGAGGGACAGACAGAACGGAGAGAGCGAAGGAGGGAATAAGAGAAAGAGAGAGAGAAGTGACTGAGAGAGACAGAGAGACGGAGGGAGAGACGGAGGGAGAGACGGAGAGAGGGAGTGAGGTGGAGGTGTGGCGTGTTTGGAATGTACGGGTGGGATTTCCGAGTTTTCCGACGTGTTCGTGAACGAAAACAAAGATTATGAAAGAAAGAGTGTTTGGAAAGAGGGAGGGGAGAGAAAGAGGGAAGGAGGGAGGGAGAGAAAGAGGGAGAGGAAGAGGGGGAGAGGGAGGAGGGCAAAGACAAACATGTGGGTGTGTGTTTTTTTCTTTTCTCTGGAAGTTCGTTCACAGTAAATCTGCGGAGAGAGAGAAAAAGACACGAGAACGAGAGAGTGGAAAGAGGGATGGAAAAGAAGAAAGGAGGAGGAGGAGAGAGAGAGAGAGAAAGAGAGAGAGAGAGAGAGGAGAGAAAGACGTGGGTGTGATCCTCTAGGTCAAAGTGAATGTGTGAAGGAGAGAAAGAAAGAGAGAGAGAGAAAGAAAGACAAACATGTGGGTGTGGTCTTCTTTTTCTAGAGAGAAGGAGAGAGAGGAAGAGAGAGAAGAGAAGGAGGAGAGAAAAAGTGAGAGGAAGGGGGGAGAGAAAGAGAGAGGGGAGAGAAGAGAGAGAGAGAAAGAAAGAGAGAGAGAGAAGAAAGAGGAGAGAGGGAGGAGAGAAAGAAAGAAAGAAGGAGAGAGAGAGGAAGAGAAGAGAAGAGAAAAAGTGAGAGGAAGGGGGGAGAGAAAGAGAGAGGGGAGAAAGAGAGAGAGAGAAAGAAAGAGAAGAGAGGAGAAAGAAAGAGAGAGAGAAGAAAGAGGAGAGAGGGAGGAGAGAAAGAAAGAAAGAAGGGGAGAGAGGGAGGGAGGAGAGAGACAAACATGTGGGTGTGGTCTTCTTTTTCTAGAGAGAAGGAGAGAGAGAGGAAGAGAAGAGAAGAGAAGGAGGAGAGAAAAAGTGAGAGGAAGGGGGGAGAGAAAGAGAGAGAGAGAGAGAAAGAAAGAGAGAGAAGAGAGGAGAAAGAAAGAAAGAGAGAAGAAAGAGGAGAGAGGGAGGAGAGAAAGAAAGAAGGAGAGAGAGAGGAAGAGAAGAGAAGAGAAAAAGTGAGAGGAAGGGGGAGAGAAAGAGAGAGAGAGAAAGAAAGAGAAGAGAAGAGAAGAAAGAGAGAGAGAGAAGAAAGAGGAGAGAGGGAGGAGAGAAAGAAAGAAAGAAAGAAAGAAGGGGAGAGAGGGAGGGAGGAGAGAGACAAACATGTGGGTGTGGGCTTCTTTTTCTAGAGAAAGAGAGGAATAGAGGGGGGGAGAAGGAGAGAAAGAGAGAGAGGAGAGAGGGGAGAAAGAGAGAGGAAGAGAGACAGGGGAGAGGGAGAAGAGAGAAAGAGGGGGAGGGAAGAGAGAAAAAAGAGAGAGGGGGAAGGAGAGAGAGAGAGAGAAGAAAAAGTGAGAGAGAGAAGAGAAGAGAAGAGAGAGAGAAGAGAAACGTGTTGGTGTCAGAGAGAGAGAGAGAGAGACACAGAGAGAGCGAGGGAGAGAGAGAGAGAAGGAGAGAGAGTGAGGGAGTAAAAAGAGGAATGAAAAAGAAGACAGGAAGAGGAAAGAGAGAGAGGAGGGAAAGACGTGGGTGTGGTTCTCTAGGTCAAAGTGAATGTGTGAAGGAGAGAAAGAGAGAAGGATGAAGAAAGAGAGAGAGAGTGAAAGAAAGAAAAAGGGAGAGAGGGGTGAGAGCGAGAGAAAGAGAAAGAGGGAGGAGTGAGAAAGAGAGGGAGAGAGAGAGAGAGAGGGGAAAGTGTGAGTGGAAATGGGGAAGTGAAAGAGAGGAGGAAAAAAAGAGGGGAGAAAAAAGAGAAGAAGACATGGGGCAGTGTGAAAGAGAGAGAGAGAGAAAGGAAAAGGAGAAAAGAGAGAGAGAGACGTGGGTGTGTCCTCTGAGGTCATTCGTTCTTAATAAATGTGAGAGAGAGATGGAGAGAGGGATAGAGAAGGAAGGAGGAGTAGAGAGAGGAGAGAGGGAAGACAGGTAGAGGGAAAGAAGGAGGGAAGAGAGAAGAAGAGTAGGTTAAAGAAAGAGAGAGAGAAGAGGTGGAGGAGATAAATGTGTGTCTGAGGTCATTTGTTTTTAATAAATAAGAAAAGGAGAGAGAAAAAAAGGAGAGAGAGAGAGAGAGGAAGTGAAGAGAGGATAGAGGGAAAGACGGAGAGAAGGAGGGGAAAAAGAGAGAGAGAGAGAGAGAGAGAGAGAAGGCCTCTGAGAGGAAGAGAGGAGGGAAAGAAGAGAGAAAGTGGAGAGAAAGGACAGAGGGAGAGAGAGAGAGCGGGGCAAAGGGGTGAAAGAAAGAGAAGGAGAGAGAGGGAGAGAAAAAGAGAAAGAGACACAGAGAGAGAGAGAGAGAGGAAGGGAGACACACACGGAGAGGGAGAGAGAAAGAAAGAGAGAGGGGAAAGAAAGAAACAGGAGAGAGAGAGAAGAGAGAGAGAAGAAAGAAAGAGGAGAGAGAAAGGAGAGAAAGAAAGAGAGAGGAAGAAAGAAAGAGGAGAGAGAGAGAGAGAAGGGGAGAGAGAAGTGAGAGGGAGGGAGAGTTAGAGAGAAAGAAGAAGACGAGAGGGAGGGAGAGAAATAAACAGATGAATAATACAGATTTACTCAAACATGTGACTGAATGTGACGAGGAAACAACAAAACACGACTTAAACTTCACAAGAGTTAAATCTGTGTCATATTGGAGCTTTAATAACTCTGTTTTTCTTTTTTCTTTTTTCTTTTCTTTTCTTTGTGGGCGGAGTTTGCTGTGGGCAGATCTTCAGTCACATAAACAGACTCGTGTCGATCTGTTCTGAGTGTTTTTGTTTTGTTTTGTCGTTTAAAGTTTGTCGTCGTGTGTTTTCAGGTGTCGTACGTCATAAACGTGGAGGGACAGGATCATGTGGTGCGTCTCCACAGGAACACGTGAGTACTGCACCCGCCCACGCCACTGACGCCGACGCAGACGACGCCACTGACGCCGACGACCCGACGCCACTGACGACGCCGCTGACGCAGACGCACGACGCCACTGACGCCGACGCCACGACGCCGACTGACGCGCCACTGACGCCGACGCCACTGACGCCGACGCCACTGACGCAGACTCCACTGACGCAGACTCCACTGACGCCGACGACGCCACTGACGCCGACGCCACTGACGCCGACGACGCCACTGACGCCGACGCCACTGACGCAGACGCCACTGACGCCGACGCAGACGACGCCACTGACGCCGACGCCACTGACGCACGACTGACGCAGACGCACTGACGCCGACGCAGACGACGCCACTGACGCGACGCACTGACGCACGCCACTGACGCCGACTGACGCCGACGCACGACGACGCCACTGACGCCGACGCCACTGCCACGACGCCGACGCCCGACGCCACTGACGCAGACGCCACTGACGCCGACGCCACTGACGCCGACGCCACTGACGCAGACGACGACCCACTGACGTCGACGCCACTGACGCAGACGCGACGCCACTGACGAGACGCCACTGACGCCACGACGCCACTGACGCAGACGACGCCACTGACGCCGCAGACGCAGACGACGCCACTGACGCAGACGACGCCACTGACGCAGACGACGACACAGACGCACTTCACACTCAAACGTGGACAGACTTCAGAAATAAAAAAGAAAATGAGATTCACTTTTCCTCCAGACCCGTCCTGGTCCTGGTCCTGGTCTGGTCCTGGTCCTTGGTCCTTGGTCCTTAGTCCTTAGTCCTTAGTCCTTAGTCCTTAGTCCTTGGTCCTTGGTCCTTAGTCCTTGGTCCTGGTCCTGGTCCTGGTCCTGGTCCTGGTCCTGGTCCTTGGTCCTTGGTCCTGGTCCTTAGTCCCTGGTCCTTGGTCCTTGGTCCTTAGTCCTTGGTCCTTGGTCCTGGTCCTGGTCCTTGGTCCTTGGTCCTTGGTCCTGGTCCTGGTCCTGGTCCTTGGTCCTGGTCCTGGTCCTGGTTCTTGGTCCTTGGTCCTTGTCCTGGTCCTGGTCCTGGTCCTTGGTCCTTGGTCCTTGGTCCTTGGTCCTTGGTCCTGGTCCTTGGTCCTTGGTCCTGGTCCTTAGTCCTTAGTCCTTAGTCCTTGGTCCTTAGTCCTTGGTCCTTGGTCCTGGTCCTGGTTCTGGTCCTGGTCCTTGGTCCTTGGTCCTGGTCCTTAGTCCTTAGTCCTTGGCCCTTGGCCCTTAGTCCCTGGTCCTTGGTCCTTAGTCCTCGGTCCTTGGTCCTGGTCCTGGTCCTGGTTCTTGGTCCTTGGTCCTGGTCTTGTTCTTGTTGCTGATTCTGGTCCTGGTCCCTGGTCCTGGTTCTGGTCCTGGTCCTTGGTCCTTGGTCCTGGTCCTGGTTCTGGTCCTGGTCTTGTTCTTGTTGCTGATTCTGGTTCTGGGCCTCGTTCCAGATCCAGCAGTTCTGCAGTTTTCCGCTCAGACGTCTGACTGTGACTCAGCTCCAGGAGTCGGGTCAGAAACGAGAGTCGGGTCCAGAGGAAAATAAAACATCAGTTTAAAAATCCAGATTCTAATGAACATGACTCACGCTTTATAATGGAGAAGAAAAAAGTAAAAACAGCAAAAACTAAAAGCAAAAAAACCCAAACCAGCTCTTGTCTGTGGAAACTGTGGAAGTGTCACTGAGCTTCATCAGATTCTTTTGGACAATATGAATGAATCCACACGGGCACAGCTTAAATTAATATTGTTCAAATGCAAAATGAAGTTGTAATATTGTGAGTTTCAGGGTTTTGAATTTGAAAAAAACAGGTTCAACATTTGTGGAAAACTTTCGGGGCATCTTTTTTCATTCTTTTTTTTTGGGGGAAATTATAGTCAGAAAAGCAATGTTTGCATTTGCAGATGTCTTTATAGCGGCCATATTGATTTTTCTTTTTGGAATATCTCAGCCTCTGAATAAATTGAAATGTTGATTTTAGTCCTGGTTTAGACCTGGTTTTAGTCTTGGTTTAGACCTGGTTTAGACCTGGTTTTAGTCCTGGTTTAGACCTGGTTTTAGACCTGGTTTAGACTGGTTTTAGTCCTGGTTTAGACCTGGTTTAGACCTGGTTTTAGTCTTGGTTTAGACCTGGTTTTAGACCTGGTTGGTTTAGACCTGGTTTTAGACCTGGTTTAGACCTGGTTTTAGTCTTGGTTTAGACCTGGTTTTAGTCTTGGTTTAGTCCTGGTTTAGACCTGGTTTAGTCTTGGTTTAGTCCTGGTTTAGACCTGGTTTAGACCTGGTTTTAGTCTTGGTTTAGACCTGGTTTAGACCTGGTTTTAGTCTTGGTTTAGACCTGGTTTAGACCTGGTTTAGACCTGGTTTTAGTCTTGGTTTAGACCTGGTTTAGACCTGGTTTTAGACCTGGTTTAGACTTGGTTTAGACTGGTTTAGACCTGGTTTTAGTTTGGTTTAGACCTGGTTTAGACCTGGTTTTAGTCCTGGTTTAGACCTGGTTTAGACCTGGTTTTAGACCTGGTTTTAGTCTTGGTTTAGACCTGGTTTAGACCTGGTTTTAGTCTTGGTTTAGTCCTGGTTTAGACCTGGTTTAGACCTGGTTTTAGTCTTGGTTTAGACCTGGTTTAGACCTGGTTTTAGTCTTGGTTTAGACCTGGTTTAGACCTGGTTTTAGTCCTGGTTTAGACCTGGTTTTAGTCTTGGTTTAGACCTGGTTTAGACTGGTTTAGACCTGGTTTAGGTTTAGTTTTTAGTCCTGGTTTAGACCTGGTTTTAGTCTTGGTTTAGACCTGGTTTAGACCTGGTTTAGTTTCCGGCAGTGAGTGGAATTGCAGGAAAAAAAAAAAAAAAGGAGATTTAGCCCAAAATGTAAAAACAGGAAAATCCCTCTGTGTAATCCATTTATTTCAACAAAGTAACTGTAATCCAATTACCACTCACTGAAACAGTAACTGTAACTGAATACAGTTACTCATCATTTGTACTCTGATTACTCCGGTACATGTAATCTGTTACTCCCCAACACTGATTACAAAATACAAGATATAAATAGTACAATTCCCAACAACCAATACATAGAAAAATACATAATATAAAAATACATATTGTGCAAAAAATCCAAAAGTGCTGCAGATAAAACATGGATAATTTATTGGAGGATTGATCTTAAAATGTTTCATGGAGACAAAAATGTAAAAAACAGGAATTGTTTGCACTTTTAAAGCTTGTGGTTTAAAGGAAGCGGGAGAAATTGAACTCTCCACTAGGGATGGGCATGATTAATTGATAATTGATCGTTAACAATTTCATCGTTTACGTAAATTTTAATCAACAAACCGAATGTAGTTGTTGTGTGTCGTGACCAAACAGGTGTGTACATGTGTCTCTGCATCAGAAGGAGCGAGACACAAACAGTGGGTCAGTCTGTAACGAACCGAAGCACAAATGTGGATTTAACCAGGATTTGTAGAAGAAATTCCACACTTTCCGTTGCGTTGGGACAAGTGTGAGTCCATGTGCACAGTGGATAAAGCAGCACATATGTTTCTGTGTCCAGTGGGAAAAAGTTTTTCCAGGTGAGAGTCGCTCAATGTGGATGACGAGGCCCCGCCCCCCTCCCCCCGTACGCTGTCCTGGTTTTGACAAACACAAATCTGGTCACACTGACCTGTATTCACCTGAGTCATGTCTTTTAATCCAACACAAGTTGAACCACATCAGCGACACAAGAGCTGGAGTTTTATCTTCACTTAGTTTATGTAAATTAGTGATGTGGTTTTAAGTTTTGTTTCTGTGAGATTTGAACAAAACTGAATTAAACACATTATAATGTCAAACAGCTGATGTGGATCTAGAGTCGTTATGTTTATATGTCGTAAAGTTGAATTTATTTATGCAGATTAGTGCAGATAGTAATAATAATGATGATCATTTTAATATAAAAACGTTAATGATTAATCGATAATCGATCGTTAATTCTTCCGACGATTGATTAAGAAAATTTCATCGAATGCCCGTCCCTACTCTCCACTGAGTCCTGGAAACAATTTGACCTTGAGAGTTTATATTTATATTTATATTTATATTTATTTATATTAGATGGAGTAGGACTCTGACCTCTCACCTTTTGTATATTTCATGGTAAAGTACAACATGACCAACAGGGAGATCAGGCCCTTCCCCATCGCTTTCTAGAACCTGACAGATCAGAACCAGGATCAGAACCAGGATCAGAACCAGGATCAGAACCAGGATCAGAACCAGGATCAGAACCAGGACCGGGACCTTCATTGGAAAAGGAGTGAGAGGGATGAAGAACGATTCAGAACAGATAAGAAGAAGAAAGAATTTAAGCACATATTCTATTGTGTGATAATGAAATGAATAAAATGTGATTAAACAGTGACAGGTCTTTAAAATGGCTCCTGTAAACATTCTGTTATTTCAAAACTATGAAGAATTCCATTTTGAGTTGGAAATTAAATTCTTAAATCAGGAGTTTGAAGTAGTTGGTGTTTCGTCGGAGGAAACGGCGTCGTGTTTAATCCGACTCTTCACGTCTTGAGTCTGAGAGTCTGTGGGTCACTGTGTCTCTGATAAAACTCACGGCCAAACGCAAATCTGACTCTGAAAAACACGTCATGTCTAATCTATCTCTAATGTGGTCAAAGTGTTCAGAAGGTTACGCACTGTGGCTTTAATCTAATCTCAAAACGTCCCTGAACCGAATTTAACACCAACAATCGACAAATGATACGAAACCACAATCAAATCAGATGTTGTTCTTTTTTTTTGTTTGTTTTTTTTTCCAGGATCCTGCTTCCTCCAGACTTCACTGTGTTCACGTACGGAGAGGACGGCTCCGTACGTCGCTCCACCCCCCCGGTGCAGGTACGTCAGATTAGGCCTGTAACGATAACAGATTTTGCTGGACAATTAATTGACCAAGAATTTATTGCGATAAACGATAATATTGACATTTTGAGACCAATTTCAACTAATATAATGACCATGGAGTAAAAATGCAAATACACCATTTCAACGACTTTCTTGACTTTCTAAAGAACATTTAACACAGGAACTATAAGACAAACAAAAACAACAGGCCTAAATAAAACAGACTTAACACAGGACTAGTCTAATGTGTCTGTTTTACAGTGAGGACTTGTTCACAGAAATGCACTTGAATAAACCATTGTTGAACCAAACACAACCAAAACAATAAATAAATGGATTATTAAGTCTCTGTAACAAAATTGCACTTAAAGGTTCGTGTAGAGGATTTTCCAAGGAACGAGAAATCCAGCGACTGTTTGTCGTTTTACAAATGTTGCACATGCGTGAAACCACCCCCCCTCCCCTACAGCTCCTACGTAGAAACACCTCCTCCCTCCTCCTCCTTACGCCACAAACAGGTTTGTTTCTAGAAAACAAGTCCTTATCGCTGCATATGACTTGTAAACAACTAACTACAGTGTTGGTTAGGCAAGACGGAGAAGTGAGGAGCGGGGGAGGGTGTGCGGACATTTCGTGCACGGAAGTGAGAGCAGGAGAGAGGAGCAGTAAGAGGTGCAGAGGGGTGCACGGAGATTTCGTGCGAATTAAGCTACTACTACAACACGCAGCAGCAAGCGGACTCTTTCTTTGCATTGAAAATGACGTTTTCAGACATAGGATATCACATTCGTGTCCTGAAAAACGTTTGTCTAACTCTTGGAAATAAAGTACGTTTTCATAATAAGCAGAAGTTTCCTGTCCAGGAGTAATTTGTGGACCAGTGGTTCAGTCTTTAGACCCTTCGTCTGCTTCAGTCGCGCCATCGCTGGAATGAATCTCCAAGAATCACCTTAGTTTGGCTTCGCTGCTTTTCCCTGTGTTTTCTTCTTTCAGTGACCTCAAAAACGGACTTTCTTTTGCGGCGAACTGCTCCTGGATTCTTGTCGCCATCGCAACAAACTTTGTGCGAACTGTGAGGAAGATATAGGTCAAAAAAAGCCGCTAAGAACTGTTGCGTTGGTGGAGTAAACAGCGTCTGTGCGTCTTGCGTCTGTGGACTGTGTGACAGTCGTACGTAAACCACGTAACGGCGGCGCAGGCAAGTCAGTTACACTAGAAACGTAGGGAGTTTTGATTGACAGCCTGTCAGCTCACAGATAACGAGGCAGTGTCGTTATCTATTGGCAAATGTTTAGCCCCACCACGTCCAGAGTTGATGAATTTTTATTCTCTTTTTTTTTGGGTCATCATAATTACAAGGCAACTGCATCTATAAATCTATCACTGACAATTTGAAACAAAAAAAAATCCTCCATACAACCTTTAAACGTTATTTTAGTCACTGACTCACATTGGAATATTTAGTTTCGTGTCTCTGTACCTGCTGCTGTGAGACTCGTCATTTTGGTCATTTAAATGTTTGTATTAACCCGCGACACAGGATGTTATTTCGCTCTGAGGGAGTCTCTGTTCTGTCTGGTGTCGTGTCTGTTTCTTGTGGGATTTCAGTGGATTTCGGGTTCTCCTGGGGGCGGGGCTTGTTCTGTCGCTCAGGTTTGGGTTCATATCACCTGTTGGGGTTTGGGACATTTCTTCTCGTCGTTTTCGCTCGTTGTATTTGACGCACGTGTCTGTTGAGACGCGTTTCACTCACCAGTGTTGATTCGGCATCGTGACTTGTTTTGGCGCTCGGAGATGAACTGTTTTGTGACTCTGACAGCGGCGCTTGTCCTGCTAACGCACCGCACAGACAGCGCGCAGACTACATACTAGGGGTGTGCAAAAATATCAAAATATCGATATATCGTATCGTTTAATGTGCTGATGCAGTATCGATATTGTGGGCTGCTGTATCGATATATCGTCAAGAGTATTTTAGGTATATTTTCACTAAATTAGTTTGTGTAAGAGCTACAGTTGTGTTGACATTTTCACTGTTTTGAGTAAAATGGATGTTTTTCACATTCACTTTTCACAAACTTAGTGGACTTTTTTTTAATAATTTTATCAAATGCTGATCTTGAAATGATTGTTCATTCTTTTATTTCATCTCGTTTAGATTATTGTAATTCTCTTTTTACTTCTTTTAATGCTTCTACTCTTAAACGGCTGCAACTTGTACAAAATGCGGCTGCAAGGTTTTTAACAGGAGCAAACAGACGAACTCACATTACACCTGTTTTATCTTCACTGCACTGGCTCCTCTTAAGCTCCGTGTTGATTTTAAAATGTAGGTTTTAACTTACAGAGCTTTAAACGGACAGGCCCCAGTACATCAGTGACTTACTGCGCCCCGACTCCTCAGGCCACACCCTCCGGTCCTCTGGTCAGGGCCTCTTGAGGGTCCCAAAGACCCGATTTAAAACGGGGTGACGTGCACTTTCAGGCTGTGACTCCCAAATGATGGAACGTCCTGCCCCTGGTCCTACGTGAGGCCGACTCTATCTACTCTTAAAAAGCAGCTCAAGACACTGTTATTTAGACAGGCTTTTAGTCGACTGTATCTGTTCTTCTTCTGTTCTTGTTTATGTAGTTTTTATGCTGTTTTGCTCTGTAAAGCATTTTGTGATTTTTTTTAATCTGTGAAAGGTGCAATATAAATAAAGATTTACTTACTTTACTTACTTATTAGAGCCATCATTTAGCCTTTTTTACATCGAATCGATGTGAAATATATTGTATCGAATCGTATTGAATCAAAAGCTCACTGTATCGAGATATGTATCGTATCAGTAACTTCTTAACGATATCCAGCCCTACTACATATGCATCCTCTGTGTCGATAAACACTGCGCGCATTGGTTCAAGCTTCATTCCACTTGTTAAACGAGACGAGTCAGAGCGATAGAAGCGTCTAACATTCAGTCTGTTTGAGAGCGACAGAGAGCGAGGAAAACAAACAAACTGTAAATAGAATTTATCACGGCTGGAAAAGTTATCGAGCTCATTAAAATTTATCGTACAATTAATCGATTTATTGATTATCGTTACAGGCCTACGTCAGATGCCCTCCCACACTCCCGTCCTCTGTGTGTCAGACGTAGGAGTGTGCAAAAATATCAAAAACTTCTTGGGTTCTTTTTAAAGACAATACAGTAAAGTGTGTTTACCTTGTTGACATGTTTCTGCTGCTGCTGCTCTTCAGAACTGTCACCGGTGTTGGTGGTGACGTGTCGTATATCAGCTTGTTGTTACTTCCTGTGGGCGTGGTCAGACCTGATGGACCTGCAGGTCGCTCAGACTGACCACGCCTCCCGTCGCCCGGTGTCTCTGGAGGAGGGTGTCCCAGGTGTGTGAAAGGAGGAACGCGCCGTCATCACGGTTAATGCTCCGTGCCTCGTTTCCTGATTTCACCGTCCTCCTTGATCCAGCGTTTTTGAACTTGTTGTTTTTCTGATCCAATGACCCGAGCCCCGACCTGATCCAGAATGTAGTTGTTCCTTTTACAGTGTCTGATGTGGCGGATTTGAGGTTTTCCTGTTCTGCTTTGTCTTTTTGTGTTCTGGTGAGTCTCCCTGACGTTTCCTTCTCGCATTCCTTTTGGTGTTCCTTTTTTCGGATGTGAAATGTCCCTGTGTTTCCCCTATGTATGATTTATTGCATGATTTGCATTGAATTCGTAGATGGCATTGCATTTTTGTTCTTGTGGGATTTTTGGATTTTGTCCTTGGGGGAATGTACGTCGTGTTGTTGTTGGTGTGTGCTCCGTGTGATGGTGTTGTGTTATGGGTATTGTGATTTTAATGCTGCCGTCTGCGATGTGTTGGATTTTAATGTCCAGAAAAGGTATTGCTCCGTCTTTTTCCTCCTCGTGTGTGAATTGAATGTTTGAGATGGTCTGTGAGTTCTTCAGTGTGTCCTTGCTGTATTTTTTCTAGGATGTCAAATTCAATGCAAATCATGCAATAAATCATACATAGGGGAAACAGGCCGGGTATTTCACATCCGAAAAAAGGAACACCAAAAGGAATGCGAGAAGGAAACGTCAGGGAGACTCACCAGAACACAAAAAGACAAAGCAGAACAGGAAAACCTAAAATCCGCCACATCAGACACTGTAAAAGGAACAACTACATTCTGGATCAGGACGAGGCTCAGGGTCATTGGATCAGGAAAACAACAAGTTCAAACACTGGATCAAGGAGGACGGTGAAATCAGGAAACGAGGCACGGAGCATTAACCGTGATGACGGAGCCTTCCTCCTTTCACACACCTGGGACACCCTCCTCCAGAGACACCGGGCGACGGGAGGCGTGGTCAGTCTGAGCGACCTGCAGGTCCATCAGGTCTGACCACGCCCACAGGAAGTAACAACATCTGATATACGACACGTCACCACCAACACCGAGAACAGTTCTGAAGATGCAGCAGCCGAAACATGTCAACAAGGTAAACACACTTTACTGCATTGTCTTTAAAAAGAACCCAAGAAGTTAAAGTATATAAGAAGACAAAATGAACATCTTTTGCTTAAAAATATCAAAATATCAATATATCGTATTGTTTAATGTGATGATCCAGTATCGATATCATTAGTTTTAGTTTATTTTGGGCAAGTAAAGATCCACATCCACGTACAATGGAACATATGACACAAGTGAAATCACAACAGAAATGAAAATAACAACAACTACTAATAACTGTTATTATTACTATTTTGCCCAAAAAGGAGTGGAAAGAAGAAAACTTATTTAATCCCTCTCCTACTCTTCATAATCTAACACAATGATCTTATTTTGCGTTTTTCAAACATTTTGAATTAAACTGTATGAAGTATTTACAAGTGCAGACAAGAGTCACTGTTATATCTTGGCAGTAGAACATAAGTGCATCAACAATGGCATCATGAGCTGCTGTATCGATACATCACCAAGAGTATTTTTTGTACATTTTACTAAATTATTTTGTTACAGCTACAGTTTTGTTCAGGGGTCATCAAACTAAACCGGCCCCGAGCCCCTTAATCCTTAAAACTGTCATGGTCTTTTTTTTATTTTATTTTTATTAGTTTTTGACAAATAATAACACGTCTGCATTTTGTATTTTGTAGATTTTTTTTTCAATTACAAAACAATATTCATATGTATTTATATTTATATAATTCTATGACATATTTACGTTTGCCATCGAATTTTCGTCACGTGACAAACTGGAGATCAGACGGTCGCACGGGCAGAGTTCTGTAATAGGGAACTTTTTCGTTGGTCTCGTGATTTGGGAGCATCTCTGATAAAAACAAAAACTCCCTGAATCAGTCGGTTTGTGGCGAGTAGTTGTTTGTTCCTCCTCAAAGCCGCTGGACTCTCTGGACTCAGGAGAAAAAAAGTTTGGTGACTCCTGTTTTTGTTGTTTGTTCAGTGGAAGGAAACTCTTTTATGCGACACATTTGACATTTTCACTGTTTTGAGGATTTAAATGTTTTTGTTTCATATGAACTTTACACAAGAAGAAGTGATTTAACAAAGACTTGATTTAGACTTGATTTTTTATTGCATCGTATCAAATCCAAAGCTCAACTGTATCGACGTCTGTATCATATCGGCGTCTTCCGGCCCTCGTCAGACGCCCTCGCTCCTCCAGATCAAACGTCTCCAGTGAATCTGCAGATTTAAGGGGGAAAAAAACCAAACATTTGTACATTTGTGGCTGTGTCTTTCGGATTGTCGTGTGATGGGAGTGCTCTGGTACTTCCTGTTCCGTGACCTCTGACCTTCAGTTTCCTGTCTCTGTGATGATGATGATGAGTCAGGGTCATGAGTCTGTACAGAGTTTAAATAATCACACCACAGACTCGAGTGGAAGTGACACTGCCCACGTTTACAGGATGTATTTGAATTCTAGATTAATAGTTCTGAATATTCTACATATAAATAATAATAATAATAATAATAATAATAATAATAATAATAATAATAATGAGGTTTATTAGTCAGGGAGCCTCAAAAAGTCTTAAAAATCCTAAAAAAAAAACACTGCCCTCTTGTGGTGTTGTCAGGTGGTGTCACAGGTGAGTCTCTCCTCCTCTTCCAGGTGGAACAGTCCTGTTGGTGGTTTCTTGTATTTAATTCACATGATTTGCTCTCGATTCTGTTTGTCCCCTGAGGAAAACCAAAGGCTGAAACGCGTCGGGACTTTGTAGGTTGTTTCATTAAACTTGCCATAAATTAATAAAGGCATTTTATTTTAACCAGTCAGTGCCTTGGGTTTTTTTTTTGCATCTTTTTACTGACTTCCCTTCAGAAGAGCAACACTGAGTTGGATCTACTGTGTATGATCCTCTGGAGGTCCGGGAAGCACTTCTTCTGAAACCTTTTTTCTAATATTTGAAAAAATTGAAGATGAGACCTAAGATTTAAAAAAGCAGATGTCACAGATTTTAGTTTTTGTGTCATTTCTGTTCCAACGTTTGTGTGTTTTTGTGTTTGTTCAGGATCACTGTCACTACAGCGGAGTCGTGGACGGGATGGACGGCTCCTCTGTGGCTCTGAGCGTCTGCGATGGACTCAGGTCTGAAAACAAACTCTGTCAGATGCCCTCCCTGTAGTGTAGAGCTGTATAAAACATGTTCTGAAACGCCGGGGATTTGTTGGGATTAGTGTAAAGTTCAGATTTCAGTTTTCTTTTCAAATGCACCAGGACGTGGAGAGAACAACAAAGTCATTCAAAGTGTTTAACAGAATAAGAAGAACTGTAAAATACCAAATAATATCTGGAGCGTTTATTTGTTTTAATCACTTAACAGACCAGGCTTTTATTTGAGACCAAGTGACAGTTTGGGGCAGGAGATTCATTCCTTCCTCAGCTAAATTGGGAAAATATGATACTCAAATTCTTTAAACCAAATTAATCCGTGTATCATTCGTTCATTTCTTTTTCAATATAAAACCAAAAATAAGAAAATGAAACAAACAACATTTTTTTTCATTATTTGTCTCCAAAACCAAAATGAAAAAACAGATAATGATTCATTTTTTCAGTTTTCGATTTTGTGTTTAAATAAAAAATGGAAAAAACGGATAACGACCGTTTCCTGTTTACGTGACTTCTGTGACTGTGATGTCGGACTGAAGCAGGACTGATCCAGGTCCGGGACCAGAGCAGGACCAGAGTGGACTCCGAGCTTTGACTCCAAGCCTCCGTGGGGTCCAAGCCTCAGCTTCGAGCTCTGGCAATACCGTGGGCTCTGAGCCTCTGGTCTCTGGTCTGGTCCCGGTCTGGGTCTCGGTCTCAGTCTTCGGTCTCTCTCGGTCTGGTCTGTCTCGGGTCTGGTCTCCTCGGGTCTTCAGTCTGGTCTCTGTCCTGCTCTGGTCCCAGTCTGGTCCCGTTTATTTGAAACTGGGCGTTTATTTGGTATTTTATTGTACATTAAAATCACAACACAAACAAGTCAAAACATAAATAATTATCATAAAATTAAAAAGAGAAAGAAGAGCAGAATGAAAAGGTTTGAGTGAGACGCAGCTGAACAGAAGCGTCCTGAGTCTGGATTTAAATCGAGTCTGAGTCTCACGTGTTCAGACGGTTCCAGGTTTGAGCTGCAGAAACATGAGACCGACTCTGG